AAAAAAAAAAAAAATCTATTTGCTTATTTTAAGTTGTGCTTTCAATGTCTTGTTAGATCAGTTGTCTTATCAAATAGTCAATAGTCAATTCACTTACATTTACTTCAGTGGATATACACTCATCCCTTGGTACCCAAGAGGGATTGGTTTTAGGCCCCAAGGTTATAAAAATCTGCAGAGTTCAAGTGCCTTATGTATAATGGTACAGCATTTGCACAGGACCTATGCAAATCCTCCCATATACTTTAAATCATCTCTAGATGACTTAAAATACCTAATATGATATAAATAGTTGTTATACTTTATTGTTTAGGGAATAATGACAAGAAAAATAGTTTGTACATGTTCAGTATAGATGCAGGATTTTTTTCTTAATAGTTTTCTTCTGAGGTTAGTTGAATCTGAGGACATAGAAAGCTAACTATACTTACATATTTCAATTTACAGCACAGTTTAAATTTTAGGTCTCTCTCAGTGCCATGTAATCAAGAGGAACACAGGAAATAAGTAATAAAAATCTTTACTGCCTACAAAGATAACTCCCGGCGGTTGCTGTGAACCTCTTCTAAGTAAAGGCTACATCAGAACCTCAAAAATAAATGCAGGAATTGGGCTGAAAATATTATTAAGTCCAAAACATTCCACACATGTAAGTAGCACATTGGTTTACAAAGCAATTTTATGTGCATCTCTGCACTGTGAACTCTCTAAATCTCCTAGGAAAAACTCTTTTACTTAACAATTTTATTGGTGAAAAAAATGACCTGCCATAGAATTACAAGGAAATGATTAGAGAATAAATCAAGTCTACTGCCTTCCTCGGACCTTCTCCCTCTCTTCAAGGATCTTTCCTCCTTTACTGTGCCTGGTTAGGGTGTCCAATTTTCTAGGATAATTATCAGGCAAGTTTCTCTGGGGATGGAGGAGAAACCAAAACAATGTCCTTGCAAAGTGTTTGGTACAAAATTTAAAGGGCTTGTAGTGAGAACTAGAAACTATTCCAATAGTATGAGCATGAGCCACACAGTGGTTTGGGACCCCTAGTCTTCCCTTGCGATCAGTCAACTGGTGCTGATCCAGAGACTCACCATCAGGCACAGTGGAGCACGTGGAGGTGACATCAGCAGCTGCCATCATTTGTATCAGAGTCTGAGGCACTCTGGTATCCCACTGCCTCCTGTTTTCTGTGCCAGCAACATTCAGAGTGAAAAACTCTGGGTATAACAAAATAATTCATTAGTTCAAAAGCAACCAAAGTGTGACTAATTGCACCTAACAGTTCTTAGGTAGCTGAGCCAGTATCTATCAGCTGGTATGTGCAAAACCAGAACTGGAACTTATAAGACTGAAATTACAAACATATTTAAATATTCTTTTGCTTTTATTGTTTTTGCTATTATTATTGGTGTGTGATAATGGGGAGTGAACCCAAGGGTACTCTACCACTGCGCAACATGCCCCACCCTTTTTATTTCTTATTTTGAGACAGGGTCTAAGTTGCCAGATTGATCTTGAACTTGTGACCCTCCTGCCTCAGCATCCCAAGTAGATACCTCTCTGGGCTCTTTTATTATTACTGTTTGACTGGCCAATTTAATTAAGTGCTAATAAAATATTAGTGACACAAATGGACAAATTCATTGAGTCATGTATGAAAACTCTTTAATCAGTTTCAACAGAACACAATCTGTTCCATTTTAATTTAAAAAATAACTCATATTTTCTTATTACCATGTTTTCACTATAAGAAAACTAAAAATCATATAAAAAATAAATAAAAATCCACCCATAATCTCACCATCCAGAGGCTATTAAAATTTTATAACATTTTTGTTTTGCTTTAAAACAAACAGTGGGCTGGGTGTGGTGGCGTACATCTGTAATCATAGTAACTCAGTAGGCTGAGGTAGGACTGCAAGTTCAAGGCCAGCCTTAGCAACTTAGTGAGGTTCAACATAAAAATGAAAAGGACTGGCGTGTAGCTCAGCGGTAGAGCAGCCCTGGGTTCAATCCCCAGTACCAGGGGCAAAAATGGTCTCCACGTGACATTTGCTCTCATACTTGCTTTTTTCTAGTCAGCTACATATCTTTTTAGGGTTATTAAATATTCTTCTATACAACCATTTTAAAGCAAACATAGTAGTCTGTCTCATAAACAGGTTATAATTTAATTCTTTTTTGCTGGACTTTTAGGACATTAGCAAGTTTTCACTGTTTAAATAATGTTATAATGACTTTATTTATGATGGTGGATATTTATGATTATGTACTCTAAATAAATGATTGAAATAATAATTCTAAGGTCTGGCGTTTCTTCTTACCAAAGCTTTTTGTTATTAAAGTCAACTCTATTACTAATTTATTCTGTGATTTTTCCTATGAATTTTGAATAGCTACTTCTTCCTTATCATAAAAAATGACCTATTTTCTTTTACTTCATTTTCTAAATGTAACATTTCCACACATACACTGATTTTTTAAAAATTTATTTCATTATACTACATCGGGTCTGGTTTCACAGTTTTTCCTAAATTGTTAACAAGTTGGTCTAGAAGCATTTATTTGAATAATCCTTTGTCTTTCCATTGACTTGGGTTGCTGGCATGCACTATATTATGTATGAGACATACTGAGATTTGTTTCTAAACTCTCACTTCTCCCTGATGCCACGATTACACTGTTTGAATGAGTATAACATATATTTTGATACTTGAAAAGGTAAGTTTTCCTTCACTGCTCTTATTTCTCATAATATTTTGGCTAATTACAAATCTCTGCAATCCTCTGCCAAGATCTTCTCACATCAGGAAAAAAAAAATTCTATTGTGATTTTTATTGAAATTGCCATAAATATATTGAGGAAGCCTATTTCCAATCTAAAGCACTGCTAATTCTCTCCATTTGTCAAGTGGTCTTTACTTGACTAAAATCTTACAGTTTTCTTTGAACGCCCTGCACAACTGTTACAAAGTTTACTCCTGAGTGAACACACACATACACACACACACACAATTTGCTGTTGTTACTGTGAGATCTGAAGACCAACTGGGGAAAATATTCACAATCCACATTATAGGTAAAAGTTTGATTTAAATGAATCTTATAAAGAAAAAAACAAACGTGCTATTTTCAATAGAAAATAAGGCTGTGAGCTTTTCCAGCAGGTAAAGAAAAAGATTGGTAAGTTGGAGCTCCTAGGAGAGGCTGAGGCTGTAGAGAGAACTAGTGAAACTCCTCAAAGTGTGGAGCAGAAGAGGGCGGAGTCTGGGGGTATGCAAAACAAGAACTGGGGGAAGCTGGGCAGACAGAGTTCAAGATGGATTGCTGATGAACAGGCTCCGTCTATCCATAGAGTTCCAGGAACGCGTACCTGCTTCTGGGCTACAGAGTTCTTCAAAGGCTTTGTCTGTGTAATCTTCGTGCTCCTTTATACTTTTATGTTCCTTAAACTTCATGCCGTCCTCAAAGGTCAAAGTTTCATTTAGTATGTCCGTTGCCTAAAGCATTTCCACAGTATTTCATGAGAAATAAGCCATGTTGGGGGGAGGATGTCAAAATTGTTGTGTTCCCAATAATATTCAAAAGCAAGACAAACAAATCTATAGAGTTTTAAAAGCTGAACTATAGCCAGGCTCTGTGTTGCAGGCCTGTAATCAGAGTTACTTTGGAAGCTGAGGCAGGAGGATCACAAGTTCAAGGCCAGCCAAGGCAACTTAGTGAGATCAAGTCTCAAAATAAAGAAATAAAAAGGGCTGGGGATATAGCTTGTAGCTCAGTGACAGAGCACTCCTGGGTTCAATCCCTAGTATCACACACACACACACACACACACACACACACACACACAATGGAATTACAGTGATTGAGATAGAAACAGCCATGTTTTCATTTCTCCTTCTCAATAGTAATGAGCACTTAATTTTATCTGGACTTTGAAAAGTCTTCAATATTATTCTACTTCGGTTCCATCCCACTGCATCCTCAGGTCCTGCTGTCAGTCTATAACACAACAGTCTTTTATTTGAGACAGGGGGTCTCACTATGTTATCGAGGCTGGTCTCAAACTTCTGGACCTCAGAAGTGATCCTTTTGCCTCAGCCTCTGGAGTAGCCGACACTATATGGGTGCACAAATCAGACCCAACTTCACAGCATTCTCAACTATGTCCCTAAAACTGCTCCTCATACACCACAATCAATACTAAAATGATAAATTTTGTTTAAAGCACATTGATGCATAGAATAAGAGAGGATGAACACCCTGGCAGCTAGTGCTTTTGGAGTCCATTCTTTCATTCTAGCAAGCAGATCTCAGCACCTCCAGTCACAGAAGCCCTGTGGAGGTGCCACTCCCCAGACCTGCTCTGCTCTGATCCCACAGCTCTGGGGCACCTGGAGACCTAATGGATGAACAGAAGTAGGAACTAATTTTCACCATTGTAGTGAAGTCTTTATGTAGCAAAATGCTTGTAAAAATATGAAATGATGACATACAAAAGCTTTTGGTGTCTTGTGGAGGGTTTGGTTTGGGGGGTTGAACCCAGGGCTCAGCATGCTAAACACACATTCTACCACCCAGCTACCCCTCTAGCTCCATAAAGTTTTAAGATAATAAAGAACATGAAGAACTGGGGAGGTAATACAGTGGTAGAGTGCTTGTCTGCATGCCATGTGCAGGGCCCTGGATTCTATCCACAGACAGACAGACAGACACACACATACACACACACACACACACAGAATGAAAAAAAAATAAGTATCAGATATGATCATTCATACTTAAATTTTGGTAATCTAAATGGTGAATTTAGAGAAGGTAAAATGGAACAACAATCAGCTAATTTTGACATTTTTTTAGCAGGTATGATAAAAAATGAGGTAAACAAGATGGGCTGGAGCTGCAGCTCAGGGGTAGAGTGCCTGCCTTGCACGGGAGGTACTGGGTGTGATCCTCGGCACCACATAAAAATAAATAAATAGATGTGCCCATCTACAACTAGAAAAAAAATATTTTTTAAAAGAAGATGTTGAAATCAAGTAATAAAATGAGATTTGGATTTACAAAACATGTGCATTTACTTCTGTGGCAAGGAGAGACCAAATGCATAATTGAGATTTACCCAGAGATATGTACAAAGCTATCAGTAACTAATTAAGACCGAAAATGAATGTGCCCAGGGTATCTGCCCAAGTTTTTTTAGGTCAGTATATTTGTTGTCAACTATGTATCCTGTCTTCTATTTTAATTTGGCAATAATAAAAACATAATAATGTGAGGAAAATAGGTTCTTCATAAAATAAAAATAATTTTAAACATAATAATTTACCTAAGTAAATAACCTCTGTTTAAGAAAAAGAAGAAGAAGGATAAAAAGTATTTGGAAGACTCATTTGAATACTAGAGATCCTTTTAGGAATATTTAAGCAATTTTTCCCTACAGCCTGTGAAACAATTTCAAGAAACTTAAGACACACTCATTTTCTCATGTGTGTACTTAACAACATACCTTTTCCTCTTGGAGGGGGTTTTCATCAGAAATACATTTGTCTAAATTAATTTCAAACTTCACTCCTCTCTACAAGAAAACAAGGGGAAAAATCCTTTAATTTAGCAATTCAATAAAAGCCTTAATATAACAACTCCCTAGATCAATTTATTTTAATATTACATATACTTAAAACCATTAGTCTAACATCACAAAGTAGGGCTATTCCATAAAATAACAAGAGGTGTGGGGAATCACATGGGTGACCCAGACTGCAGGTGTGGACCCCCAGCCAGCTTCTCACACAGAGCCAAAAGACAAAAATGTGGATTACCTTAGCTTTATATTTCTGTTCTGGAATTTTGCTTTCCTTTATGTTCTGAAGCCTCATTTTTTTCAAGTCTCTTTCAGTGTCCTGAAAGTTTAGAGGAAAAAAATGATTCTATCACTTAATATTGAACAATAATATTTTCACAACCTCAGAATTCACAGCCTTGTATGTTTACATGATTTTATTTCTAGATTGAATCTGATGATAGATTTTAGAATAAAAACATGCCTTTGTAAAGGAAAGTTAATATCAAAAACCAAAGCAGAATGTCAATCAACAAATACTCATACATTAAACACTGACATTTCAATGGGTAAAAATTCTATAATGTGACAAAGCTCATCCTCCCAGTGCAGTCTAATCCAATCAGATCCAATTCAACAACATAAATGTGATGGTTGGGGTATAGCTCAGTGGAAGAGTGCTCGCCTAGTGTGCACAAGACCCTGGGCTCAATCTCCAGCACCAAAGAAAAAAATAATAACTTTTTTTTTTCAGTGCTATGGATCAGATCCAGGGATTTGCACATGCTAAGTAAACACTCTATGGTCCAGACGCCTAGGCAATGATTAGCAGAGTGAAGATAGCTGCGAGGGCCCTTGCTGACATGGAGCAGAATAGTTAATAAATGAGTTGACAAATTAATGACATAATTTCAGAAGTACTATAAAAGAAAGTGAAATAGGGTAATAGAATAGAAATGAGTAGGGGAGGAGAGTAACACGGGAGAAGCTATTTGGCATTTGATTCAAGGTAGAGAGTGATATTGGGCGTCAGTATAGGAAGTAGATGTCTGGCTGGGGAAAGCATTGGGGATAGTGGGGTGAAAGCCCCAAAGCAGGTTTGTAACCTCTCAGATCTCTTCTAACTCCAGAATGGAGCTCTTGGTCGCCTCACACACCCAAGAAGTGGTATTGCATTCTGCTTGTAGTCAGGACACAGTACCAGGCACCAGAGTCACTCCCCAACTGAAACAACCCCAAAGCCACATCAAGTACAGAAGCAATAATGGTTTTAACACATTAGACAGCCAGAATGAAAAATGAGGATACTTGAGAAACGGGATGTGATGAGCCCTCCAACTGTCCCTATCCAGGGGCACTTTACCACTGAGCTACATTCCCAGCCCTTTTTAGCTTTTATTTTGAAACAGAGTCTCACTAAATTGCTAAGATGAGCATGGAACTTTTGATCCTCCTGCCTCAGCCTCCTGAGCCTTGAGGATCACAGACCTGAGGCGCCACACCCAGCACCCCCCCAGCCCCCCCCCCCCCCCCCCCACTAAGTCTCCAGAGAGTTTGCAGGCCTTGGTGGAGGGATGCTGAGACTGGCAGACTCCCTGCCGTGAGGAGACAAAGCTGTGAACTTGGGGATCTTAAGGCTCTAGAGTCTGAATGGTAGAGTCCCAGAGAGGAGGGAGCTGTGCCAAAAGAGAACTGGAGCTCTCCTACAGCCTGTGGGAACGTATCAGTTCAACCACTTTGCAAACCTATTTGGCAGTTTCTTAAAAAGTTAAACATACCAGTCAGATGTGGTGGTGCCTATCTGTAGTTCTAGCTGCTCAGGAGGTTGAGACAGGAAGACTGAGAGTTTGAGATCTGCCTAGGCAACACAACAAGAGTCTATTTCTTATTTTAAAAAAGAGGGGTGTCTGGGGATATAATTTGGTGGTAGGACACTTGCTTTGCATGTGTGAAGCCCTGGGTTCCATCCCCAACACTGAGGGGAAAAGAAAGGTTAAATATAAATCTATTATATAATCCAGTCACTCCTGTCCACTCTATTTATCCAAAAGAAAGAAAAGAAACATATGTTCACACAAAAACTTATATGTTTATTTGTAATAAGCTGGAAACAACCGAAATATCCATCTATAGCTGAATGGATAAACAGATTTTGATACAGTCACTTGATGGAATATACTCAGCAATAAAGAGGAATGATACTATTGATAGGGAACAGACAAATGTGAATGGTGGGAACAGGAGGTTAAGGGAATAATTCTATAAAATGAGCCCACTGTGCTGACCCCCACATGTTTTCTTTTCTAGGAAGCGATTTACCTGCAGCCCTGCCTGGCTTCAGTGGACAGGATATGTCACATTCCTCAGCAAACTAACTGTTATCTTCAAGAGAAATGCAGGCCCAAAATAATGTCGATAAAAGGAATCCAAGTTACCCTGAAGGGAGAGACTTTTGTGACCCTTTTTGCAGACCAGATCCCGAAACTTTGGGAGATAAGGATAATTCCTCCTAACCATAAAATCTGTAAGAATTCTTACAGATTGGTTAACAATCCAAATGATAATGCGTAAGCATGGGCCAAAATGACATAGAGTTGTCATAGCAGTGGGGACTTGAAAGTCTGATATCATCCTGCTGTCAGTCAAAAGTGGACCTGGATAGGACTCTCTGGAAACTTCTCTGATTCCCCTATGAAACTGGAGTGCAGGAAAGGCACACTGTCCCTCTCCTCTCTGAGAAGACCCACTCCCTCCCAAGAGTGTCCCCTTTCCCCTTTTCCATCCCTTCTAATAAACTGATTGCCCATTACTATGAGTGACACATCTAAAATTTTTTCTGACTTGATCATAAGAATTGAGGTTTTAAGGGGGGTCTTTGTGCTGCCTCAGTTTCCTGGAAGACCTCAGCCTGTAACACTATTAATATCAAAACATGGATAAATCTCAACATTTATTATGTCAAATGAAGCCAGACATAAGAAAGCAAGTATAGTATGGTCCTATTCATAGGCTGTAAACTAACCCAGAAAGTACAAAGTAAACTAGTGACAAACAGCAGATCTGATGTGAGAGGAACAGCAGCATGAAACTGGAGAAAGAAACTGACAAAGAGAGCTCTGAGTTTTTAAAAGGCCCCCACAAGATTCTGTTGCACAGTGAGAGATAAGAACCACCAGGCTAGAGCAATCTTGCAGAGAAGCTCGTTGGTATGGTTTAGATATGAGGTGTCCCCAAAATCTCATGTGTGAGACAATGCAAGAATGTTCAGAGGAGCCAGGCATGATGGCACAAGCCTGTAATCCCAGCAACTTTGGAGGCTAAAGAAGAGGATCACAAGTTCAAGGCCACCCTTAGCAACTTAGGGAGGCCCTAAGCAACTTAAAAAAAAAATTAGAAAGGGCTGGGGATGTGGTCCAGTGATTAAATTCCCCTGGGTTCAATCCCTGGTACCAAAAAGAGAATGTTCAGAGGTGAAATGACTAGATTATGAGAGCTGTAACCTAAAGGTGGATTAAACCACTGATAATGGATTAAGTGTGTGGTAGGCAGGTAGGGTGTGGCTGGAGGAAGTAGGTCAATGGGTTTATATTTTGTCTCTGGTGACTAGAGCTCTCTCTCTTCTCTTAGCCACACCCTTCCTCCAAGATGTTCTGCCTCACCTCGGGCCCAGAGCCATGGAGTTGGCCAAGCATGAACTGAACCTCTCTGAAAGTGTGAGCCAAAATAAACTTTTCCTCCTCTAAAACTGTTCTTCTCAAGTCCTTTGGTCATGGCAACAAAAATGCTGACTAAAACACATGTATATCTAGCAACAGGGCTCTTACCTGCACAGATGCTTCCTCCTCAGGTGCTTCTTGGTGGATGGACAGGCCACTCTTCTTCACCAAATAGGTGTGATGACTGATTTTTGAGTTCTCCTTAACACAAGAATGATTCTGCATGAATGCTGAAGGCAACTTCCTAACCCTCCACCAGGGTCTGAGTGGGTCTAGTGAGAGACACATCCCTGCTGACAGAGACTGGATAAAGCCTGTGTGTGTGTGTGTGTGTGTGTGTGTGTGTGTGTGTGTGTTGCTGGGGATTGAACCAGAGCCTCATGCATGCTAGAAAAGCACTCCACTGAGCTATACCTCAGGCCTAGAGCCTTATAATTCCTTTTCCCTGTGGCTGCTTCCAGCATTCCTTAAATTCTTCTTTCATAATCTTTCTAGAAATGTCTGCTACCCAGTGCTTGCCTAGGATGCCTGGAGTTCTGGTTTCAATCCCCAGGACCACCAAATCAAAATGTCTGCTACCCATCTTCCTTGGACTCAGGTTTCCTATCACAGACCTGCCTTAAATATAAGGTTGATACCAGCACAAGGCTCCCCATCACGAACAAAACCTCTGCTCTGGAGAGAACCACCCCAAGCTGCCCTTCCAGCACATCCTGTTGGAATCTTTGCATGGTTCTTCCAAAGCTTTCTCCTTAGCTCGGCCTCTAAATTCAACTCTTCTTCTCAGACCTTCCTCCTCTTACTCAGCCTTCTTATCTTTGCTCCTGTGCACATAGCTCAACTATAGTCAGTCTTGCTTGTTCTATCATTGTTTCATATATTGTCTTATCTTTCCGACTGTTTATGAGTAGAACTACATCTGCTAGAAAGAACAAAGGTGTCAGAGTCAGATTTAAATATGTATGTATATATGTGCTGGGGATCAAACCCAGGGCCTCATACATGCTAAAAGGGAGCTCTACCACTGAGCTACATTCCCAGTTCCAGAGTCAGATATTTTAATATTCAATCTGCCTTGTAATATCTAAGTCATTCAACTTCTCTGTTTGGGGTCTAAATGAGATAGGATATGTGAAAACTCTAGCCTGTATTCTTACACATACAATTGAATTGGGCCATATGCTCATTTAATTTATTGTAATTCCGCCATATGCACTAGAGGTGGAGGAACATGGTGGGAAGAGTGAGAGAGAGAAAGAGATATCAATTTCTGTTGTGTGGGTTCTACTCAACAAGCACACAGCCAAGTGGTGGGAGATGGGAGACGACAGATCTCTCATAGGAGGGGCATTCCAGAGCACACCTAGGATTAAAATACCCAAGTGATTTTCATACTGCATACTCAAGACACAGGCTAGCTGCTTCATCTACTGAAGAAGCAGCAATCTGCTACAGTTCTGGAAAAGATCAATTTCCAATGTGGCACCTTTACAGAATTTTTAAGAATCATTCTCAGCTATATTTAAATTTTGCCTTTTTCAGTCTTGCATCACTTAACGATAGGAATATGTTCTGAGAAATGCATCATTAAGTGACTTTGTCATTGTGTGAACATCAGAGACTGTAGTTACACAAACCAAGCTACAACATCACTAGGGAGTATAATCTTATTGGACCTCCATTATATATATGGTTCATTACTGACCAAAACCTATGCTGCTCATGACTGTATAGACTTTAGAACATTCGGCCTGCCCATATTGAACTGAATCAACTCTAGATGTTTGGTTTTATTCCTCCTTACGAACATGAATTTATTCTTATTTTGAATTTTCTGCATCTGATCCAGATCTGGCCTGAAGTAGTTGCTCAGTAAATACTGATTAAAAAGGAAGAAAATCAATAAGTATGTGTGTTTGTGTTTGTCTGTGTGTATGTGTATGCGGTACTGGGCATTGAACCAGGGACTTGTGCATGCTAGGCAAGTGTTCTACCACTCAGTTACACTCACAACCCTTTTTGTTTTGAGACAGGGTCTCACTAGTAAATCATAATAAAATGAAGCTTTTATTTGGTCTGATAGCTTTCCTATTTAAAAAAGAATTTTGTATGCTTTTATCTATAATAAAACTTTATCCTATCTACAAAGAGATCATTACTTTTTGTTTTCCTTTTTGGTGCTGGGGATTAAACCCAGGGCCTTGGGCATGCCAAACAAGAGATCTACCACTGAGCTACACGCCTGGTTCAAGATCATTGCTTTTAACACCTACTCTTTTAGACAGTTCTTAATTGACAGAAGTGTTTCCTCTAGAAGAGTGAATTTACCTCCCGCTCTCTTCCCATCTTCCTTCTAATTTCCTTCATGTCACTGTGGTATTGTTGGCGTATTTCCTCTAACTGTTTCCAATATTCCTGCAAAACAAAAACGAAGTGTTTGTGAACAACATTCATGAAACATATATAATGAAATAACATATAATGAAAATAACCTCTGTCTAGCCTACAATTTTTTTAACATATAATATAAAATAAACATTAGAAAACCTGTGGCTGCTTAAGATGATAATCTGCCTTATTTTGACTGTGGCATTTCACATCCTGTGAGTGATACACTGGTGTGGGATACAGAGCTCATGTTCATATATAACCACAAATGAATTAATGATGTAAAGTTATTTTACACATTTTAATTTTATATATAATCTAATTATGGTTAATATGTGTTAAGTCCTACCTCCTTTCCAGTGTCTCTGAATGTGACCCTATTTGGAAATAGGGTCATTGCATATGTAATTAGTTTAAATGAGGTCATGCTGGTCCTTAGTTCAATGTGGCTGGTGTTCTTTCAAAAAGACAGCCATGTATAGACACAGATCTAAGGAGAAGGCCGCGCAACAAAGGCGGAGTCTAGAGTTCTGTTGCTGTAAGCTGAGGAGTGCCAAAGATTGCCAGACAAGCTAGAAGCTAGGAAGAAGCAAAGAAGGATTCCCTTATAGACTTCACAGGGGGCATGGGACTGACAACACTTTGGTGTTAGACAATAAATTTCTGTTATTTTAAACCACCCAGCCTATTGTACTTCCTTACACCAGATTTGGCAAACTAATAAAAATTCTAAATAGGTTATCGAAAGTTACTTTATCAATCCAAGGAAAGAGGCCTTATGAATTTAGCTATGTTGTATTCTCTGAGCAAATGAAATAGCTACTCCTGCTCCTAAAACACCCAGCATAGTGCTTGACAGATTGTGTGTGTACAGCGCACTCCCAGGCACCCTGTGGGAAACAGAAGCAGCACCCTAGGACAGAGCAAGACAGAGACACGGAAACAATGTTAGGAGCTGAGGGTGTAGAAAACAAACAAACAACACACAATCGTAGCCCTGGTATTGGACCATTTTTTAACCTGGTCCTTCATTTCGTTTTTTCTAAACCGCAGCTCCTGGAATCGAGGCTTTTCTTCATGCCTTCTAATCTCTTGTCTCTGGTTGTGATTTGGCTCAGCAGAAGATGGACGAAGACCCTGTTTATTGAATGAAATCATTTATAAAGCATTCTTGCATTTTGGAAACATCTTCTGATTTGATCTTAACTTTATCTGACAGATAAAAATACCACCGAGAAAACTTGGTAGTGGGGAATTATTTTGTGGCAAGTAGTAGAAATTTCTTTTAATTTAAGTATGAAACACTGAACACTTTTTAAAAATGCAAACATTTATGGTCTTTATTCTAAGCAACTGATATTTTATGCTATCATTCGAGACACCAATATTTCTCTTCTGAAGTGGTAAATTATAATTGTGAAATTAAAGCTGTATGACTAGGTAGAGTCCATTAGAACTCTACTTTTGAGCAGTTCAAAATATGAGTGACACAAATGGGATGTGTTTGCAGCCTGGGCTCAGCCCCAGAATTCTGAGACAGTACTAAAGGTTAAAGGTTAACTTTTCAACTCAAATAATTATTTTTTTTAATTTTTTTTTTAGTTGTAGATGGACACAATGCCTTTATTTATTTTTGTGGTGCTGAGGATTGAACTCAGTGCCTCACATGTGCTAGGCAAGCACTCTGCCACTGAGCCACAACCCAGCCCTGTAATTACTTTATTTAATGTGTAGAAAAGTCTTTAATAAAATACAATCATAGCTAGCTCAAAAAATGAATAAAACAGGATCAAAGAAGTGCAACACTGAAAGGGACCAGGAGAAGGTCCTTCACTCCAAAGTGATCATTCATAGAAAAGGAAGTTGAGGCTCAGAAGGGTTGTTCAAGGTTAACAGCAATTGTTAGATCCAGGGACAAAACCAGGCTTTCCAGACTCTGATTCAAACTTCTTCCCATTATTATTCTGTAGCAATTAAAAATTAGGGAAAGATGAAAGGTAGTCTTGCCCTTCTAGTGGAATAAACTCTGACTTAAAGATCCATGAATATGTGCAAATAGAGAAACCAGCAAATTTCTAATTGCCTCCCATATTTAGTATTTTACTTACCAATTGCTTTTCCACTTTTAACTTATATTGTTGAGCTTCAATTTTCCTTTGAAGATACTCAGCAGGCCTTAGGAAATAAGGAAGTTCAGTTTGAGTAGAATTTTAACTACCCTTAGGCACCAATGTGACAAGTGGATTTTCAGTTTAGTAATGAAATTCACAATGCACCTTTGGCTTTTTTTTTTTTTTTTTTTCCTTTTTGAACCAGGGATTGAATTCAGGGTTGCTTAACCACTGAGTTACACCCCAGCCCTTTTTAAAATTTATTATTTTGAGACAGGGTCTCATTAAATTGTTTAGGGTCTTGCTAAGTTGCTGAGGTTAGCTTTGAACTTATTATCCTCCTGCCTCAGCCTCCTGAGCCTCTGGGATTATAGGGGTACACCACCATGCTCAGCCCACCTTTAAGTTTCAAGTTCAAGAAGTGTAGGTCAAAATTATAGAATGTTCACAAAGAATTTCTTATAATTATAGTTTGCTAAATAAAAACTACTACATTTCAGAACACAGGATGAACTATGTGATAAAATATTTGATGATACCAGTAATTTCTAGGGTTTCCAAAGACAGAGCTATAATGTCAGAAATAACTCTTTAAGGAATATCACAATGAGAGGTCCCCAATTTACAGAGTCAAGTTAATAGTCAGGTGTTTTAAAAGTACCATCAATGAATGATAACTAGTTAAAGTTCCTACATCTTAGTTCCTCACCTGTAAAATGGACACAATGCCATTTAACAGGAATTGAAATGGGGTTTAGAGGAGATCAGGCCTGTGAAGGTGTCTGGCCCCTGTCTATCACACAGAAAGCGCTTGAACTGAAAAAAGAGCTAAGCTGTAGCACTCATTCCTTGAACCCTTGAAAGAACCAACTGGAATAGTATATTCATTAGAAAAAATATCCAAAAGACATTCTCTCTACCCCCTCTGCCCTGAATAAACCCTGTTCCTCTAGCTCATGGCCTTGAATGGGAGTTCCATAGGAGCAAAAGCTGGGAGCAATGGGGAGGGTAGAACAAGGAAAAGGTAACTACTCACCAGGGGGTATCCTGGGATACAGCAAGATTGAGCTATGACAGGGCAGGGACATGTAGGAAGAGAAGGAGTTTCTAACATTTCATGTGAGAGTTTGGGAGATAAATAATTCAGAATCACAACAATTGATAGTTTGGCAGTTCCAATATCTAGACAAAGAATGGAAGATCTATTTTTCCAGGTCTGAGAAAAGATGAAGGGAGTTTTCTGACTGTTCCCAGTTTGCAGGGAAAATTCATATCCCTTACTAATTAAGTCCTACATGAGTATTACAGTTTGAACTAATGGAACATATAATTTGTTTTGATCAAGTGGGTAATTTGAAACACGTTATGATGATGAATAAAACCATACCAGCACCCATTTTATTTTATTTTTTAAAATATTTATTAGTTGTTGATGGACCTTTATTTATTTATATGTAGTGCTGAGGATGAAACCCAGTGGTAGGCAAGCGCTCTGCCACTGAGCCACAACCCCAGCCCAACCCATTTTATCTTTAAAATTAAAATGTCTACTTTTCCCATTGTGAATTCCTGAAGAAATCATTCTTCTACCACTCTTCCTCATCTAATTTTCACTAATTATTGATGAGATTACTATTACATAGTGATTCATTACATACGATTCATCCAAAATTTCACTTGCATGGCATGTATGAGGTTCTGGGTTCAATCTCCCAAGATATACATGTGCGCTCACACATACATACACACACACACACTCAACAATAAATAACCAAAGTTAACAAAGTTAGCAAATCGCTAGCCCTGAACAACAACGAGAACAACAACAACAACAAAAAGTGATAGCAAAAAACATTTAAAAAAAATAAAGTGAGGGTGTATGTAGGTCAGTGGTAGAGTGCTTTCCTAGCATGCAGGAGGCCCTGGGGTTTTGTTTTGCACAATGCAAAAACAAAACCACCTCTCAGACTTAGGTCTTTATGCCTGTGATGGCTATCCATCATTTTGAACACAGGAACACTGATATTAGAGTAAAAAACAAAACAAACAAGAAAAGAATAAAAAGAAAATACTATGTATCTGCAGAAATTTGTTAGGGTAAACTTTTAATTAAAGGCAGTTTCAGTATAGTATTCTTTTTTGAATGTATACATATTTTGAACCTCCCTAGAATATAAACGCTGAATGAAATCTATTTCACTTTTCTAATATTCTTAAGTGATCATTTGGTTTTAATAATTAAATTATTAATGATTCTTATGAATAAACTCCTTGGAAAATGAAATAAATACAACTGTTTTATTCACCCCTTGGGAGTAAAACTCACTAGGAAGAAGGAGAAAAAAAACATTAAAAATTCAAGAATGTGCCTGTAAATCCCAGTGACTGGGGAGGCTGAGGCTGGAAGATGGCAAATCTATGGCCAACCTTAGCAAGACTCTGTCTTAAAATAATAAAAAAGGCTAAGGATATGGCTCAGTGATTAAGCTGCCCCTGGGTTAAAAAATATATAAATATACATATATCGAGAAAATGAAGCTTGCCTACAGTTAAATGGCTCTATAAATAAGAAAATAAGCTACACCATATTTGAGATGAAAAAAGGGCCAAGAAATTGAATGAAGAGTTTAAAGTGAAGATTTTATAAATTCTTCCTCAATTATTTGTTTTAGGAGAATTTAGAAGGATTTTAGAAAACAGAGCTGATAAATGAGACAGAGGATCTTTTGAGCCCAGGAATTCAATACCAGTCTGGGCAACTCAGCAAGACTCTGTCTCAAAACCAACAGACAAAAAAAAAAAAATGCTGATACACAAAAGTATTTTCAGAGGATAAAGGCTTAGGTTAGACTGCCACATTACCATTGAGCAGGTGACGGACTGTGACTTTCTTCTTGATTAGAATTCTCCTCAGTTCCAGAGTCTTTCTGAAGAACGTAGTGATCACTTGGTTCACAGGCTCTCTTCCTCAACAAGTCAAGTCGAGCATAATAAAAATCATAATGTCCACAAACTGCATCAAGTTTGGGCCTTTCTATCATTTTTATCTGAGAGATTGAAAAGAAGAGGGAAGATTGTGTGTGTGTGTGTGTGTGTGTGTGTGTGTATGTGTGTGCTGGGGATTGAACCCAGGGCCTAATGCATGAAAGTTAAATGGCTATCTACCAACTGAGCTGTATCCCCACCCCCAGGAAGATTCCTTTTAAAGACATCGTATAAATCTATAATTGACCATTTGATGGCTACCATGACCAAGCATTGAAAGTAGATTTTTGTTTTTATTCTAGACCTGTTTTTAGAGAAAAAATGATGTTAGAGCCCCCAAATCCTAGAATTGAAAAGACCTTAGAAATCTAAGTACTTGAGTACAGCAGTTTATAATTATAATCTTTTTTGTAATTTCGAATCACATATATTTTCATGTCTAGTATGTGAAAAATATTTAATATGCCCAGCCAAGGTCTGAAAGTTTACTCATAATTATTGTTTTCTATTTTAAAAAAATTTTTTTTTTTAGTTTTCAATGGATTTTTTATTTATTTATATGTGGTGCTGGGGATCAAACCCAGAGCTTCACACATGCCAGGCAAGTGCTCTACCACTATCACAGACCTATTGTTTTCTATTTTTTATAAACTTTCTTATACCTTACTGTACTTTATGGGAGAATAAAAGCTAAAGTGCAACTCACAGATTTGGGGGTTTGTCTTACTGGTGGTTTCTAATAAATTGAGTAAAAGCAAGGTATCAGGGCTTGAAAAATAGAAGATGCTGAATCACTGAGTCATTCTTGCTGAGAAAACACCAGGAATACAAAGGTTGGAATGGGCATAATAACCCTCTAAGCTATTCCTCCCTACAGCACACTCTTCCCAACCAGAAACACAAGTTTATTTCATCCCAGAGACAAGCAGAGGTCAATACATTAGAAGATAAGAATCAGGCCATATTCAGATAAGAAAGCCAGACAAGACCTGAGCTAAAGAACAAAGTGTCCTGATTTAAGTTTGAATTTGACAACTCTGCCTGTTTAACAGTTGCTAATAAAAGAGGGGGGAAAAAAAGAGATCAAGTCCCTGTAAAGACCTAAGTAGTTGGGAACATAAATAACCAAACAAACAATTAAAACTTAAATGTTCTCCCTGAAAGGAAGGAAAATGTTACATCCTATGTTCTTTGTTAAGCTATCTGGCTCACATGTTAGCTGGAACATGGAATTACATATACCTGACCCTCTTCAACTTACATAAATGGCTCTTTTTTATAGTTCTATTTAAATACTAAGATACATATAAAACTTGGTTTATTGGTCTATACAGAAATTGTATGTTTATTTTTAAAATCTTTGAAAGTGAAAAGTAGTTACAATTACACCTGAATACATACAACCCAGAAAAAGGTAGTACTGAGTTAGTTGTTCAAAATTGTTTAGACACAATTAATAAATATGAAAAGTGTAAATATAGATTTTTGTTTGTTTAATCTGAATAGCTTGCTGTTAATTATGTTCTATTTAAGACTTTGGAAGTTCTTTGATGTCTTACTGTCACCTCATATTTTGTTAAATGTCATTGCGGTTGAATATCATATATAGTGTGCTATTTAGGGTTAGTTGATTGTGTCTACTTTTCTTTTTTTAATATGTTTTTAGTTGTTGATGGACCTTTATTTTTATTTATTTGTATGTGGTGCTGAGGATCAAACCCAGTGCCTCATGCATGCTAGGCAAGCTCTCTACCACTGAGCCACAACTCCAGTCCCCGCCCCCCACACTGTGTCGACTTTTTAAAGTTTTTAATTAAATGTTTTTGTATTAAAAAAATTATAGTAGTTCCTTTTTATTAGTCCGAATGTTTTCAAGTCTTGAAATAAATCTTGATTAAGGGATTTAAAAAAAAAAAAAAACAGAAACTGGTTAAAAAAAAAGGAATAAAAAATCCAAATCAGTAATGGGAACATCTGAGATGGTTTCTGTGCAGATTCATTTATTTTATTGCATCAGCAGAAGTTGTTCAAATAATTGGAAAAGATGTCAACTTGCTTGACAGTTCTCCTGACTTAATCCACCCCCAAATCTTTTAGATGTTTTTTTTCCTACAGGTCTGGGTCAGAGTATTCTGTATCCCAACATACTTTTCTTATTTTTTAATAGTTAATCCATATTTTATCAAATGAAGGGCAACATTTTAACAATAGTTTAAAAAAACTGTTTATGTATCAATACGTTTTCTAAAATGTCTATATACTAAGCAAACATGTAGTAAATGTACTTCCACATGGTCCTCTAGGGCTGGTGGTGTAGCTCAGTGGTAGAACATTTGCCTAGCATGTACAAGACCCTGAGTTCAAACATAAAGATAGAAAAAAAAAAAAAAGAAAAAGAAAGAAAGAAAGAAAAGGAAAAGGGGGAAAAAAACAAAATGTCCTCTAATTATACCATGAGCCTTCTTTAAAAATACAGTTCTTCAGACTGGGGATGTAGCTCAGTGCTAGTCCTAGCATGCAGGAGGCCCTGGGTTTGATCAGCACCAAATAAATAAATAAGGGCAATGACTATTTTATCATTTATGTTTCAGAAGCATTCTATAGCATGACCTAAAAAACAACAAACAACCACCAACAAAAAACACTGTTTAAGTACATTCAAATAACTCAGTATAAAGGATCTCCAGGGGGCTGGGGGCCATGGCAAACTCCTGTAATTGTAGCAACTTGGGAATCTGAGGCAGGAGAATCACAAGTACAAGGCCAGCCTCAGCAATTTGGCAAGATGGTGTCTCAAAATGAAAAATAAAAAGGAGTGGGGCTGTAGCTCAGTGGTAAAGCATCCCTGGCTTTAATTCACTGATTCAAGTTCAATTATTATATAATAAAACTCCTCTATTACATATATAGCAGGTTAGAACTTGGAGTACAAAATGCAATGTTTTCCGTTGTTGTCTTACTCAATTGTCCTATAAGGAAAACCTTTAATATAAACAAAGAAGTTAGAAAAATTTCAGTAATAAAAAGAAAAATAAAGCTAATGTATAATTGTAAGAAAACAAAGCATTCATTGTTTTTTAAAAAATATAGGCTATAACTCAGTGGTAGAGTGCTTGCCTAGCGTGTGCCAAGCCCTGGGTTCAGGCCCTAGCATTGAGAAAAAGAAAAAAAAAATCAAATACACAAAAATATTAGCTAGGAACCCAGCTACTTGAGAGGTTGAGGCAGGAGGATCACAAGTTGGAGGTCAGTCTGGGAAACTTATGGAGATCCTGTCTCAAAATAAAAATAAAATTTAAAAAGGGATAGGGATATAGTTCAACGATAGAATGTTCCTGGTTTCAATCCCTGGGATCACAAAAATAAACACAAAACCAACACCAATTAGGGCTGGGGATATAGCTCAGTGGTAAAGTGTTTGCCTAGCATGAATCAGGCCCTGGGTTCAAGCCCCAACACTGGTGGGGAGATTATATAATAAATAAATAAATAAATATTTATAAATAAATATATATATTTATTTATTATAGTTTTTGATGGACCTTTATTTTTATTTATATATAAAGTATATTTAATGCTCAATACAGAATGATTTTATTTTAAGTATAAAACTAATGGATTCCAAAATTAATTTGCTTGTAGTGTGTGAACATGCGCAGGTGGATCTTTCAGAGTATACCTTAGCTAAAGAATCAGAGGGAGGGATTAGCACAACTCACAGACGTGGGCTTCTGGGTTCCAGCTGGTGGTCTCCATTTTTTTCTAGGTAATACAGCCTTCCTTTCAAATGGTACTGATATTCTTGATCGTGGAGGGAACTTTCCCTGGAATTTCACTCGCTGTATTTTAGAATCTTATTTAACCAAAATAAAACAACTTTAGTTTTGAATTTTTTTCTTACACCTTTACTATTGATACTTAAGTACAAACACATTTCATAACACAGTAAGTTTACTCAAGCCAGAGATATTTTATACACAGAGAATCACTGATGAAATATCTCTATGATGGCTGGGATTGTGGCTCAGTGGTAGAGCACTTGCCTACCATGCATGAGGCACTGGGTTCGATCCTCAACACCACATAAATGTAAAATAAAGATATTGTGTCCACCTAAAACTAAAAAAAAGTACTTTTAAAAAATTAAAATAAAAAAAGAAATATCACTATGCATTCTCTGCATTTTTAAAGAAAATAAAACCATTTCCCCCCAGAGTTTCTTTATAAATTTCGAGCAATGAATAACACTACTTTTAAAAAGAGGAATTAATGTAAATATTTATAAAAACAATTTATAATGATAAAAGTAATTAAATGTAGTAGCTTGGGTTATCAGGCAACACTATTCCTATCTTATCATTGTTTGAAATATTCCTTCTAACATATTTATCTTTGCCTCCATCAAAATTCATTCTTGTTTTCCTTTTCCCTATATCAGAAATGTGGATGATGTATTTTCTCTCACCCTCTACTTATCTATTTTCAAACATTCTCAATCTAGCCTGATAGATGAACTCATTTTCCCTTAATGACTTTTCTCAATGTTAGCTTCTCTAGCACATTGGATGACATTTCCTCATCACAGGTGCCTTGGAGAGATTTTCTACTCCTTCTGATCCTTTCAGTCCAGAAATTTGATTATGGATAAATTCTCCTGCTTTTACTTTCATATCATCAGTTGAATTAGTCATTTTCTCTTCTTTAGTGTACACCCCACATGCATGCACATTTAGTATTTCATCACTTTGGCTAATTTTTGACACCATGACCAAAATTGTTCTCTCTACTTACCAGTACCATAAAATAACATCTGCTTTCTTTGGAGCTCACACTATTTTCAATTTGGTCCAAGATCCTAACTTCAGCTCCAATGTAGAATTATCTTTGTAAGAGAATGCTTCTTCTTTTTTGGTGTAGTGCTAGAGATAGAACCCAGGGCCCTGTGCACTTGTGCATGCTAGGCACATACTGTACCATTGTGCTACACCCCCAGGAATTCTAATTACCAGTCCATCCTCTCTATGTCTGGGGGGAAAATATAAAAAACTTCATTACATCATTTTGTGTCTGACTGGGAACCTTCTTCCACTCTATCCCTTCCCATACAAATGTTAAACTTGGATTTGACCTCTCAAAGTTTCTGGAAGGTTTCCTAAATTATAAGAAGAAAGGAGCCGAACCCCCCAGGATATCTTGAGTTACATATACAACTTCTCCAACACACCCACTGGTCACTACGTGATAATGAGGTGATTTCTCTCCTGTTCATACTGTGCATATTTTCTAAATGTCCATGTTCAACATATTTAGTGGACTTCCTCCGCTAACATTGCCAGCTCTGTAACTCAGTAAACTCAGTATATGAGACATGTGGAATAAATGCTTTTTAAAAAATATTAGACAAATAATGTGTTGATATCACACACAAGGCTGTGAAAACCCAGTCATTGGGACTATGAACCACAAAGGGATCATAAATGCTTTTTCCTTTTCATTGCTGGGATTAGAACCCAAGGAATGAATAGTAGGCAAGCACTCTGCCACTGAGCTACACCTCCAGCCCCATAGATGATCTTTTCTTTTTTCTTTCTTTCTTTTTTTTTTTTTTTTTGGTACTGAGGCTTGAACCCAGGGGCACTCAACCACTGAGCCACATCCCCAGCCCTATTTTGTATTTTATTTAGAGACAGGATCTCACTGAGATGCTTGGCAGCCTTGCCTTTGCTGAGGCTGACTTTTGTATTCGAGATCCTCCTGCCTCAGCCTCCCAAGCCACTGGGATTACAGAGTGTGGCACCGCGCTGGCCATAAACGCTCTTTGATTGCATGGTAAATCATTCTTACCCTGGACCATCTTTCCAGCAGGTGGGGAGGGAGATGATCTTGCTCTGCATCTGAGCATATGATTGAATTCTTCCTGAATGACCTAAAATCCAATACAAGTGTCAAGGAAACCGCCAACTCAAATCTCTGCCCAACACAAACAGAATCACCTCAAAACTCACCTCAGGGGTCAAGTATTTGGCAATCAGATTCTCTAAAAAGGGCCTTTTCAAGATGGAATTAATAGATGGTCGATCCCGAGGAGAAACTTTAAAGAGCTGAGGGATCAAGGACCGCAGGTCACGAGAAAACCTAGGTGATATGGGGGCAAAATGCGCTTGACAAATCTTCAGAACCAGCTGGTGCAGGTTGCTGCCCTCGAACTGAAAGGACAAGGGTAACAATGCTGTCAGAGAAGAGTCATCTTGTGTTAAAGTAATAAATATCCCAAGAAACAAAAATAATGGTTTTTATTTATTTTTCATGGTGCTGGGGTTAGAACCCAGCACCTCAAGCATGCTAGGCAAGCCCTCAGGACCCCCAGCCCTTTTTATTCTTTTTTTTTTTTTTTTGGTGGTGGGGGGGATTGGGGATTGAACTCAGGGGCATTTCACCACTGAGCCACATCCCCAGCGCTATTTTGTATTTTATTTAGAGACAGGGTCTCACTGAGTTGCTTAGCACTTTGCTAAATTGCAGAGGCTGGCTTTGAACTTTCAATCCTCCTGCCTCAACCTCCCAAGCTGCTGAGATTACAGGCATGCACCACTGTGCCCAGCTAGTTTTAATTTCTGAGGTTTAGTTTGTTTGGGTTTGGTATTGAGAATTGAACTCAGGTCCTATGCATGCTGAGCATGCACTCTACCACTGAGCTATGTACCAGCCCCTATTTTAACTTTTTAACTAAAAAAGTTTTCTTTAAATTTTTTCTTATTCTAAAAATAATATTTGCTCATAAAAAATGGAAAGGGGGCCGGGGTTGTGGCTCATTGGCAGAGCGCTTGCCTAGCACATGTGAGGCACTGGGTTTGATCCTCAGCATCACATAAAAAAGTAAACTAATAAAATAGAGTATAAAAAAGTTAAAAAAACAAAAAAGATAGGAGCTAAGCATAGTAGCACACACACATAATGCCAGAGGCTCGGGAGGCTGAGGCAGGAGGATCACGAATTCAAAACCAGGTGCTGAAATTTGGCAAGGCCCCTAAGCAAGTTAGTGTGACTCTGTCTCAAAATAATATATATATTATAAGAGCTGGGGATGTGGCTTGATGGTTAAGCACCCTGGATTCAATCCCTTTTACCAAAAAACAAAAACAAAACAAAACACAAAAAGTGAAAAGGCATAGGAAATCATAATTAGTCAAGCAAATAGGTATAATTTCTCCACCTAGAGGTGTATTTCCTTCTAGTCGTTCCAAAAATAATGTTTATTTTACAGAGTTGAGGTCATACGGATACGAAATTTTACTTCTTGCTTTTTAAAAATTAATATAATACCAACATTTCCTTGTCTCCTCAAAAACTCATCATAAATCAGAAAATCTTCTACCATATGAACACCTCAGTTATTCATACATCACCATAGAGTTCAACATTGTGGTGTGCTAATGAGGGTACAGACTTTGGTTAGACAATCAGTGTGTGACCTTTGACAAATACGATAACGACAATGGCTGCCTAGAAGGAGTTGACAGTAGGCCATTCTTAGAAAGGCCTGCCTTCAATGCTGGCCCTCAACTGATGTCTGGGAACTACTCGATTTGAGAATTCCCACTATTCCTGGAAACTTAAGAGTGGTTTTCTTTGCCTAAGCTATTTGTGTAAATGATATAGTTTATGTTGAACATCTGGTTTGTTTCTGGAGTCTAGAAATTTGGTGTATGTCAAGGAGAGATGGCATCTATGTGACCAGTCTCCAGTGAAATCCAGGGTACTGGGTACCTAATGTGCCAATACGATTCAGTAAATTAAATTAGCTATCAAAGGAGAGTTTAAACCAGTCATCATGATAATGACTGAGAAACCTGGCACAGAAAGGTAAATTTACAGCTATAGAGTTTACAATCAGGCAGCTTCACAAGCTTGTAGGTAAGATTATGAAAAGACTTGTATGGACGCATTTCCCAGGTCCACATTTAAAGTGCCTTACAGTGTAGACTAGAAGTTCCACTCATATAACTAGATTAATTGTACTGACTGTAATGGTCAATTATATATGGATTCTATAGTAAACAGGCTGTCTGGAAGTATCTTTTAAGAAAAAGACGGGTTCTCCCGCATCCATATGGATGGCAGTTATGGACCAGATTTAAGTAACAGCAACTAAGGGCCAGTTCTCTATGAGGGATCATGCCCTGAGTCTTAGCACTGCTCTCCTCTTCATCTATCTGTGTCTCTCACCTTTGTCACATTATTAATGTTTGTGCTCCTCTGACCTTAAGGGTCTGCAGGAAGAGAGAGAGAGAGAGCAGCGCTGACCCCTTTTATTGAGGAGAAGCTATTCAAATGAGTCAAGGGGTCAGGTTTCAGGGGGCTGAGTCTATCTTCATGATGTCCACTGTCAGCAGGTTGACTGACACCTGGGTAGGCCACACCCAAGGGCACAGTAAGAGAAGGGGACACACACAAGGCACTTCCATGGAATATTCTATCCTAAACAGGGCATGGGGTAATATTGCAAAGGAACAGGTGAGCATAGCTTCAACTATGGGGCTGTAGGAAGCCACGCCTAGGCACGAAGACACAGTCACTGGAACCCTAGAAGAGCGGGGCAGTCTAGCAGCATGGGTGCCTGACACCACATCGCCCAGCAGGGGAGTTAACTCAGTCATGTACAAGGTTGGTCTCCCACACGAATGAGCTTCCCTTGTAGATAATATTTCACACTCCCTGTAACTTGTTGCTGGAGGACTTGGTACCTCCTGGGTGACAACTGGAAGAAGACCCTTTGAAGCTCAGGCCTGGTTTCCTACAGACTCTGTCCCATGTGCCTTTTCCTTTGGTATACACACACACACACATAGGTGGGTATATATGTGTGTGTATATGTATGTACATTCACACACAACTTATTATTAATGAGTATATAACTATCCTCCAACTTGGACTATATATAAAAATAGTTTGCTTGCTGGCAATTTGAGACTGGGTCTATGTTGCCCAGGCTAGTCTCAAACTCCTAGGCTCAAATGTTCCTCCTGCCTCAGCCTTCTTAGTAACTAGGACCACTGGCAAATGCCACTATGCCCAGCTATCCATATAATTTTTAAGAATCTAGGGACTGGGGTTGTGGCTCAGCGGTAGAGCGCTCACCTAGCACATGTGGGGCACTGGGTTCGATCCTCAGCACCACATAAAAATAAAATAAAGGTATTGTGTCCAACTACAACTAAAACAAAATATATATTTTTTTAAAAATCTAATGAAACCAAATGTTAACCTTTTTCTCTCAGAAGTTAATTTCATTTACATTATTTCAATAGTTCAACACAAATTTGATGATTAACATACTTACTGGATGCTTGAGTGTGCAGAGCTCATATAAGACACAGCCAAGGGACCAAATATCCCTAGGAAAGACAAGAGTTTACATGCCAAGAAAATATTCATGATTTTTACTGAAAGCTCTCACCCTTACAGTGCCTTGCATATATGCAGCTCTGTTTTATCAGTTTTTACAAAAGCTTTGAGATACAATATCAATTCTAAGAAGTAAAATAAAAACTATTGTAATTAGTCAGAATCCCAACAGGCAAAAGGTATACAAACTTAGCTACAATGAGATGGCTCAATGTTCACTTCAACTTCATGTGTCCAAAGAAAACGTGTCGTGGAATTTTTGGCAATTTGGAAGAGAAAGAGAGAGGCAGTACTCAAACATGGATTTGTCTTTACTCAAAAGATGAAATATGGTTGATTTTGAAGGGTATATTCTACTCAAAGCTCTTGATAGAACTAAAGTCATAGTAAGTGATGAACATAGCATCTGGCTAGGACCCAAGCTTTGCTTTTCACCAACTTTGCACTTATTTTATTTTTTGTAATGTTCAGGTTCAAATCCAGGGCCTCAGGAATGTAGGACAGGTGCTGCACGACTGAGCTGCAACCCCAGCCCCTGTTGGTAAATGCTGATAGGTGATCAGTTTAAGAAGGAACTATGTTATAGAATAAAAAGCAAAATTAAATCTGAAAGTGAAAAGAACATATAATGAAATGTCAAGGGGATTGTCAAAGACCCAAAACTAGGATTCATTAAAGAGAGGTAGAAGCTAGTCGGGGGAGGTGGTAAAAGCTTGAAATCTTAATGACTTCAGAGGCTGAGGCAGGAGGATCACATGTTTGAGGCTAGCCCCAGCAACTTAGTGAGACCCTGTCTCAAAATAAAAAATGAAAAGGGATAGGGATGAAGCAGTAGATCACCCCTGGGTTCAGTCCATGTGGTGAGGCCGGGGAGGGTTGGCTGTGGGTGTAGCTCAGTAGCACAGCATGTACTGAGCATGTGTAGAGGCCCAAGGGTTCAATCCCCAGCACCAATCCTCCCAACTACAACAACCAAAAAAAAAAGAACTCCCATGGCTTAGGGCATGTAATAAATCTTGTGATTTCTTTTTCCTGTTTAAAAATAGAGATAAACAGATAAGTAGACAGGAGTCAGATACACAGATAGAGGTAAATATTTCCACTATTACCAATAACTCTGTGTGTGTGTGTGTGTGTGTGTGTGTAACAGGTGAGACAAAGAGAGACTTATACCAAAGCTTTAAATAAAATAGAGAATGGGCATAGGATTGGCAGGAAACAAATCTGAAATATTTTCTAGAGTTTCAAGGAACTCAGAGACCCTTTCTCACCACACAGATTTTGTGTTTATGAGGTATTCCTTGGGCCCCAAACTTCTCTTCTGTTTCCAAAGCACCCTCTGTGGCCAGTGTGCTAATGTCACCTGCCTGCAGGACTCAGGCCAGTAAGGGAGCTGCCTGGGGGCTGGGCGCGGCCATTGGCATGTTGTGCCATCCTCTGTGTGGTGAGGGCTGTGGTGATCCAGGGGCTGGTTCACAGATCTAAAGGGGCCAGTGGCCACCCAGATAATTAAAATCTTCCAATTTTCAGAAAAACCAAATCTGCATGTTTTAAAGTCTCTCAATATTTCAATGTTGACTCAAACTCTTAAGAAACAGTACAAGGAAACAAAACCACGCTGGGGACAATCCTTACCAGGCAGTGCGAAGCTCTGCTCCCCACTCCCTACCTTCCACCAGGCATGACCCTACCCGCAGTACTGTACAACCTGCAGCCAAACTCCCTGGGGCCAGACATTAAAGCAAACTGACAACCAACACCTAGTAGGGCAGGACCTTGGATTAGATTCTCAGCCTCAAACATATACAAGCACAAAAAATGTCTACTATTTTATTATGCAGAGAAATGTCTATTATTCTTTGTATAAAGTTCTATCTTCTAGGCTTTGCCTTCCATTTGTTTCTTTCAAAGCCCAATAAATACCCACTGGCATTTTCTTAAACAAATGAAACAATTAACCCCCAGTGGGAACTTGGTCTTGCTTCTAGTCCAGCTGGTCCAGTGGCAGCAGCTTTGAAAAATGAAATTTTTTTCTTTCTCTTACCTGGAGGTAAAAACTACACCTTCATCTTTTATTGCTATATGCATTGGCAAAGGACAAAATTACAATTTAGCTTAAAGATATCAATTAGGTTTCTTTTTTATTCTAAAGTCAGGTAACACTTCATTTCACAAAATAGGATGAGTACAAGATAAATAAAATAGGACTGGGCAATTACTCAGGGTACAGCATGAGCTTTGCATACTCGAGGCCCTGAGTGCAATCCCATCATCATTACACCAAAAAAAAAAAGTAAATAAAATACAAAGATGGAGACCCCAGTGACTGCAATTTCCAATGTTATTCTCCATATCACTTGTATCTTTAAATGAAGAGGAATAAATTTATTCTAAATAAGTTTGAAAGATCCAGGGAACATTGGTCAGAAAGTCACTGGGAATTCCATTTCCCACCTGGAGAAAATGAAATTACAAAAGTACCAGAAGAAAGAGAGAGGAGATTAGAGCTTTAGTTTCTAGAATATTAATTCATTATCATTCATCAGATTTTACTGACACTTTCAAACCAACAGCCAGCAACTCACGTTTTATTGTTGTACGGTTTACTCTGACAGATCTCTGGGGACAGGTAGTAAGGTGTTCCAACACAAGTCCGGGCAAGTTCCATGGAACTAGTAAATTATGTTAAATAAAAGTAGTGTGGTTGATTATTGGAGTAAGAAAGGTTTAAGATATAGACATGTGAGAAAAGGTATAAAAATGGATCACAAAATTTGATACTTACAAACATTAGAAGAAAGCAAAACACCATACATTGGTAATAGAGTAATAAAATTAGTAGATTTTTAAACTTATAATTCACCCCCTCCCCAAGTTTACATTGTGTATGTGTGTGTGTGTGTGTGTGTGTATCTTTTTAAACCATATCCTGGGGCTGGGGATGTGGCTCAGTGGTAGAGCACTTGCCTAGCATGCACAAGGCCCTAGGTTTCATCCCTAGCACAGAAAAAAAATTAAAAAATTAGGTACATGGTTATGCCACATGTTATTTAATTTTATAATTTCCCAATTATTATTAAACTATTATTTAAATTATTTCAAATTTCAAAAAAATTGACATCGTTAAATCTCTTAATTTATATTACCACCAAATGGTCTTCCAAAAGAGTTCACAGTACATTTCCCTAGCAAGTGTAAACCTGCCTGTTTCCACCCAATTCTTACTAGTTTGATGCCTGTGACAGTCAAGTCTCACATTTGATAAACTTGGACCATACAATACAACACCACCACCATCATTCAATGATGCCACAATTAATCTTGGGAATTTTAATTACTGATATCTGAATGGATTTAATGCATTTACATAAAGTTACCTAAAATTATTTAGACAACCATGTTCTTAATAGTTTCCTAATTCATGACACTTGGGTAGAAAGAAAAAAATATTTTTAAAAGTACTTACTTATTCAGGACTCTTGCTATACCAAAGTCCCCAAGTTTTGCAACCATTCCATTCTTGCTAAGAAAAATGTTCTAAAAATGGGAAAATGTTACACTGTTTGAGATATTTCAAGAAAAGACAAGACTCATACTGTCTGAGCCTTCTCTCTGAGCTGTTACCTGCGATTTTATGTCCCTGTGTAATATCTTCCTGTCGTGAATATGTTTTAGTCCAAGAGAAATCTGTATAAACCAACCCAGGATCTGTGGAGACAAACATAATACGCAACTATTGGCTAGCCTGGTAGCCACTGAAATGCCCTCATTATAACACGTAAAGAGAGAGAAATAATATTTATGTGTGTGTGTTTATAGGAGAGGAGCTAATAAATATTATCTTATCATATTGTTTTTCTCTTACAGCTAGAAACATAGAGGCCCAGAAAGGGAATCCAAACATCATTGGTATCACAGGAATTCCACAACAGAAGAAGACAAATGAGCAGGGGAGGGAAGCCCTGAGTTCAATCCCCAACACTGCAATAAATAAATAAAACAAAAACAACAACAATCAAAAAACTCAATTATATTTTAGTCATAATTTTATCTTAGTTGGCCATGAGCCTCTTTATTAAAATGTGTTCTGTTCCTATAGAGATTCATTTAAATTATTCTAAAATTTCAATGGTTCTCTGCCAAATTATATAGAAAGAAGAAAATAATAAAAGAAAAATGGCTAAATTCCAGGCGTTAAGATTCCGTGGTCATTTTAGTTCTTTCCTAACAAAAGGAAATACAATTCAAAATTTTGTCCTGAAAAGCATTTTTATAAAATGTGCCCAAATAATACCTAGATAAGAAGAAAGGAGGACTTCCATAAATACAGAATTTAATATATAATGTAAATGAGTGTAGAAGAATGCTTGATTAAATTCACAGAGATTGAAGATAATGATTTAAAATATTCAACATTCAAAATATTCAGACGTTCAAAATTTTCAACTTTAGGAAAAAATTACATGGGCATGATGCTCTTAAATGCTAAAATAGAATAAAGAAACAAGTGGCCAAAAGAAAAATGATGAGCCATTCCTGTATACTGCTTGAGACAATGGCCTTACCCATCAGCCACACAAGCCCTAATTTTGATTCCCCTCCACACACACATACTTGTGTCCTTTATGAGTACAACTCCCAGGAGGGTCCCAAAGGAGGCTTGACATATAGAAGAAAAATGTATTTGCGCAAAGAGAAAATGGAAACTAAGGCCATTATTCTTCACCTTTTCTCTTCCCCTAACCAATAAAACTAGGGTTGGGGGCTTAGCTCAGTGGTAGAGCACTTGTCTAGTATGCACAAGTTGGATTCCTAGCACCACAAAAGAAAAAAATATATATAAATTAAAAACTAATGAAACTGAACAGGCATTGTTAAGAAAATCCCCTATCTCCCTTAGAAAAGTGGGAAGCTACTTTAAGAGAACCACATGGTAAAAGAAAAGAGAGTAAAGCTATGAATATGAACATTTAAAATGGCTAATGAATATCAATATCAACATTCATACATTTTTTAAACCATAAAGTCTTATCTTAGAGGCATCCTATATAGATCATCCAAAGAGATTATCTTCTCTTTAATTCTCAAGAAGAAATTCAATTTCAGTTCAATTACAAACATGTTCTGGGACTAAATCTACTAAGAATATGCATCCACTATTTTGAATTTCTCTAGCAGAAGCCATGCTTCATATAAACATGGTCTGCTATTTATTTTCTTTATTTTTATGTGGTGCCTGGAATCGAACCCAATGTCTCATGCACGTTAGGCAAGCGTACTATCGTTGAACCACAACCCCAGCCCAGATATGCTACTCTGACTTTATATGTTTAATACCCTCACACACACATATAAATTAAAAGGCAAATTAGAAGTGCTCTTTACCTGATCTTCACTAAATAGCACTCCCCGCTGCCTGAGGATCCTTTTTGCAAGATCCCCTCCATCACAATATTCCATTACGATAAATAATCTGCTGTTTTCTGTAAAAAAGGTCATCATTTGGTGCTAGAAAATGTTAGATATTCAACAGTAATTTTCCCTTCAAATTCTAGAAGGTAGAGAAATATAACAGAAAAATGCAGAATACAATTTTAAAACTCTGGCTGTGAGACTCTTCTCAGCAGAAGGTATTCAAATGATCAACAAATATATAAAAAAATGTTCATCATATCTAGCAATTAGAGAAATGCAAATCAAAACTACTCTTAAGATTTCATCTCACTTAAAATCAGCATACTACAGAGCCAAATCAATGTTTATAGTAGCACAATTCACAATAGCTAAACTGTGGAACCAACCTAGATACCCTTCAATAGATGAATGCATAAAGAAACTGTGGTACATATACACAATGGAATATTACTCAGCATTAAAAAAGAATAAAATTATGACATTTGTTAGTAAATGGATGGAAATGGAGACTATCATGCTGAGTGAAATAAGCCAATCCCAAAAAACCAAAGGCTAAATGTTTTCTCTGATATGTGGATGCTGATCAACAATGGGGTTGCTGGGAAAGAATGGAGGAACTTTGGACTGGACAGAGGGGAGGGAGAGAAAGGGAGGGGATATGGGGGTAGGAAAGATGGTGGAATGAGAAGGTCATCATAACTCTAGGTACTTGTGTGATTGCACAAATGGTGCAACTCTACATGGTGTACCACCAGAGAAATGAAAAGTTGTGCTCCATTTGTGTACAATAAATTGAATTGCATTCTGCTGTCATGTATAATCAATTAGAACAAATTAAAAAAGAAGTACAACTAATAGCCAAACAAAACAAAACTAAACTAAACTTTTGGCTGTGAAATCAAGATGGTCTGAATTATTTTTGTTTGTTCATTTGTTTAGTTCTGGGGATTGAATGCACAAACATTCCACCACTGAGCTACATCCCCAGACCTTTTTATTTTATTTTGAGTTAGGGTTTTGTGAAGTTAGTGAAGCTGGTCTTGAACTTATGATCCTCCTGACCCAGCCTCTCCAGTTGCTGGGATTACAGATGTGCACCACCATGCCCAGCCAGACTGCGTTCTAATCTCACTTCACCACTTATATTTCTTAGCTCTGTGACTCTGGGTAAATTGATTTCTCTGTGCCTTATTAACTCATCTGTGAAATGGAAATTATAGAATAGAAACTTCCTCTTAAGGTTGTTGGAAGGATTTAAATGAGTTAATACCAGATGCTTAGAACAACACACTCAATAAGAGGTCAATATATGTTAACTATTATTATTTACTATAATCCCATAAGAGATTAGAAATCTGCTGTAAAAATAGCAGCTGTCTTTCCCAACATTCCAGGAAGAATTAATAGCCCTTTCTTGAATTTGGATATAAACTTGTGTTTATATAAAATTGTTCAATCATACTGTTGACACAATAGAAATTCTTCTGACTGACCTCTGCCTAACCTACTCGCTAGACCACTAAATGCTCACCATTGCTGTTGGCCACCCAAGGTCACCACCAGTGGCTCCTGGGCTGTCAAGGACATCCAAGTCCCTGTGCTCCCGCCAATCAAACTGATTCTCACCAAGACAGATACAATATAAAAAAGATGTGATTATTTCTATAAAAGCATCTTTGAATGATTTTGGAGGAATTCATGAGCTGCTAAAAAAAAAATTAAGATGTTGACCTCAATGTTGGATGGGACAGGTAAAATAAAATGGGAAGAGCTCTAAAAGGATTGTGGACCCAGATTACATACAAATTCTTATTGCATGTTAAAGAAAGGAAACTGAAGATTCCAGATGAGGGATATAGGTTATATAAGGAATAAGAAAAAACCAGGTCTTTGCCTTACATCAAAAGGTTAGTAAATTATTTTAAAATATATTTCTTGGTCTACATGTTTGTATCCCACAAAATCTATGTTGAAATCCTAACCCCCAAGGTAATAGTATTAAGAGGTAGGGCTTTCAGGAGGTATCAGGCCATGAGGGTGGCACCCACATGAATGTGACAAGTGCCCTTATAAAAGAGGCCCAAGGGAGAACTCTCCCCTTCCACCATGTTGAGGACACAGAAAGAAGTTACCATTTATGAACCAGAAAGTAAACTGTCGTCAGACCCTGATACTGCCGATACCTTGATCTTAGACTTGATCTTGGCCTAGAGAACTGTCAGCAATACAAGTCTGTTTGAAAACTACCTAGTATTTTGTTATAGTAGACAGAAGAGTCTAAGACATATCATTTCCTAATTTAATTTTTTCATTAGCCAGTCAACCAGCCGGGATCTTCTTAGGAAGGAGAAAAAAAAAGGCTTTTACTAACTTGTTAGTTTCTCTTATTAGTTTGTAGGCTCTCTGAAGACAAAGCCCACATATTATTCTTTTGTATTCCTTGTATCTAATACAGTAATTAGCACATGAAAGAGACTTCTGACCCACAAAAATTAAGAGATACATCAGGGAATACAAAGAGAGAAGGACATAGAGTCAGTTAATAAATGGGTACTGTTTTAAGCCATGAAATGTATGGTTCCTTGTTATGCAACAATAGTAAAAATATACAACAGTACAGGAATTTTTGTGTGTTTTGTTCACTGATTGATCTCCAAGACCTAGAACTTGCCTAGAGATAGTTAATGAGTTATGCCATTCCTCAGTATATACCCAAAGGACTTAAAATCAGCATACTACAGTGACACAGCTACATCAATATTTATAGCAGCTAAAGTCACAATAGCCAAGCTATGGAACCAACCTAGGTGCCCTTCAATAGATGAATGGATAAAGAAAATGTGGCATATATACACAGTGGACTATTACTCAACTATAAAGAAGAATGAAATTACGGCATTTGCCAGTAAATAGATGGAGGTGGAGACTATCATGCTAAGTGCAATAATCCAATCCCAAAAAAATAAGACTGAATGTTCTCTCTGATATTTGGATGCTAACACACAATAAGTGGGCAGTAGGGGGGTGGGATAGAAGTTCACATGATTAGACAAGGGGAATGAAGGGAAGAGAGGGAGATTGGGAATGGAAGAGACAGTACAACGAATCAGACATAACTTTCCTATGTTCATATATGAACACACCTCCAGTGTAACTCCACATCATGTGCAACCACAAAAATGGGAAGTTATACTCCATGTATGTACGATACGTAAAAATACACTCTACTGTCATGTACCTAAAAAGAACAAATAAAAAATAAAAAATTTAAAAGGAAAGTTAATGAATATTTATTGGTGGAATTTAAATGCAGTTAAATTAGACTTAGGAAAACATCAGTACACATTCTTCTTAAGTTAATTCAAACCCATAAAAACCTCATATTTTTCATAGACAAACATTAGAGCCATGGATCTAATGTTCAGAGATAAGCTGTCTTAGGATAAACAAAACACAGTCAGGGGCAACAAGGACCTCTGAAGCTTTTGAAAAAGTTTGATGTGTCTAGTATCAACAATCTGCCAAGCAAACTCATAGGCATTCTAATAGCTCCCATTTTTTCCAGCACAGAGATGCTCTACTTAACAAAATAAAACGAAAAAAAAAAGTCCTAAGGAAATTTAAATTAACACTAGAAACAAACTCAGCAGAGATTATTTATAGTGTAAGAATGACCTTGGTTTTGTAACAGTATTGTAAACTTGCATGGGGTAAAGATATACTGTCGTCTATTGAAAAGGTCCAGTTCATTTGCTTATTCAGCAAATACATATTGAGCAACTACTACATGCCACATGCTGAGGAACAAAGAGGTGAGCAAAAAAGACAGAAGCCCCCCAGATTTGTTAAGTTTTCTGCCTGCATTATGTGTGTGTACAGTGCTAGGGATCAAACCCAGGGCTCCATACAGGCTAAGCAAGTGCTCTACCACTGAGCTTCAGCCCCAGCTCGCGGGTGCTGTCTGAAGGAAAACAAATGCTAAATAAATCTGTAATTCTGTATATGTAGATATGCATACATAAGTTAAAAAAAAGTGCTGTGGAAGATCAGCAAAGGGTTATAGTTTGACTTATGAGTTCAGGGAAGGCCTAGGGATGAGCAGAAGTGACCTACATAAAGAAAGTCACAATAATAACAAAAAAAATTAGGAAAAGAAAGATGGTCTTATGGAGTTGTTAGGAATCAATGCACAGGAATGCAGGAGACTTTATTCATTGGCTGTCCTTCATAGTTGTTCAGGGCTAGGGTGTAGCTCAGTGGAAGAACATTTGCCTATCACGTTTGAGGCTCTAGCGCAACCCTCAGGACTATTAAAAAAAAAAAAAATTCACTGCCTGCCCCCATGTACTGCTTTGTTCCCAGGAAGTCTTCAGAAAAATCCTAGGAGATCCTTTATAAACCCATAGTTAAAGGACCAGATGCACAGAAGTACTTTGAATCCAGGGGGTTTAATCAGGAAGGAGCACAGTACCCTGCACGGAATTAAAAAACTCAAGAAAGAGTGGGTGTATTTATTTATTAATTTTTTTAACCACTGGATTATGCTTGACAATATCTAGGTTAACTACTTACACACAAATTAAAATAGCCCAGTCCTGGGGGCTGGGCTGAGGACCACCCCAACCTTGGTGAACTGTGGGCATATATGGCCTTGCCACAGCCTATAAACACCTGACACACCCTATACTGGTGCACTGTCTCTCTCTTCCCATTTTAATGTAAACTTCATGAGGACAGGGGTTTTGTGTTTTGTACACTGCTGTGTTCCTGATATATGGAATTAAGCTTAAGTAAGCATTCAGTTAATGGATACTAACTGAATAAATGGTCTTTGACCAGGACTCTCTTATTTTTCTTTTTAACCTTTGTAAGAGTGATGGATGGAGGCAGAATAGATAAATTCAAGCTGTGCAGGGGAGGGAATTCCTTCCTCAAAGTTCTTCGCCTCTAATGGGCAGTTCGCTTGGCTGTCTTCTGGCTGTTTGCTGACTCTCTGTGAGAGGATTATGCAGCCCTGTTGCCAAGGGACACTCAGGGCCTCCTGAAAGCAGAGTATACCCCCTTACACACATATCCTAGTGGGCATGATAGTGTGGGTGCTCCGTGTCTTCCTCTTTCCTCTTGCTAAGAAAAGAGTATGCTCTGTCTAGGTTGTCCCTTCAGCCCGGAACCCAAAGTTCAGACCACAGCTTGCCCACAGCCAGCACATAATGTGAGTGATAAACAGGTGTTTATAGCATGGGCCATGGAAACTCGGGAGTTGTTACTGCTGCAAATCTAATATGCCAATCATCGACTACTTTGGGGAGTGAGATTAAGATGAGAGGGGAAGACTTAATAAAACAGAAGAAAGCTGTCTACAGAAACCCACTAGAAGATAACATCTCAAACTGCAATTTAAGTAAATGGGAAAATGAGTCCATTTATAAAAATTAATGTATACACAAGTCTCAGGAACATCTTTTATAAGTCAACATGTCTATACTTAAGAATATTAGAAAAATCTCACCTTGAAATGAACTAAAGAAGGTTACAATGTTGGGATGTTTCATCTTGGCCAAAAGAATCACTTCTTTCTTTGAAGCTTCTTTGTCTTGGATAGGCATCTAAATTATATTAAGAGACAAGATAACAAGAGTTATCTGTGAAGATAACTTACTTTCAGGAGCATGCTTCTGTTGTAGGGACAGAGGCAAGACACCGAAGATAGCAGGAAACAGTTTTATTTGGCTACAGCCAGGTTCAGAGGGCACAGTTTTTGCTGTAATCAATTAATCCCCTGAACCCCGAGTTCAGGGAGTTTCAGAGTTTTATACCCAGCATGTAAGGGAAGGGGCTCAGAAGTTCACAGTCTGCAGAAGTTCACATAAAAGCAGCTTTTTCTTTCACTGTTTTGGGCAAGTTAACTCTTCAAGGACAACACCTGAGAAGGGGAGAGCTTCTTCTCCCCTTCTTTCCTCTCCCTGCCAGCTGTTACCATGGAGCCCAATTGTAACTTATCTAAAAAATGTAGACATCTCTGTGAAACCCCAGCTCAAGGCCAGAGGCCTTGTTTGCACATTTCTTCAAAGTACTATACTGGATATGCTTGTGAAAAAGTAATAAGGGGGTGTTCAGCACCTGGAGTGCTGGTATCTTCCCGGCCAGTGGCCAAGTAAATAGGGCTACACAAAAATAGGAAGTTTATCTATATTGGACTCTTCCGCAGAGACTCTTTTGCTGACAGTCCTAAAATCAGGCATGGTGAAGAGGGCTTTTCTGTGGAGAAAAGGGGTGCCACTTTGCTTCCTGTACTCCCACCTAAAATTCCCTAGGATGCGCTGGGAATGTAGCTCAGTGGTATAGCGCATGCTAAGCATGCATGAGGCCCTGGGTTCAAACCCCAGCACCAAAATAAATGAATTACATTAAATTCCTAAGATGAAATTGGTTTTTAATGTCACTTCTAAAACCCATCTCTTAGGTAGAGAAGATGACATCTCTAGAATTAGTAAAGTGTTCCATATTTAATCAACATTTGTCAATGGGAAACATAATCAAGAAAATAAATACTGCTGGTGCAATTTTACTGCATTAAAAGTCAGAAGCCAGGTGTGGTGAACCACACCTTTAGTCCCAGGTACTGGGGAGGCTGAGGCAGGAGAATCACTTGAACCCAGGATTTTGAGATCAGTCTGAGCAATATAATGAGAACCTGTTTCAAAAATAAGTAAGTAAAAGTTGTCCCCCTCCCCATCTATTTCTATTTTTAAAAAAGACAAATACCCTGATAGAAAAACAGCAAAGCAGCATGGCCTGATGGCACTGCCTGTAGAGCACCCCCTGGGTTCAATCAGCTTGCACACTCTCTCTCTCTCTCTCTCTCCCACACACACACACACAAAAAAAAAAAAAAAAAAAAAAAAAAAAGGAGAAGACAAAAACAGCAAAGCAACATACACAAAAAAGAAAGAAAATAAAGAAATTAAATATGATCAATAAATAGGAAAAAATAGAGGCTGGGGCTGTAGCTCAGTGGCAGAGCACTTGACTATGCATGTGTGAGGCCCTGGGTTTGATCCTTAGTACCACATAAAAATAAATAAAATAAAGGCATTCTGTCCATCTACATATACAAAAAAAATTTTAAAGTAGGAAAAAATACATCATTCAGGAATCAAAGGAATAAAAGCTAAAACAAAATTGGCAAAGATGAAAAGAATGTTAACAAACACTATGGGCCAAAAACCCAGCAAAATAGACATTCATATTTCTGGTAAAAGTCCATACATTGGTAAAATCTTTCTGAAAAGGTAATTTTATAATGCATAATATGAAATTTAAAACTATTCCTATTTTTGAATAATTCTAGAAAAATTTCCAAAGAAAAGAATAAAAAAAGCCAGGGCCACAGATGAAGAAGAAATGATGGAAATTCATTTGAAAATCAAATGGGGGTGGGGAGAACTGCCTCAATACAGGCTATTCAGTGGATTATAATAATAGTGGAGGGTTGAAATGTAGTTTCAAAAGTGGACAATTTCTGTTCTTACATCTGTTTATAAAGAAAATCATAATGTCTTGAAATCACTCTTATGTAAATAGATGACCTTTTTGCAGTGTAAATAAATAAATAATGTGCCCAGGAGTTATACAAAATTCTTTAATACAGTGTTTTATTGCTAGTTTTTAAATTACTCTAATAATACAGACTTGTAAATTTGATTGTTTGGAGTGACAGGGATAGAACCCAGGACCGTGTGTGCTACAAACTCGCTCAACCTCTGAGCAACACTCCTAACCCTAAAGTCCACTTAATCATTAAAAATAGTCTGGAGAACAAAACAAATTTTTTTAAAAAAACACCGAGCTACATCACTAGCCCTTTATATTTTTCATTTTGATACAGCAAGCTAAGCTGACAAGACTGGCCTTGAACTCGTGATCCTCAGCCTCCCTAGCAGCTGGAATTACAGGTATGCACTACCGAGCCCAGCTTGGAGAGAAATTTTTTAAAATGCTTATAGTGAATAATTAAGAAAGATGTCATAAATTATCTTTGTTTTCCTCTAAAAGTTCTTATTTTCCTCTTTGCTTCTTTTCAAAATTTCTACAGTGAATGTTTTTACCCTTATAATTAAGAAAAGATAACAGCATGCACAGGGACCTGAATTCAATCCCAGAACTGCCAAATAAAGTGGGGTATGGTGGAGAGACAAGATACAACACTTTTTTTAAGCAATATATAAAAAAGAACATGTTTAATAACAGTAGAATGATAAGAGAAAATATTAGTTTTTTGATACCTGTAAGAAAATAAGCAATTTAAATTCTGACCTAGAGTTATTGAGTGGTGAGGTACTGGAGAGATGAGAAGAAATGTAAATTTCTCTAGACAAGAAATAATAAAAAGCTACAATAGAGCAGAAAGGAAGAAATACGTAATCAATTTTTTTGTAATCAGTGTTGATACTATGACAGCAGTGTCACAGGCAAATCTGATAGCATAAAGAAATATGGGGAGATGAGAATAATGGGTTCTAAAATAGCATTCTACTTACTTATGGAACATAGTTAAATGATGAATACAATTAGTATTGCACTAGAAAAACAGTTTGTGATTATACTAACAATTTGGATAGATGCTATGAAATGAGTTGATAAATATTTTTATAAAAAAGTTTTTCTGTTTTTCTGGTACTGGGGATCAAACCCAAGGCCTTGTACATCCTAAGTAAGCGCTCTACCACTGAGCTATATCCCAGCTCTAGAAGTTTTATATTTTTATGGAGTCAACCCAGCCACCTTTTCTTTTATGACTTCATAACTTCCAGTGAAGTTTGGGAGCGTGGCTCTAGCATTATGAAAATTGTACTATAGAGGCTGGGATTGTGGCTCAGAGGTAGAGCACTTGCCTAGCACATGCAAGGCCCTGGGTTTGATCCTCAGCACCACATTAAAAAATAAATAAATAAAGGTATTGTGTCCAACTATAACTAAAAAATAAAATATTTTTTTAAAAAACTGTACTATATGAAAAATGGAGCCATGAGAAAGCTGCTGGAGGACCCAAGGTATTGACAAATGACCCAAGTCTATGTGACAAAAGAAATTTAAGCAAATTCAAGGAAGAGAAAGAGTCCAGAGTATTTAGCAGATAATTGGAATTTGGAGAGAGAAAAGACTCACAGATGACCCCAAGATTTGGAGCCCAGATAACATAAAGATATTGATGTCATTAACACAGTGCAGTATGGGGGTGGTGAAATGGGTCTGCATATAATGATGGGAAATTCCCACTTGGTTTTGGGCACAGTTGTGGTAACTAGCTCCCAAATGGTCTCAATGATCCTTGTCCTAAATTCTGTCTTTTTTTTTTTTTTTTTTTTTTTTTTTGTACCAGAGATTGAACCCAGCGGCACTTAACCTCTGAGCCACATTCCCATTGTGTGTGTGTGTGTGTGTGTGTGTGTGCGTGCGCATGCATAGTGCTGGGGATTGAACCCAGGATCTTGTGCATGCAAGACAAGCACTCTATCAACTAGGCTATATCCCCAGCACCCTCCAGTCTGGTTTTTATTTTTAATTTTGAGATAGGGTCTAAGTTACTGAGCCTGGCTTTGAACTTGTGATCCTCCTACCTCTGCCTCCTGGCTGCTGGGATTACATGACCACATCCAGCCCTTGTCCTAAATTCTTGGTGCATAGAAACTGTGAGATGATTAATGTTTAGCATTTAAGGAACTAATATATTACACAGCAATAGATCATTAACATAGATATTACTTAGAGATATCTAGCTGGAAGGTGAAATGTGGAATGAAGGAGCAGGAAGAAGAGTAATCTGCTTAGTGGTAAACACTGAAGTGAAATGAAGTGATTACCAGGTGCTTATGTGCAGAAAGAGAAGGTCAGCAAAGGGCAGATGACTGGGGACATACAGAGAGTGAGGTAAGAGAGGGGCCTCAGGAACAGCAGTCAGATAAACAAAAATGAGTGAGCAGAACAAAGTCATAGAAGAAGACTATAACAGGCTACTAGAATAAGAGAACACTATGAATATGCCATGGATCCATAATACGGGACCTGTATTGGCAAATTGCATTATGTCTGAAGTTAATCATTCACACATGAGGTTTAACTCAGGTTTGGGTAGTTTTTAGGGAGTTTCTTTTACAACTTTCTTTTAAAGTTCTTTTACAACTTTAAAAATTGTGGTAAAATATATAAAAGACACAATATATACTATTTTAATCATTTTTAAGAGTGCAATTATTCTTAACAAAAATTGGAACTTCTCAACTTTACCTTTGCAAAATTGATCTCTTTTATGACACAGTGCTTGCTATCCAATTTTTCTTTAGCCAAGTATGCTTTTCCAAAGGCACCTTCCCCAATGATTTTAATCATGTCAAATTTATCCATGGTCTACAGTGCTCGAAGGTTTCTGGGAATAAAGTATTGAAATTTTACTGCACATTCCTCATGACAACTAACAAAGTCAGATTTTTTTTTTTTTTTTTTTTACTGGAAATTGTTCTCTGGGGGACTTTACCACTGAGCCACATCCCCAGCCCTATTTTTTCATGATCCTCCTGCCTCAGCCTCCCAAGCCGTTTGTATTTAATGGGCGTGTGCCACTGCAACGGGCCAAAGTCAGAAAATTGATGACTAAAATGTAAAAGAACTGACGTTGCTAAAATTTCCCTTCAAACTTTGCAAAGACAGAGTCAAATAATTTCCTTGCATTGTGACCTTGAGCAAGTCACTTAACCTTGCAAAACCTCACTTTTCAGGTTTTAAATGGAAATAATACCTGTGTTGAAAGTTTGTTCTGACAAGGAAAGATCTTATATCCCTGGTGCCTGTCACCTCCAGAGAAGAGGAATATTCTTTTGTCGGTGTGGTAGCACAATCTAGCCCTTCTCAGCGAGGAGGTGCTGCCCCCTAGGGGAAGCTTGTAAATTGATACGGGGTTTTCAGCTCTGCACAGAATCAGAGGCATTACAGTATTTAGAGGCAGTTAGGGTCTGCATTACTAGTTGGCAAGCGAAGGCCTGCCCTACACAGTAAAGGATTGCCCCGCCGCTCAAACTTGGAAAGTCTCCTCGTATATTTATATGTGTAGAAGAATCCGTTCACAATTATCTGCGGCTTGACCCAAACTCTATTTTACCTCTAGACATTATATATATGTTTTCCTACAGGTATAACTCACACTGCATTTCCTACGAATGCAAATTTATATATATGAAATCTTTTTTGCATTTTGGAACTTTACCAAAAAATTGATCACCATTTTTGAAAATCACGCCCTCCATTGGTCGCGCTCAGAGACCCAGCAATCTGCATGCCGCCGCCACATTCAGGCGACTGCATTACTACTTTGTAGTAGTGCTACGCACTTACAGAGGGAAATACACACTTTGTCTCCTTCTACTTCCCTTTATGCTACCATTAGAACATAACGCGGGTTTCTAAAAATCGAGTGAACAAGACAGGTTGTTTTTCCGTGTCAGGGTAGGAAGTGGGCACCAAAGCGTTGCCAGTGGAGACTACGGGCACCAGAAGACCAGGTTCTGAACCAGGCGGGGGCGCAATCGCGGGGATTCAGACCACCAGTCCTGGAATAGAAGGCGCATGACAGAGGTAATAGTAAGTGGAATCCCTCAGGCTTAGAGGGGCCTCTACTTGAGGACCACCCTTGGAATTTGCTGGCTGGGGGACTGCCGGGTCGCCGCCTGTGCTCTGGAGCTCAGCGTCTTGCGCGTTGCCATGGAGCGCGACACAGCCCTAGACACTAAGCAGCTCCTCGCCTGCCCGGCCCCCAGTCTGGGACTCCATCCGCCCTCCCCACCCCACTCCCATCACCCCCGCCCCCTGCGGATCCTGGGGCAGCTCCAGCTAGGGACGAGGCCTGCCCGCAGCATACCTTTCTGCCGGCTCCTGGCTCCGCTGGGCCAGCAAAGCGTCTGGGTGGATCCAGGTTTCCCGGGCAGCTGAGACTGCCGGTGGCCTGGGCGGAGCCAGTGAGGGAACACAGTTAGGGTGCCGGGCTAGAGACAGGACACCTGTCTGCACCGTTCATCCTGAAAAAAGGGCAGAGACCTGGGAGTTTGGAGACCCAACAGATAGATCACTAATCTCCTAATGCCTTAGGTCGCGACCGCTAGCATAACACAAGATCTATACCGCTCCCCGCTCTTTTTAGGGAGCACCTTGCATACATTTTTCTCTATTCTTTAAATCACACTCCAAAGAGGTAGTCTCCCAGTTTTACAAAATGAACCGAACCGAGACAGGAAGCGTATTATTTGTTTTTGTCATGGTGGTGGTGCTGGGTATCAAACCAGGCACTTGGCGAAGGTTGAGCCACTGCTCTACTACTGATCTACACTCTGAGCAGGAAATGTGTGTTGTACAGGGCCTTAAATACTGTCATGGGTGTATGTGAGACACATCCGGTCCTACTCTTGGCCACAACCTCGCCTTCCTTTGGGTCCCCTTACAAACTATCTGCTGCCCTGTAGTTTGCAAACTCGCCCTCTCACACCGTCCTATTCCTGATTGGCACATCAAGTTGCGGTCTAATACAGTTCATTACCTGTCTAAGTAGTTGAAAGGATGTAACTTTCACCAAAGGTAAATCCTGACACAAGTAGAACACGTCCATATCCAATGAATCTAAATAACATGACCATTTAACCCATCTTTGACACTCATACATTGCTGGTGGAACTGCAAATTGGTGCAGCCAATATGGAAAGCAGTATGGAGATTCCTTGGAAAATTGGGAATGGAGCAACCATTTGACCCAGCTATCCCTCTCCTTAGTCCATACCCGAAGGACTTAAAAACAGCACACTACAGGGACACAGCCACATTGATGTTTATAGCAGCACAATTCACAATAGCTAAACTGTGGAACTACCTAGATGCCCTTCATAAATGAATGGATTTTAAAAAATGGCATATATACACAATGGAATATTACTCAGCAATAAAAGAGAATAAAATTATGGCACTTGCAGGTAAATGGGTGTCGATGGAGAAGACAATGCTAAGTTAGCCAATTCCAAAAAAACAAATGCGGAATGTTTTCTAAGGTGACTGACTCATAGTGGGGTAGGGAGGGGAAACATGGGAGAAAAAGACGAACTCTAGATAGGAAAGAGGGGTGGGAGGGGAAGGGAGGGGGCAGGGGGTTAGCAAGGATGGTGGAATGTGATGGACATCATTATCCAAAGTACATGTATGGAGACATGAATTTGTGTGAACATACTTCATATACAACTAGAGATATGAAAAACTGTACTTTATATGTGTAATAAGAATTGTAATGCATTCCTCTGTCATTTATTTAAAAAAAAATCAATAATGAAAAAGTAACCTACATTTGTCCAAAAACAAACAAAAAACCAACCACTGCCTGTAAAGATCTATCAACAACTAAAAAAAAAAAAGGACACTAAGTTTGAGGTTAGCCTCAGCAACTTAGTGAGTCCCTGTTTCAAAATAAAATACATAAATAGGGCTAGGAATGTAGCCCAATGATAAACACACACACAATCAATCCCATCAGTTTTTCTTCATTCCCGCCCCTTATTTTATCCCCAGTTCTGGTGATCTTGAACCCAGGGGTGCTTTTACCACTGAGCTACTTCCCAGTCTTTCCCATGCTCCCTGCCCTTTTGGAGACAGGAAAAATTGCGAAAACTGGCCCTCAAACTTGCCATCCTCCTGCCTCAGCCTCCTGAATCACTAGGAGGCATTTGCATGGCCCCTTCCTTTTTCTTAAAAACTATTAAGTGCTTGGGCTGGGGATGTGGCTCAAGCGGTAGCCTGCTCACCTGGCATGTGCGGGGCACTGGGTTCGATCCTCAGCACCACATAAAAATAAAATAAAGATATTGTGTCCACCGAAAACTAAAAAATAAATATTAAAAAAATTCTCTATCTAAACAACAACAACAACAAAAAACTATTAAATGCTGAAAAATCTCATCTAAATACAGACACAGGACTAGAAGCTTTGTAAAAATTATCCCTCAATTTTGCATAGTTGTATGTGCAGAATCATACAGTAATTATCACAAAAAATGGTTTATAATCATCACCTGATAATTCCATTCACTTCCTGAAATTTTATTGAAGCAAACAATCCTACAAACCATTGGATTTTCAAAATAATTAATCCAAGACTCATTCAGCCTCTTATACATTCAAGATCCCTTTAATTGATGTTTTGGAAATGTTTACACCCTGGGGCAATGCTAAGATTTGAGATGACTGAGAGCTATAAAATATAGTGTATATGGAAACTGAGGATCTGTAAATACCTTTAAAACTATCCGTGCCTGCCTTAACTTTTTTTTAAGAGAGTAGTGACTACCTCCAAGGAGCTAATCACAATCCACCTCATTCTCCCCATAGCTAATCCTCTGACTGGGTTCTTTTGTATATCCTATAAGAATCTGTATTTAAGGATAACTATCCAGAGCTAGATCTTATTTAAAAACTGCACATATGCTGGGCACTGCAGTGTATGCCTATAATCCCAGCAGCTCAGGAAGCTGAAGCAGGAGGGTTACAAGTTCAAAGCCAGTCTCAGCAACTTAGTGAGGCCCTGAGCAACTCAGTGAGACCCTGTCTCTAAATAAAATACAAATTTGAGGGCTATCTCAGTAGTTAAGTGCCCCTGAATTCAATTCCCAGTACCAAATAAATAAATAAATAAATAAAATCACACACATTATATTCTAAGTAAATGTATTTAGATCTGCAAACCTTGAGGAAATGTGAAAATTGTTATAGTAATAAACACAAGTTGTAGCAACAGGAATAGTTAACATATGAGCTGCTAAAACTATCTATGGTCAGCATCCCCAAGAGGTAGGCATCATTATCCTCATTTTATTTCTTTTTTTTAAATTTATTTTTTTTTATTGTTGGTTGTTCAAAACATTACATAGTTCTTGATATATCATATTTCACACTTTGATTCAAGTGGGTTATGAACTCCCATTTTTACCCCATATACAGATTGCAGAATCACATCAGTTACACATCCATTGATTTACATATTGCCATACTAGTGTCTGTTGTGTTCTGCTGCCTTTCCTATCCTCTACTATCCCCCCTCCCCTCCCCTCCCATTATCCTCATTTTATAACTAAGAAAATTTGGGGTCAAAGAAGTTAAGTAATTTCCTACCATCGATCACATTACTAGTTAGTGGCAGAGCTAGCATCCAACCTATGTTCTATCAGATTGCAAAGCTCATACTAGTCTGCTCTACCTTCTCACTTGTGCTCACTCATGGGAGTTCTACATTTTTAAAACTGTGATGCTAATCAGGAGCAATTTTAAGTATTGGCAATTCCCCACTCTTCATTCTATTTCCAAACATGAATTCTTCATTTGAAACATCTCTCCCATGGGACTCCAGCATTCTCTCGGGCAGGCGTTATCCATCGCACACACCCTGCCACTCAGCTCGCTTCCTCAATTCTGACACCCAATCAAGGTCGTCGTCATCTTCCTCAAAGTCCCTGTGCAAAAACAATTTGGATGATAAGCCTCTGTATTAAAAGTCAACATGTATTTGTTGAGATGTTCAAAGTAGAACACTATCATATTATTCAAATTTTAAAAAATGAGTTCCATAAGGAATAAGATTGTTGTTAGTTCTCTCAAAAGATCACTTATTTCATTGTTTTAAAACTTTTTTCTCAATGAAAAATCTTATGTATTAAAAAATAACAAATCCTCCAGTACTGAAAACAAAACAAAAAAACAAGTCTAAACTGAAAGATTATATGTGCAAGATTCAGCCAGGAATTCTATAATAAAACTGTAAGGCATTACACATCTCTAACAAAAAGTCAAGATATAAATATTACTGTATGATGAAAAGTAATGTAACAAGTTCCTACTGAATCTGAAATTATGATATAATATGGTGTCTGCAACCATACACTCAGACACCTCCACCAATTAAGGCCTCTGAAGTATATCACAACATACGTGTCTTCTTCATCCAGCCTAGGTTCGAGTCTCTCTGGATCCAAAATGACAGAATTGTGATCTCCATCAACACTGTCTGATACTTCTGTTTCATCAGATAGGGGGCCTTTCAAAAATCCTTCTGAACCTTCAGGGGAATAGTAACAGAAAGTAAGTGAATTTATTTATTTTTGAAATGGTGGGGGGGTGTGTCTTACAATGTTGTTCAGGCTGCCCCAAACTCCTAGACTCAAACAAATCCCTGACTTCAGCCTCCCAAATGCTGGGACTACCAGTTCACACCATAGCACCCAGCTAAGTATGCCAATTTAAACAGTATCTACCCAGCATGATTTTGGTATAAACAGGCCCAGAAAGCATCAGTATGTGGATTAAATTTTAAAATAGTACTTTTTCTAAAAAAATTAAAAAACACCTCAGAAATTCACATTAAAACCCTTCATAAGAATCTATGATAAAGTATTAAGATATATCTTTGGAAGTTGGATTACAGTTAACTTTATCTTCTTTTGAATTTTCCTCTCCCTAGTTTCACAATGGAGAAGAAGAAAAATAAGGAATTAATGGAAGATCACATGTACACTTGTTATTCTTATTTATTTATTTTACAGTGCTGGGCACGGAACCCAGGGCCTCTTACATGCTAGGAAGTCAAGCTCTTTACCATTGTACCCCAGCCCCCATATATTCTTTTTAACAACACTGCAGATACTGATTACATTTGGACTTTCTGCTCATAGAATAAACGCCTAACATAAAAATGCAGGCTAAATCTTTATAAAATTCATTTCAAAATAGAGAAATGATATGCTTTTCAAACAGTGAATTTCCTAAAATGAAAATTACTTCATCATTGGACCAGGAAAAAAATCCAGTATCTATAATTGCTAAATCAAAACTTATAGTTGCCAAAATAAAAGGTACAGTGAGGGGCTGGGGGTGTAGCTCAGTGGTAGAGCACATGTGCAAGGCCCTAGGTTCCATCCCCAGCACGAAGAAAGGAAAAAAAAAAAAAAGCATTTGTAGTTATTAACCTTCCTTGACATCTTTTGCCCACCCACCCACCCACCTCCCCTCAGGGCTTCCATAATATTCTGTGCACAACTCCATCAGAACATGTACACCACAGAATGCTGCACTTCTATAATGCCAGCAACTCAGGAGGCTGAGGCCGGAGAATCTCAAATTAGAGGCTAGTCTCAGCAATTTAGGGAGACTCTGTTTCAAAATAAAAGGACTAAAGACAGTTCAGAAATAGAACACCAGTAGGTTCAATCCCATACTACAAACAAAACAAAATGAAAACCACACATACATTCTTAAATGCAGACCAGACCTTTGGTCTAGATGCCTAAGGGTGGTATTATGAAAGATTATTTTGTATAATTTTAGGAAAAATATCTATAAAAATAATTTTTAAGTCAGATCATAATTAGTCATCATTTTTGAGCTCTATTCACTATAATAAAACTCAAGTACACAACAAAAGAAATCTTGGAGTTGTCACTAAGTAATGATAAATTTGCATGGCAAAAAGGGACTAGTCTTTGTTTGGTAGTCTTAGGGATTTAACCCCAGGGGTGTTCCACCACTTAGCTCCACCCTCAGCCTTTTTTTAGAGACAGGGTCTCACTAAGTTGCTCAAGTGGGCCTTGAACTTGTGATCCTCTGGCCTTAGCCTCTCAAGTTGCTGGGATTACAGGTTTTAAACTGGCCACCATACTAGGCCAAAATGGGACTATTCTTGGGCAGGGATGTAGCTCAGTGGTAGAATGCTTGCTTAGCATATGCAAATCACTGGGTCTGTTCCCCAGCACTACAAAAAACAAACAAACAAACAAAAACAGGGGTGCTATTTGCTTATTAAAATAAGCAAACAAACAAGCAAATAGAAGTAAAGTATTTCTATGAGCATTTTTTAATCACAGCTTAAAACTAGCTAGAAAAGATTCAAGAACACATAAAAATACATTTTTGCAACTTTCTAATAAGAGAGAATGGGGAATTATTACTTTATAGGGATAGCTTCAGTTTGGCAACATAAAAAAAAGCTTTGAAGATTAGTTGCACAACAATGTAAACGTACTTCACATTACTGAACTGTAGGCTTAAAATGATTAAGATAGTCAATTTTATGTTATATGTATTTGAGCAAAATTTTTTTTAAAAAAATGAAAGACATTACTATGATTAGACAGTAGGGAATAATTACCTGGTCTATATATTGTGTACGTTTGAAATGCCAGGCTGAGATCAGCATTGTTAAGGATGTTCAATAGGGTGTCAGGGGTCTCTCTGAGCCACTGCTTACGGGTGTTATTTTCACTATACTTTATTATAGAACCACCTAGTTGTGAAAAGATAAAAATTAGTGCCAAATAAGAAAAAGATTTTCAGCATCTATCTTCCAAACTATTTCTAGAACAGTTAATTGTATTTGACTCTTAGCTAAAATTTCACTCGCCTATATGAGTAGCACTTTGATATGGGATGCCAAATATTCTTCATAGATGGACATAAAACGGTAGCACAGTGAATAACTACTAGAAATTGTTCCATAATAAATAATACTATTCAATCTGACTACAGTTGGTCTTCTGTATCTGAATTTTTAAAAATAATATGCACAGTTACACATTACACAATGTACAAGAATGTAGCAAGCACCAAGAGAACTTATTTACATACAGTTTGTTATGCTCTTCATGGTGGACAACAAGCAAATACCGTTTTTCCTAATAGCTCTGACAGATAACCATTTTTTTTTTAAGTGCTAGCTTCAAAAATATTTTTTGAAAAAATAAGTTTGGACTGGGATTCTAATTATAATTAGATGTATTCCATGCTTGTATAAATATATCAAAATAGATTCTAATGTCATGTATAACTAAAAAGAACAAATAAAAATTTTAAAAATTAAGTCTTCACTAAACATGTAGACTTTTTTCATGTCATTTTCCCTAAATAATACCATACGACAACTTATCTTGTGTTAGGTATTGTATTTACATATAATAAGTATCACTTAGAGATTATGTGAAGTATATAGGAGGGTATGTATAGGTTATATGCAAGTACTATGCCATTTTATATATGGGACTTGCGTATTTGTGAATTTTGGTCTCTGGAACCAATCCCCCATAAATATCAAGGGATGATGACAGCACTAACCTCTATCATCCTCTGCAGTTAAACTGGAGGTGAGTATGGGTGCATTTTCCAAAGCTCTAAGAGTTGTGCTGGGTACATTTTTCTCCCACTGCCGCCTCTGAGGACTTGGTGAACTGCCTTTCATGGAGTGGACTGACAGATTACCTGATTCTAAAATGCAAAAAAGGAGTGCCAAGCATATTATATTATTTATTCATCTACATCTGCACATGTACTCTAATAATGCAGAAATATTTCTTTTCTTTTTCAAACTCAGATCTAGCATCAGTGTTATTTCAAGTCTTAAGGAGCAAAGTAAATGAAAATAAAAATGCAGAAAAGAAATAATCCAAATGATGGATCAACTCAAAATAAATCACTAAAGTAAAATGAATTTAAAAAATAATATGCAGAGAGTTATACATTACATGGTATACAAGAATGAAGCACTAAAAGAACTTGAACAGCTTGTTATATTTTTTATGGTGGACAAATATCAATTTTCCTAATGGCTCTGAGTGATAAATATGTTTTTTTTTTTTTTTTTTTTCAGTGCTAGGGATTGAACCCAGGGCCCAAGCTTGTTAAGCATATACTCTAACACTGAACTTCACACCCAGCTCTTAATCTCTCTCTCTCTCTCTCCTTTTTTTTTGGGGGGGGGGGGGGGTGGGCATGGGTAAGTAACATAGTCCTGCAACATTAATTACTGAGTGAGCAAATAAATATCTGTATACTTGCTAGTGATACCTAAGACCTACAAACATGAAATTTGGCACCCCTTCTATATTCCCAACTGCCCATATATATAATGATTACAATTTGAATAACTTACCTTTTTTCTCTCTGGTTACTCTCCTTAACGCACTTTCACCCAAATTTGTATTCGTGTTTTCTAAATTGGGATGGTTATACTTTCTACCTTTGTTTTCCTCTTGCTTTAAAAGAAGAATTTTAAAATATTCATTAAACAATGCTTGAATGGCTATGAAAGAGTAAACAAATACACAATGTCAGGTGTTTTCAATATAATCAAAATTTAACGAATCAAAAACCATGAAAGCTGGGTGTATTGGTGCAGGCCTGTAGTCCCAGCTATTTTTATTGATGAAAATAAAAATGAGGCCTGGGGTTGTAGCTCAGTGGTAGACCACTTGCCTAGCATGCATGAGGTACGGGGTTCAATTCTCAGCATTGCATATAAATAAATAAAAGGTTCATTGACAACTAAAAAAATACTTAAAAAAAGGATAATGAAAAAACTTTCAATGTAGTCTGCTGTCCTGGGCTTGATGTACTTTTTTTTTTTTTTGATGCTAAGAATTGAACCCAGGGCTTTGTGCATGCAAGGCAAGCACTCTACCACCTGAGCTATATCCCCAGCCCTTGATGTACTATTAAAATGAAGATATCTTACAGAATTAATAGATTTGGGGCTCAGAAAACAATGCCCTGAAGTATGGCACCTTGGCATACTGAGTACTTTGGAAAAAGGCACTGGAAGACTCCAGGAACAGCCTCAGAACCAATGTCTCTCATCATTCCTTTCCTCTTAAAGCAATTTTTAGAACCCAGAATTATTCTTCTGGACAGTGGGTCACAGAAACTGGAACTCCCTTTCCATAAAGCAAGCCATAATCCTAAATCTATTACTCTGACTTTCCCCATCTTTCTATCTTGGAGCTAGCCATAAAGAAATATCCTTTCTCTGATCTACCTTGTCCAATAACCCTCCATTCCTGAGGGGTCCTGTCTCATACCTGGGGGAAGTATAACCAAAGGCCTACAACCAAAGGTCAAGAATAATGTTAATGGACAGGCTTCACTGGATTTCCCCTTCAGTGTATTCCTATTATAATGGTCAGACCCTTTTTGTCCAATCGCATTTCTACATGGATGTCTGAGCTTCATCAAACGTAAGCTAAAAATGGATAGTCACCCTGGGTGTTTGACTCTTCACTCTGAAGGCTCTCATGTCACATAAAATTTTGATTAAATTCGTTATCCTTTTCTTGTTAACCTGTCTTTTGTTAGAAGGGTGCTGGCTGTGACCCTTATGACAGGTGAGGAAAGACATCATCACTCCTTTCTGCACCTCTACTATATATGGTCAAAATATACCCACTTAAATCAATATATTTCCAAATTATCTCACCCCTAGATTTCATGGAGTCTAGTAAAATACTATCTAGCCTTTACTAGGTCTTCATATTTTTTGAGGAGAAATACATATGCAGTGCCTAGACATTCCAGACCCACAGATTTATTATTATTATTCAGGATTGCACTCAGGGGCCCTCAACCACTGACCCACATCCCCAGCCCTATTTTTGTATTGTATTTAGAGACAAGGTTGAGTTGCTCAGTCCCTCATCATTGCTGAGGCTAGCTTTTAACTCGTGATCCTCCTGTCTCAGTCTCCCAAGCCACTGGGATTATAGGCATGCACCACCACACCCAGCCAGATTCTCAATTATTTTTTGAATGACTAAATAAACAATAGGGCTTGGCTGGCATATTGAGCTTTCTTCTTCTTATGCAATGGCTGGTATTCAGACTTCTCTTCCCACACATCTAGGGGACACAAACATCTCTATCACTTCACAGTTGAGGTTCACCATAGCACTGATTTTAAAGCCCACCTCCTAAACACACTGGAATCCCAGAGAAGCAAAAGATCAAATTAAATTGGGGAGGGGCAGATATTAACTGCCCCCTAAAGAGTTCAATCTTTCTCCCCATCGTGAATCACTGCTCTCAGCTCCTATAGCAGCGTCAAATTTCTGCCTGGGGCCACTCGGCACTGCCCAGAGCTGGCCTACAGGTCACTCTCATTATACCTCAAGTCTCCCATTACCTAACTTGCTTTCTGGCCATTCTGCCATTTTGTTTACATGCTGTGCCTTTTTCATTTTGCGGACCCACACTGATGTGTCCACTGTAGCTGGTACAGTCACATGATCCACAGTGATGCTTCAGTCAACAATGGGCTGCATATGCAACAGTGATCCCCTAAGATGTATCACTTAGTGACATTGTAAGTACACTCTCTGATGTTTGTACAATGTTGAAGTTCCCTAGGGACACATTTCTCAGAACACGCCCCAGTTGTTAAATTACATTTGACTATTAAAATTACAGAAGTGGTTGCTTGGGCAGAGTTTGGGATCATCTGCAAAAGGATTCAAAAACTTTTCAAGGGGATATAACTTTTATATCTTGAGCGTGATGGTGTCCATATCACTGTATAAATAAAATTTAAAAATTCATTAAACTATACACTAAAATTAGGTAAATTTTATTACATGTACATTATGCTTCAATAAAACTCAAGAAAAAAAATTACCATGAAAAGATTTTTAAAAGGACAGCTGCAGGATATATTCCATTTTTTTTTTTCAACATAAGAATGGGACACTATTTACAACCTGGGGTTCATTTTAAAAAATCTACAAGTTTAATTACTAGTACATCCCATAATTAGGAAAATATGTTGTCAGAATATATTTTTCCTTTTTGAATTAGGAGGTTAATTAAAATATTGAAGAAAGAAAAAAAAATCACCAATAGCACACAATTTGCTAAGATGGGTATGATAACATGGAAAGTGGATCAGCTGCTACGATTCACAATTTTATTACATCTTTAGTGTAAAGAGTTTCACAACTGCCTAGGGCTGGACAAGATGGGCTGGACAAGATGAGCAGGACCTTGAATGCCCAGATGAAAAATGCTAATTTGATTTTCTGGGTTGATAGAGAGGCACTGCAAATTTTTGAACAGAAAAAATGTCAAGATCAAAATAGTGGTCTAAGTGCTACTCAGCTATGAAAGGAAATGAAGTTCTGGTACCTGCTATGACACAGATGTAAGAGAAAGAAGCCAGACACAAGAGGACAAATCCTGTATGATCCTACCTATGTGAGACATCTAGAGTCGGCAGATTCATAGAAACAAAGAGTAGATCAGGGGTCACCAGGGGTAGGATTGGGGTTGGAGTGGGGGGAAAGGGGAGTTAGTATTGAATAGACAGAGTGTCGTTTAGGGTGATGAAAAGTTTTAGAAGTGGTGATAATGGTTGTACAATGTTATGAATAACATTGAATATTGTAAAATTTGTCATTTCAGGAAATTTTAAGTGTAGAATTCAGTAGCTTAAATTGCATTCATAAATTTGTACAACATAAACATATTTATATATATTTGTATTGTATACATTTATATTTATATATGTTTATGTTGTACAAAGTTATAAATGCATAAATGTATATAAACAATAAAACCACAATTAAAAAATGATAGGCTGAAATATATTTTCATTATTATTGAAGGCAGGGTAAAATTCTGCCTTCACATCTATATTGAAACCCCTGTCATTAGTAATTAAAACTGGAAAAACAAACAAAATAAATGATGATCTAAATGCAGGATGACAGCTACCTGTTACTTCACATGCCAAAAGATGAAGAACTGCTTAACTGAAGGTCATAGTCTTCCAAATATCCAATGGATATTTCATAAATTGAATTTTTTTTCTGTTTTTACAGTTCTGGGGATTGAACCCAGGGCCTCGCACATGCTAGGCAAGAGTTCTACCACTGAACTACATCCCCAGCCCCCACGTACATTTAATTTTGAAGCACTTACCATCAGGTTCGTTTCATTTCCCAAAGCTATCATGATTCTGCTAGGATCTAGTTAAAAAGAAAAAGAAGATAGAAAGAAAGCACAAGAAGGCTTATCATATTAAGTTTCCTGCATGAAGTTTCAGAAAAATGAGGGTTTTAAAATCAAAGAGCCAAAGCATTAGCCTCAACAGGGAAACAACCTTTAATTCTCTGGTAACACACCTCAATTGTTTAAAGAAGGTTTCTGCTATTTTATTCCTAATATCATGAAAATCTCAAAGTTAAGAGATATCACTATTCACTTATGGCTATTCATTTCTGCAGGAAGAGGTAATATACTCTGCACACTTGAAGGTCATCATCCTCCTTTGCACATGCCACATAATGGAGTCTGTATTCTTGAGAGTGGCAGGTGGAACAGGTACCCATTACAAGAAGTGAGATGCTTTATTCACTCTCAAGGGAAAAAGCAGAAGTCAGGAAGAACTCTGGCAACCAATGCCTTTGGTAGGGACTGCTCCTGGTTTATTTTCCTCCAGCAATTCACGTACCTAATTCACTCAACATTTTAAAAATTGCTATTGAACATCTATGATGACAGGCACTGAGAACATAAGAGTGAGCCTGTTCCCCTCGATCCCTGCCCTCACATTCCATCTCACTGTTCAGGCCTCACTACCTACAGAAATGGCACTGACAGATGGTCCCATTATGGTGACACATCTCCGAATCCCTTTATTCCTCTTTTTTGAGGAATTGTGAAAACTATACTTTTTCCAAACAACTTCTTCATCTGTTTTTTCTTATCCAGTATTTTCCACTATCCTGGGATGTGAACAAAAGGTACAAAATAATACTGAAAGTAAAATTAACACCAAAGCAAACTGGTAAAACAAAGGTAACTGGTACTCTTCAGAAAAGGGGAAAAGGTTCAATTATAAGACTTCAGGGTTTGTGTCTGCGACATTACAATTTATATATTTTGGTTTTTGTCCATGGTTCCTGGCTCACAACTCCCATGGCTTGTTTTATTTCCTAAACAGCTAGAACAATGACTATATTTTCTGTTAAAGTATTTAGCCTTTTTTTTTTTCTTGCTTCCTCAAGAAGGATGGTAATGTTGGAGTACTTTAGGCCTCTGAAAGCAAAATCTCTCTCTGATCTTTTCCTGGGTTCCTTTTCTCTGCTCTATTTCTCCCAAAGGCAGGCTTTAGAAACTAGAATTTCTCTTCCCCAAGGTGAGTCATAGAAATTAATAATATACTCTAATTTTCCTTTCTTAGAGCTGACCATAAAGAAATTCTCTGATCTTTCTTGTGGATAGTTAGATCATAAGACCTTCATTTCAGTGAGGTATGGTGGCATGTGCCTGAAATCCTAGCCACTTGGGAGTCTGAGACAGGAGGATCTCAAGTTCAAGGCCAGCCTCAGCAACTTAGCAAGGCCCTTTCTCAAGATAAAAAGGGTGGGGGATGTAGCCCAGTGGTAAAGTGTCCATGGTTTAAATCCCCAATACCAAACGAAATAAATAAAAAAGCCAGACCCCCATTTCAGAAGGGGTTTTGCCTCACACCCAGGAAGAAGGAATGTGCATAGAGAGGCCAAGAAGAATATGGACAGGCCCAGCTGAGTGCCCCCGCTCAGCCAAATGGCATTAGATCATACTTCTTTTATCCAATTGCATTTTGACACAGTTGCCCAGGTTTCTATCTTATCTATATAATGAAGTCTCTAGAAACCCCCAAAAGGACAGGGTTGGGAGAGCGTCTAGAGAGCTGAACATCTGGAGGCTCACAGGAAGGTGGAAAACTCACCCCTATGCCTGGAGGATGCACCCAACTCCATGTATACAGAATCTCCAGTGCCTCGAGGTCTTCCAGACACTGCCTGTGTATCTCTTCATCTGGCTCTTTATGTGAATCTTTTAAAATATTCTTTTATAACAAAGTGCTAAACCTAAATATTTCCCCTGAGTTCTGTAAGCCATGGCAGCAAATTAATCAAGCCTAAAGAAGGGGTCATGGGAACCCCAATTTGTAGCCGGTTGATCAGAAGTCCCAGAGGCTCATACTTTGTACCAATGTCTAAAGCAGGGTCAATTTGGGGGACTGAGAAATGACAGGTAGACAACCTGTGGGAAATGACAGGTGGACAGTATCAGAATTGAACTGAATTAGAGGACACTCAGCTGATGTCTGCTGCAGAATTGATTGTTTGCTTGCAGGTGGGAGAAGAAAGCTCTACACAATTTGGGAATGCAGAAATGATCTAGGTTATGAGTATGTAGTATGAGAAAATGGATTGGATTCTCCTCTATAGCCTCATAACATCCTTCCAAAACATTTAAAAGCTAACTTTCAGAAAACAGAACTGTTTTGGGTGCTGGGTATGTGGCTCAGTGTAGACAGAGCACTTTTCTAGCATGCTCAGAGCTCTGGATTCAATCGCAGGTACCACAAAAACAAAACAGTTTTCAAATGTTTCTTCTGCAGCATGTACAACTATGATAAATCTGGGCACAGTGGCACATACCTGTAATCCCAGGGACTTGGGAGGCTGAGGCAGAAGGATTGTAAGTTCAAAGCCAGCCTCAGCAACTTGGCGAGGTTCTAAGAAACTTAGCTAGCTGGTATCTCAAAATTAAAAATAAAAAGGGCTGGGGGTGTAGCTTAGGGTTAAGTACCCTAGGGTTCAATCCCTTGTTAAAAAACAACAAAAACCTGATTAAAAAAAAGGCCCATGGCTGGTAGGAGGGTTGCAGCATGTCCCACCAGGGGGGTGGTCTAAACTTCTTAACTCTTCTTTCTTACTCTATTCTATTCTCTCTTCATATCTATTATCTCTGTTGGACTTCTTCAGAAGGAAGTCACTGATGATAAATGAAAAGGAATAAAAATTGCTTTGAAAAACTTTGGAGATGATAAGTTCCAAAGGGACAATAAATTCTATTGGATACTTGCTCAGGATAATCATAGATGTATGAACATTTTATGCAACCACTACGTAGATGGTTCCTAATTTTTGAAAAGGCTCTAGGTTTTATTTATTATTTTTAATTAATACATTTTTTAAGAGAAGTTTTAAGTTCACAGCAAAACCGAGTGGGAAGTATACATCCCTCTTGTTCCCACACATGCACCACCCCCTCTACCCCAGCATCCCACTGCCCCTGGCATTTGTTACCACTGATAAACCTACACCAACATCACTACCACCCAAGGTCACAGTTTACACCACAAAAGGCTCTACTTCTGAAAAGCCCCTTTACATGATGGTCCTTTAGAAACTTGAGGACACCTTTTCCTATAAGATTAGCATCATATTTTCAAAAGGGAGAGACCTTCTGCCTGACCCATAGTCTTCCACACCACCCTAAACCAGGGTAAATAAAATACTAATAATGAAACAGACAATAATACTTCCATCACTAAACTATCCCAAGTAGACTTTTTTTTAATCCCTGGAAAATTAAAGGCCAGTATAAGATTCAGTAGTGGATTATGTCTGAAGAAGCAAAAAGTAAATTTTGATTTAAGGAATATCTTTGAAAATTATTTCTAATAGCATGAAAATTACATTTTTCTTTTCCCTTTTTACTATATTTTTAAGAGTACTTAAAAATAACTTTTCCAGGGGCTGCAGTTATAGCTCAGTGGTAGAGTGCTTGCCTCACACGTGTGAGGCACTGGGTTCCATCCTCAGCACCACATAAAAAGAAATTAATAAAATAAAAGTATTGTGTCCATCTACAACTAAAAAAAATTTTTTTTAAATAATAAAATAATTTTCCCAAAATCCTTACCATTTTTTCTCGGTGTATTATGCTTACACATTTTGGTTTCATCTAATATTTGTTCTCCATATTCAGTGATGATCTGAAATTTAAAGTTGAGAATTTAAAGATCTGAAAGATACTTTTCTTTAGACACTGCCATCGTGTCATTTCTTTTTCTACTTTTTCTTTTTTGGTACTGGGGACTGAACTCAGCTACATTCCCAGTCCTTCTTAAATTTTATTTTGAGACAGAATTTCACTAAGTTGCAGAGTATGGCTTCAAACTTAAGATCCTCCTGCCTTCACCTCCTGAGTAGCTAGGATTATAGGTGTGTGCCACTGTGCCCAACCTGTTATTGTTATTTAATCATTAACATGCTTTAGCACAAGAATATTTAAAAGTAAAAAAAAAAAAAAAACAAATGCCATTTATGAGTACATATAACAGTGGTTGAGTGCACAGATCAGTGGTAGAGCATGTGCTTAGCATACCCAAAGTCCTAGATTTGATTCCCCAGTACCAAAAAATATAAAATTTAAATTTAAAAAATTAAAGTACATATAATTAAGATAGACAAATATAGATATTTACATGTATCTAGAAAAAGATCTGGAAGGATATGTAAACTATAACTGTGACTATTCTTTGGGAATAGCATTCTGGGAGGGAGAAGAAGAGGGAAAGAAAATCTTATATTTTTAATATACTTTTGAATTATTTGAATTTTTACAGGCAAGTAATTGTTTAAAAGATAACAAAACCATTTTACCATCCACTTGAAAACTATTCAGTCAAGCAAACCATATCCTACCTCAGGGGGTAAGCACTTCTGAACCAGCCGAGCTAAACTGCCTCTGGAGAGCAGAGTGGTAGCTGACGGGCGCTGTGAGGGATTCCTTTTAAACATCTGCTTCACAAGGTATTGAAGCTCATAGGAATAATGAGATGGCAGTGGGCGGATGGACCCTTGACATATTTTGAGGATAAGACTTTTCCAACTGTTTGCCTGAAACTGAAAAGTAAAAACTGAACTTTAAAAGTAGATATAGGGAAGAAAATAGAAACTACCAGATGAATTGAATTCATATGCACATGAATTATTTTAGTTTGATAAATGACCTGCTGTCTGGTCATTTTTTCTGTCTAGAGGTGGCCTTAAGTTACAATTCTACAATATGATGATGGTTTAGTAGAATGGTAAACATGAAAAGGAAAAAAATTTTCCCACCTAGAGAAAGGTTTTCCATCAGTGTCTGTTTTGGGTACTTTATTATAATAATCTGTAAGTTCTTGCTCATACACATTTGTACTATATATGAAAATCAAAGCGATACAGACATATGGCTTTTTAAAAGTTAAATGCTACTAATGGACTTATAATAAGAATAATATTACTTGCCCTATCCTTTCCCAGAAATCCCCTGGCTCACTTCATAGTGACAAGCACTTCAAACGTGTCCAGGTTTGTCTTTTTCCACTGCAAAATCCTTTTTACCATTCAAGTCATTAAAGCAGCTATCAGAGTTTGACAAGTCACAGAGTGGAATAGGAAATGACATACTAGAATAACATTTGAAAAGTTTTCAGGGATTGGGGGTGGTACAGTGCTCACCGAGCATGCCCAAGGCCCTGTGTTCCCCAGCACCAAAAAAAGGTTTTCAATATACATTATAATAAATATATTAGAGCTAACATTAGATATCAACCTTTGTAGCTTATGTAAAAACATTCGCCATTCTGCCTTGAAAGTGTTTTACAATAATAATAATACTACTACAAGTAAAGAAGTGATAAAAGGTCTAAGGGTGTAGTTTAGTAGAGTGGTTGCCTAGCATGTGTGAGGCCTTGGGTTCAATCCCAGCACTGCAAAAAACAAACACTAGTGCCCAAGAAATGTGCAGAGATTTTAATTCAATTAACTTGGACAGGGAACCAGCATTGTTATGGGTTCCTCAAGTTGTTCTCACTGTGCAGCCATCTTTGGAAATCATTTGTACTCAAGAAAGGTGGCCTCTGGGTAACAGTGCATGTCTTCAGTTTGAGTTACTCTCATCTTGAGGTGCTGATGGGTTGTTTTCAGCCACTCACTCTCCCGACCTCTAAGTGCTCTCCAGTACATCTATAAAAAGTTTCAATCTGTGCCCCAAGAACAATTTGTTTCTATGTTAAGACCTAATAGGGATCAACTCCATGACTACTGTTCTATGTAATAAACTACTGCTGAACAAGTTATTTAATTTGTTTTTAACTTCTCTTTTTGTTACATTACTACTTAAAATATCTAGAAAACATACATATTAGGGCAAAGTCTATTCCCATTTTTTAGGAAGTGCTATGATAGGAAAAACCTAACTACAAAAAGATGAGTATTAAAAGGGTACAGTAACTCTGGAAACAGGTTGGGGGGGTTCCTCAAAAAGCTAAACAATCATATGACCTACAATTCCACTCTTCAGTATATACCTCAAAAAATAGAATCTGGAATTTTGAATTCTAACAGATAACGGTTTACCCATTTCATTCCAGAGTTATTCACAATAGCTAAAAGGTATAAACAACCCATATGTCCATCAACAGAAGAGGAAAAAAACAGAAAAAAAACAAAACATATACACATAATGGAATATTATTCAACCATAAAAAGGAATGGAATTCTCACACATGCTACAACATGGAAGCTCCTTGAGAACATTATGCCAAGGGAAATAAAGCAGACACAAAAGGACAGATACTGTATAATTCCACTTACAGGAACTATCTAGAACAGGCACCTTCATAGAGACAGAAAGTAGAAGTTAATAAGAGCTGAGGGAGAAATGAGAGTTTGATTTAAAATGTACAGAGTTTCAGTTTTGCAAACAGTGATAACTGTACTATATTGTGACTATAATTAATGACACTGAATTGTATGCTTAAAATGGTTAGAACTACAAATTTTATATAAGTTAAAAAATAATAAAAAGAAGGAAAGAAGCCAGGCACCCTATTATGTGCTTCTAACCCCAGTGACTCGGGACAGAGAGGCAGGAAGATCACAAATTTGATGTCAGTCTTAGCAACTTAAGACCCTGTCTCAAAAAAAAGTGGGGGGTGTGGGGGGGGTACTAGGGATGTAGCTCAGTGATAAATGGTAAAGCATAAGCATCCCTGGGTTCCTCTTCCTCCTCAGTGGTAAAATGTCTCTTTGGGGATGGGGAAGAGAAGAAGAGGAGGAGGGGAAGGGGGACGGGAGGGAGGAGGAAAAAAGAAAAACTATATATAGAACTACAGAAACTAAACATTGACATTTTATTAGAATATAGTATAAAGGGACTCAAGGCAAAGATAATAACAAAGGCAACATGAAACTTTCCATAATGAATTCACCCTAGGGAAGCAAACTGCCTGCTGGAACTGGGCACATTACTTAGGACTTAGCCAGATACGACAGCAAGCAGCCATTTGTTTTGTGCAGCATACTTACTGGATGCTTAAGGGTACAGAGTTCATACAGAATGCATCCCAAGGACCAGATGTCACTGGAAGCATAAAGAAACAACATAACAAGTGGGTTATGATATATATGAATACATACACATTTTCTAATAACAAAAAATGAAAAATTCTCCTACTTTTAATAAGACTAAATATCACAAGTAATTCTTAGGTATTAAAACGATCAAGTATTTTGTTCTACTGCTTAGAAACTTTCTAAGAGTAACGCTCACAATAAAGCTCTCTGTTCCTCAAACCCACGCCTCTAAGTCAAAGTGATAAGATACCACTGCAGCAGCATTTGGGAATTCAGGAGCAAGAAAGAATATCTGTGGACTCCAATTATCACATTTAGAAGGACCCTGAAGATATCTAGGGCAGCTTCCAGGAGACCGCCCTGTGAGCAGCACCAGCCCACGAGGGCTTATCCTGACGGGCAGCTCTCTTCCTCAGCGCAGTGGGACAGCGCTAAAGGATCAAGTTCTTATTTATCAAAACCTGAAAATGTGTCTGCCGGGAACTCTCTCCACCCACAGACTTAACTGTGTTCCAAAATGAAGAGGAAAAGACTACTCATTCTCCCACAAAGTGGCTCGTCAGAATCAGAGGAGCCCTACAGTTGGCCCTCATCCTGCTTCCTCACACTAAGCATCTCCAGCTTCCTCCATCTCTCCCGCCAGCTAAATCCCCAATACCTCTACAATACTCTTTATTTTAACTAGTTCTCTATCTACGGTTTCTCTCAACATTTTTTGGTAAATTGCAAATCTACAGAAAAGTTTCAGATGCCCACCTGCTTTAACCTGGGGTCCCCGATCATGAACAGTTGTCATGTTTAGGTCCAGCATTCCTTTCCTCTATTTATCTCAATCTCTTGAAAAAAGGTTGTAGATATCAGATACTTAAATACCAGAACATGTCTAAACATGTCTGTATGTATCTTTGAAGAGCAAGGACACACCTCTCATATACACGGAGTTGTTTTCATGTCCAAGCCATTTAAACTTAAGTTAATGATATTATCTAAAATTTAGCCCATACTCACATCTTCCCGATTGTCCCAAAAAAAATCCCTTGAGAGCTGTTTTGTTCCCAATTCAGTAAACTTCTACTCATTTTTTTTCCCCCTGTGGTGCTGAGAATCAAACAGAGGCCTTACACATGTTATGCAAAGGTTCTACTATTAAGCTGCTTTTTAGTTTTAAAAAACCAATATATTCCATGCATCTGCTTTCAAGTAGCACCCGACTCTGGCATCATTTGTGGGCTATAAAACCTGTGACCAAATGGTCACCCTTCCCCCAAATAAGTACACCACTTACCTTTTATTGTTATAAGGCAAGTTTTCCCAAATTTCTGGAGGCACATAATAAGGTGTTCCCACATATGTACAAGCAAATGCCATGGGACTAAAACAATAAACAGGCAAAGAACAATTAAAGAGTATTCCTGAAAATGGATGTTTTGATTATTGCTACTGTAACACAATAGAGACCTACTTGGAGAGAAGACGTGCAGATCCAAAATCGCCCAATTTCACTTTTCCATTTTGGGTGAGGAAGACATTCTGCATTGAAAAAGAAGAACAGATTACGTCTCCTGTCATTCAAACATAGGGCAGAGTTCTTCAGAGAAGCTATCTTCCTGAGTCTTCCTGAGTCCCCCAAGTGGACTAAAATGGAATCCTTCTTGATAGCTTAAATATTCTAACCACAAAAAAAGCAAATGAGGTTATGGATATGTGAATAAACTTGGTTTAATCACTTCACAATTTTTACACATATCAAAACATGATGTTGTACACTATAAATACATATAATTTTATTTGTCAATTTTACCCTAATAAAGCTGGGGGAATTTTTAAATTAAAAAATTAAATATAAGTAAATAAATATTAGGCTGACAAATATTTCTAAACTAAATATGTCTTAAAAGAAAATGAATGACAGAAAAAAGATAATGAAATAGGGTTTTTTTTTTTGTTTGTTTGTTTTCAAATCTAGAAATGGATTCTACTCACTTTGGACTTGATATCTCTGTGTAGCACACGTTTCTTGTGAATATGGTTTACTCCAAGGCACATTTGTGTAAACCAATTAAGTATCTGTAAGAAAAAAAGTATGCAACCTCTGCAAAAATGTAATAACTGGTTCATGTTAACCCAAAATTCCAAGAATCACCTCTAGGCCTTTCTTGACCAGAATTTTACATGTGAGTACAGAACTCATGAAAATTACTTGAGTCAACTACATTTCAGTATTACCTAGAGAAATTCAGAAAAGCTGAGATTCCCATCTTCCATCACCTTACATATGATCCAAATAGCTATTTTAATGAAACTTCTACCATATTTTTCTCTCATTTAATCAGATAAAAGTATTTCTTAAATGTATATCTAAATATATAGTTCATCATTAAGAAATGAATGTGTTGGTTGGGAGTATAGCTCAGTGGTACAACACTTGCCTAGAATGTGCAAGGTGCTAGCTCAATTCCCAATTACACACACATACACACACAAACAAACATATACACATGCACATACACACTATAGTTTTTCTAGTATAATCATTGTTTATGTTGGATTTTCATTTACTTTTTCAGGATATTAATATGATGACATTAAATAATTTCATTATGTTACAAACAATTCATTGAGATCAACATTTTCTGCTTATAAATCCCAGTCCCAGAATTTCCAAGTGCTTTGGAGGCCTATGATTAAATGTCAAACTAATTTTTCTTTTCTTTTTGCTATAGAGATTCATCCACTCAAAGCCATGGTTGACCTCCTTTCATGGAACCCATGTTAATAGGAACCTATATTAATAATATAACTTTTAAATGAAGAATATTTATATACTTTCAATGGTTATAATCTAAATAAAACTAAGTCCCACTGAAGCTATTTACTTAAATATGTTCTTTAACCAATTCATTACAAATTGGTTAGAACATAATAACCCAAAGTATATTGTCTTGGCATGATGAATGCTTTGAACCAAAGAAAGGGGTTCAGAAAACAAGATCTTTCTGATCTTCTCCTGCCCTTATTTCTCCAGCTCCCCTTTTCCCTCCAAGACAGCCACAGAAACCAAAATTCTTCCTCCCCAAAACCAGCCATAAAACTTAGAAATATTATTCTAATCTTCTCCCATATGTAAAAGCTGCTCATAAAGAAATTCTCTGACCTACCTTGTCTGAAAGTAGATTAAACACCCTCATTCTAGAAGGGTTCCTGTCCTACACCTGGAAGGAAGGAATACCATAGCGAGAGGCCAAAAAAAACCAGACCGACAGGCCTAAAGGGAATAGACTATTATTTGATAGTTATGTAATAGAAATAGTCTATTACCATCAATTTAATTATACCCTTTTGTCCAATCACATTTCTACATGGCTGTCCATGCTTCATTGAATCTAAGCATAAAAATGAGAGTGTACTCTGGGTGTTTGGGTCTTCATTTTAGAAGGCTCAAGTTGAAAAACCAGCCTCTACCTCAGAGCAAAGCCTGTCCAAGGAAGGGACATGACCTTTGTCCTTGGAAAAACCCACAGAGCACTCCTAGGCACATTCCCACCCTGCTAAGTGGTTTATCTACAAATAACAGGAGAGATCTGCTGGACCAGGTGTCCCTGACTCAGTCAGGCTAGGTGAGGATCCATAGCAACCCCCTAGCAGCCACCAATCAGCATGAGACAGGGAAATACCTGGGATGCCAGATGACCCTCCCAGTAGTTTATGGTGGTTGATAACGTGTTGAGAAACCTTGTAGTTCAGCACGAACACCCCTCTTGGCTTAAACCAATCAGTTCAAATGAATACCCCTTTTGTACTGACCAATCACCCTTACCCAACTTGTTCCCGCCAGTGAATGTGCTTATCATGTTTTAGAGTTGTTATTTGATTTTCCCGCAGTGTGTGATGATTTGCTAAGTGATGCTATGATGTATGTGAAGTCCCTGCCTTCTCCAAAGAATGTATAAAACTGCTGCAAACCCAGGGCTCGGGGCCTCTCAGCGTCACCAGTTGCTGTGTGTGCGCGCAGAGGACAGAGCTATCTCGCAATAAACACCTCTTTGCTGTTTACATCGATCTTGGGTCTCTGGTGGTCTTTTGGGGGTTCCGAATTCGAGCATAACACAGTGTTATATAAAACCTTGATTAAGTAAAAATTTGTTATACTTTTATCTTGTCTCTTGTTATGGAGGTGCCAGCCTTGACCCTCTTGTTGGTTGAGGAAAGGGATCACATCCTTCCATCCCTACATAAGCAATTTTCCATTAAAAAAGCAGCAGGTTGTAGACTTAAGGGAATATGTTGAGCTTTAGGAGGAAAAGGACTAAGAATAGAATCTCCCAAGAAACAGAAATGGTAGACTTCATTCTTCTAATGATCTAGTAATATGAGATAAATCTATTATGCCTTCTAAAATTTCAGAACAATAAAGATCAAGATTTGTAAGTATCAAGTACAAAGTACAATGGGTAATGCAATTCTGAAATTTCTCCTAAATATGAAATTTTTATCCATACTTAGTATTTTGTAACCCATATTGATTTTACTTCTTAAAAACATTTCAGGCGGCCACATCCTGAGGACACTAAACAATAACACTGATAGAGAAATAAGTTATTTCTAACTAATGCAGGGCAGGCAGGTAATCGCAGATATCAATACTTTCATTTTAATTCACGAGAAAAGTTGCTTCCAAACTATGAGGGTAACTATGTAAGTCAATCTCTTACCATATCTTCAGGAAATAACTTTCCTCTCTGCTGTTTAATCTTCTGCATTAGATCTCCTCCATCACAATATTCCATCACAATATGCAGATGTCCTTCAGCTAAAACAAATATAAGACTCCTTAGGAAAGCCATAGTGGCTACAGATCAAATTTAGAAATGAACATATTTAGAGGAATTCATACTTACCCTCAAAGGATTCTTTAAAGGCGACAATATTGGGGTGTTTCATTTTGGCTAAGAGAACAGCCTCTTTCCTAGAATTCTGTGTATCAGAGAGAGACTGGGAAAATATTTTAAATAAACATAAATTTAATGCTAAATTTAAAAATAGCTTTACACTAACATTTAGCATAGTTTGCATGATACTCCAAAGCTACGTGCAATTTTGTAAAACTGCACTTTTACTCAAATTTATTGAACTCCAAAGAAAATATGTGGTGATTTGCTACTGGCTATTTTGCATGCTTGAGCTGACCCTTCACTGTATAATGTTCTTTTTTTTTTTTTTTTCATTTTATTCCTTACACATATAGAATGTTCCTAGTTTTAATATCTGTCTAAGCACCACCTGACTTGGAGAGTCAGTCAAATAGCGTATCTTTAAAAGGAAAACTGGAGAGCTTACATTTTGACTGTCAGCATCTCTTTATCAGTCCCCTGGCTCATAAAAAAGAATGTGCTGATGGACTACTGAAACAAAATGAATTCCAGGGTGGGTGGGGGCCTTCTGAAATTAAAAACAATTTCTTCATGCTGAAATTGGAAGCTGAAGGGTTGTAATCTCCCACCCTGCTGAGCACCAAGAAAGCAGAGGCTAACTAAATCTGCATATGTATATTTCCTGCCTTCTGTCTCATTTTACAGGCTCTCACTAGCCAATTAAATCGAAGTAAGTTTACCACCTGGCTTTTGTTTCTCTCAATTGGAACTTCTTCAGGGAGGCCCTTAGGAGAAGCAAAATAGCTGTTTCTCCAACAGTTTCATCAAACTGCATAAAGTCCACTTTTCCTTTTTCCATCCTTTGCCTTTCTTAGGTGGGACTGCGGCTGAATCTAGCCAGCAGGGAACCAAGCAAGATGGACAAAGCTGACATACAAAATACATTTCCAAGACTATTTATCACTAACTTATGCTACAAGTATGAAAATGTGAATAATTTATAATCAAGTAACTGCCAAAGAGGCTAGGAATGTAGCTCAGTGGGAAATAACTTGCCTATCAAATGTGAGGCGCTGGGTTCCATTCCTCGCACCACAAAAAAGGGGGTAAAAAGGAAATTGCTATTCAGGGTTTCTTAGCACTGTGGGTTCTTAGACCAGCAGCATAAGCACCAACTGGAGACATGTTAAAAATGCAAATTCACAGGCCCACTCAGGTCCACTGAACCAGAAACTTGGTGGTGGAGCACAGTAATCTGTTTTATTAAACCCTCCAGATGATCATGATCCCCATCCAAATTAACAATCCAAAATACCATGGAAAGTTCTTCTAACGTTTGAAGAACTTTGTTAAAATGTTTTTTTATTTTGTAGTGCTGGGCATTATTGAACGCGGGGCCTTGAGCTTGCTTGGAAAGTGTTCTATTGCTGAGTTACAGCCCCAAACCTTAAAATATATCTTTTAAAAAATTGATCAAAATATTATTAAGAATCCTTTATAGCATGGATTACTTCTCAGGACAACTAGGACACATGGTAATAAACAGTCTACAGAAAAACAAGACCTAAAAACTGGCGCACAGAATAGGTTCCGTGATAACTGCATTTTAAGTCTTTGTTCTTTATTGTATTTTTTTAATGTCCTTTTTCATTAGTATTGCACATGAGTTGCTTTGGGCAAAGATTTCCTACACTGCTAGGTATGTGAAATTGGAAATTATTACCAACTAATTTACTGAGATAAAATAAATGGTACACATTGACTATTTCTCTCCCTTTTTAATTATACTAGCCTCCTAAGAACCACATAAAATATATCAAGCCCTTTAAAGCTAATGAATAAACTGATTATATATTTTGCAGGAAAGAGAAATTCCATGTTAAATTTTAATAGCTTATTCTCTTATATAAATTGCATGTTCACTTTCAACGTGAGCTATTTTCTTTAGCAGTAACCTTAGGAAGCCTTATTTCCTTAATGGCAAACAACTGATTGCTGCTTTTCTGCTGAACCAAAAGAGCTCTGCCAAAGGAGCCCTCCCCGATCACTTTCAGGACGGTGTAGTCATCCATGCTGGGCACCACAGCTGGGCTCCACTCATGCAGTCACCATGGACTCTCCCAAACTGTATTCAAAAACAGAAACATTTGAGAATTTACTGAATTCATTAAAAGTTGTTCTAATTACTGTGATAAGCCAACAGCAACATCTTCCTTTTGAAGGGTATCAGAGCATGGGACCCCAAAATATTCTATTTTGGCATAAAGATTGTTTTGAACTGAAAACAATTTGCTCTTTTCCCTTCCTGCTTTTGTCCAAATATAAATCATATATTTCCCTATGTAAAAGCAACAAATTTCCATTTGTAAATGTATAAATAAATATATGTATACATAATATAATACATGTAAAATATACTAAGCCCTTATAAAGCTGATGTATAAACTGATTAACTATTTTGCAGGAAGGAGAATTTCCATGTTAAATCTTAATAGCTTATTCTCTTATGTAAATTACATGTTCACTTTCAGTGTGACTTTCTTTCATTAGCAGTAACCTTAGGAAGCCTTATTTTCTTAATGGCAAACATCTTAATGGCAAAATACATATACATTTTTTTTGAGCAGTACTGGGAATTGAACCCAGAGGCACTGTACCACTAAGCTACATTCCCAGTCCTTTTTTATTTTAAGACAGGGTCTCACCAAGTTGCTGAGAGTCTTGCTAAATTGCCCAGGCTGGATTCTAACTTGTGATCTTCCTGCCTCAGCCTCCTGAGAAATTGCCAATTTGATTCTGCATAACATACCTTACTCTAAATAAGCCTTATTTTCCATTAGCTTCCCCATAAATTTACACTTCTAGGACAATTTCCCCTAGAACCCCAAGATCCCCTCTTCCTTTGTCTGGTTACTTCTCCATAATTTATAGATCTTTGTTAATGGTAAATGAGGTCCTAGGTCTAACATTTTACATTTATGCATATGTACCAAACCTTTTCCCTTCTTGATCTTTTGTCAGTTTAATTTTCAGGACCCCTAAGAAGAAAGAGAAAAAAAAAAAGTTTTTTCCTACCCTACACTATTCATTCAACAGATATTCTCTGAGTGAAGAGTTACAATCCTCCATTAGTCCTCAGCAAATATCTCTTGGTCTCTGCCATCATACATACCCTATACAAAGGTGACCACACACTTCAGCAAATGCAGAGGGGTGAATCTTACAGAAAGAGCTAGCTGGCCTGCAGTAGAAACATCCAGGGAGTTAGGAATCCTAAGTTTATTTCAGCAGAAGCCTGAAAGATGATTGGAAGTGGGCTAAGCAAAGAGGAGAGAAAGAGTGATCAAGGCAGAGGGAATGGAATATTTAAGGGTAAAAGAGATTGTGTTCAGTTCAAGGAGTTGAAAGGAGAGTTAGACTGACAAGGTAGACAGGGATTTATTGGAAGACTACTGTAAGCCATAATTCAGGTTATTGGACTGTATCCTCAGGGTCATTAATGAGCTGTCTCTGAAGATCCTGAACCAAGAGAACAACATAACCATCATATCTGCATATTAGAAAAATCACTTTAAAGCTGCTTAGTGACTGCACCAGAGGGTGGAGACACTGGAGGTCCAGATCAGAGACGCAGACCAGTTAAAAAGTGCTACAATAGAAAAGGCTGACGCAGTCTGGCTGGGCACAAAATAACCAAGCCGCCAGGAGGCACTTGTGGGTTCAAAATAGGAACTCCTTTATTATCCGAACTCCCGCGAAAGCCACCCACGTGGCCCTCCCAGGAACACCACACACCGGAAATCCCTCCTCCAGCATGTCCCCAACCAATGCAAACTCTCCAGGAATCCCCGCAAGAACTCCAAAGTAGCAGGCCAACTCCAAAGTAGCAGGCTGAGGCGGACAGCAGGGGTCTAATACACAATTGAATACACAGCTTAACATAACCATCATCATTCATTACCTCTCAACCACTCCCTTCTGGCACAAATGCCATGCGTCATTGTCATTTCCACTCTGTGGCTCTCAGCAAAAGGCAGGGAAATGATAATGAAACGCAGCAGGGTGGTGGCAAAGGGAACAATAGAAGAAAAAGAGTAATTGATGCACTCTTTGGTGAAGGATTATGGGGGGACAAATAGGGAGAGGATGAGATAGGAATTTAGGGGCAGAGAGACCACTGGGGCTCAAAAGGGAAACACCCATGAACTGTTGGAATGCAAAACAAACAACCTGAAAGAAGCCTAGCCTGCATCCTGCCTGCAGCCTGTTGACTGGTTAACCACAAGGTTTCTGGTGGAACTAAGTAGCAGAATTAAAACATGCAAGGGCACTGCGCAAGCATGAGGAAAACGGTGGGGAATTCTGTTACCCAGCGGATTCTACCTCCAGCTCAGCCCTTTAGTTACTCTGTAAGTATTAGAACCCCAAACTAAAGACAGGACTTGAGATCTACCTGCACCTCTTCCTTGAGTGTGTGCTCTTTGCTTCCTCATAAAAGTTCTCCCTTCTCATTCTACAATCTGACTTGTCCTTAAATTCTTTTCTGCAGTGAAGTTTTGGACAGAGAAGCAGAAAACTCCTAAGAGCCCCATGGTGACAGAAGCAAGGTTGGCTCCCAGATTTCTGGTATAAACTGGATGAATGGTGCTACCATTCCCAGAGAAAGTTAAGGCACTAAGGTTGTGTGTGTGGTCTTTTGTTTGTTTGATTTCTCTGGGGGTGAGAATGTGGCAGGAGTGGGGCAAAACATGGGGGAGAAGAAAGATATGTGTTCCATTTGGTATGTTTAGCTGGAAGGTGCCTGGGACTCAAAAGAGATGTTAAACATACAGTTGGAGTCTGACTTTAATGTTTCCTTCTAGAAGCAGCTTGGATTTCTAATATACTTTGCTGGTTTATAGACAGTCCTGACTAAATGGCAATTATTATTATTATTATTATTATTATTATTATTATTAAAACCTTGGGGAGGGCCACGGATGTAGCTTTATCTAGGATGTAGAGCATTTGTCTAGCATGTTAGAAGACCTGGGTTTGGACCCAAGCAACATGGATGGGGTAGTGATCTGGTGACCTTAGGGAGGGAATACACTTAAGAAGATGATGTGCTCCCCGCCCCCCACTGTAGTAGAAGACACTGGAATAAATTTACTTGATTCTTTTCAAAAACCAAACTTGCTGACTTGTTAATATTTTCTAAATCACACCACAGCTGAGTGGTAGCACACAAGGTGACCCATGCCTATAATTCTAGACACTTGGGGGACTGAGGTAGGAGGATTGTGAGTTCAAGGCTAGCCTTGGCAACTTAGCAAGATCCTGTCTGAAAATAAAAAATAAAAAGGGATGAGAACTTAGTTCAGTTGTACAGCACCCCTGGGCTCAATCCCCAGTAGCAAAAACTAAAAATAAATAAATAAAAAGAGGAAGAAAGAAAAATAGCACAACAAAAAAATTCTAAGGAGCAAAGAGCATGAAAAGGTAAAACAAAAACCACAAATCAAAACCTGTAACATACTGACATGTAAACCTTTCAGTTTGTATTCCTGTTTTACCATACAGGAAACCCCTGAAATAACTTCTCCATATAATCAAATTAGATGCATTGCCTTAAAAAACAATTCTTAACAAGAAGAGGTTTTTGAGTGTATTTAGGCACATAAAAGGACCAAATGCTTTACCACTATTTTAAGTAGTTTCTGGTATTTAACAATGAAGCCAAGTTTTCCCGTGTGTCTGGTTTTTGTTTCTAGGGATTTAATTCTATGCAATGTAGAGTAACTGATAAACAAGTACAGCCAGACTTTTCTTAGATGACAGTCACATTTTCCCCTAACAGTATTAACACCCATAAGACAGGCCCGAATATATTCTGAATGTGGCAAAAGTAAATGGGTTCCTTCTCAAGGCTACAACAATAGATTCATTTTTCAAACAGCTATTAAAAAGTGACTTGCAAATGCCCAGAAGTGGAATCTCGGGTAAGACGGCTAAGTTCTGCAGGTGTGCGCGCTACCTTACCTAGAAGGCTAGCCACCGGGTTCACCCACTACCAGATCCTTTCTGCTTAAAAACCTGCTTGGCCCAGCTGGACACCCAGCCCCCGCCCAGGTCCAGGACCTGGCACCTACTCTCTCCACCTGCGCGGGCCAGGGGAGCGCGGCTGCAGGTTTGAGGGCGGGCGCAAGTGGAGAGCGGCGGGACCCAGGAGCCGGAGCGTCCGGGGCGCCACTCGACCTCACCAGCCTGCGCGCGGTCCTGCTCCGTAGCCCCTGGGCCCGCTGTTCCCCGGCGCTCTTTTTGCCCGAGGCAGTCCCACCAAGGCCTGGACCCCTTCCTCACCCGCCTCCCAGGCGACCCGAGTCGGTTCCTCCGCCCAGGCAACTGGCGCGCTTCCGCTGGGAGGGGCGGGGCTGGAGGGGCAGGGCGTCTCTTAGGTTGTTGGTCCAAGAAAACCGCCTGGTTGTGGCGGGAGGCGCAATTTTCAGAGTAGCTTAGACCTATGAAGGGCACATTTTAAAGCTGTTGTTCCACATTGCTCTAGAATGATGCTAACAAAGGAAAAATGTTCCCCCAATAACATGAGTTCTGTCTCCAGTTTATGTGGACAGCCCATATTGTTAGGTCAGACGGACCCCATTTTTCTCCAATACCTCGCCCTGCATGGAATTGGTCCCTCTACCTGAAAACATCCTCACCCTCATGCACCCAATCCAGAGCTTCTGCAATTTATAGAACAGACGTTAGTCTGCTTCTTGAGCATGTACTGAAATATGCAAATATGTAAATATGAAATATGTAAATATATGCTGTATGTATATATGTGACTGTATGACCAATGTGATTCTGCAACTTGTACAATCAGAAAAATGAGAAATTATACCCCATTTGATTCAAATGTATGAATTGTCAAGATCATTATACTGTCATGTGTAACTAATAAAATTTTTTTAAAAATCTAAGAAAAGTTAAGCTGTTTTTTCTACCTTGTGAAAATATTCTGTGACTATATTAGCTTCCTAGCCCCCTATTCCTTCAGGGTCTTTTTGGCTTTTAAGCAGGCTCCCCCACAAATGCTTTGTGTCATGGTGGCAGAACTGTCTACTTTCTGCAGACTTGGAGTGTTATTTGGGATTTAGGAATCATGTCTTAACAATATGACAGCACTCATTTCTGGCATTTGCTAGTTGTGTGATCTTGAGCAAATGTGGAAGGCAGAATAATGTCCCCGGCTGCCACCCATCAGGATGTTCACATACTACTCTCTGAAATCTTTGTATTTATTCCATTATATAGCTAAGGGGAATTAAGATTGCAGCTGGAACTAAGGTTTGTGGAAGAAATGAAAATCATGACAAAGCAAATTAAGTACCTCCAAAATATTAGGCCAGAGAGGACATGAGTGACGAGCTTTCATTCATTTCTCTCAGAGAACTTTTGATCCTGTGTGTGTAAACATACATTTTTCCCCAGCATATACTGAAGCCTGCCCCCGCCAGGTGAAAACTTGCTACATCCTGTAGTTTACAAACTGAGACCAAGTTACATTATAACATAACTCTCCAATCCTATAGCCACCAGGGTCTTCTTTCTACTAACTCCCTTCCTTTCCCAAGTATTTTTTGTAGTTCATTCCACTCTCCCTTTCTGAGGACTGCCTTATATACACTTTTAAAGTTATCTAATCCATTTCTTACAACACAGTTTGCTACCCTGCCTGCTCCAAATTCTTTATTTATTTTACAGTAGAATGCATTTTGACATATTATACGCAAATAGAGCGTATCTCCTCATTCCTGTGTGTGTGTGGTCTTTTTTTTTTGTTTGTTTGATTTCTCTGGGGGTGAGAATGTTGCAGGATCATACATGTATATTGGGTAATAATGACTGTCTCATTCTACCATCTTTCTCATCCCCACAGCCCCACCTCTCCTCTCTCCCCCTTCTACACAAACAAAAGTTCCTTCATTTTTCCCCATCCCCCCACCCACTGTGGATCAGCATCTGCTTATCAGAATATTCGGCTTTTGTTTTTTGGGGGGATTGGCTTATTTCACTTCGCATGATATTCTCTAGTTCCATCCATTTACCTGCAAATGCCATAATTTCATCCTTCTTTAAGGCTGAGTAATATCCATTGTGTATATATGTACCACATTTTCTTTATCCATTCATCTGTTGAGGGCATCTAGATTGGTTCCATAGTTTAGCTATTGTGAGCTATAAACATTGATGTGGCTCTGTCACTGTAGTATGCTGACCAATCCAAATTCTTGACAAACAACTGATGTAATCTATCTTGCCATGTTTGATATTTGCCTTTAAAACTTGTTTGAAATCTGAAAGACCTGGAACACATATTCAATCTGCTTGAATCAGATTTCCCAAATTGCAACTCTGATCAGCCCAGATAAACTGTTCCTTAATCAATTTGTGCCTCAATTTCTCGACAGCTGATTTAAAAATAAGAAGATGGGAGCTAGGACTGTGGCTTTATGGTAGAGCACTTGCCTAGCATATGTGAGGCCTTAGTTTTGATCCCCAGTATCACAAAACACAACAAAAACAAAAACAAAAAACAAATGAAAACATGAGAGGAAGCACATGTGGACCAAATCTAACGAGTGTCTCAGAGGTAAAATCAATCCATAGTTGTATCCTCATTTCTAGCAGTGATGAGTTTGGGTAAATCCAAAATTGAGGTTCTACAGATAAGCAAAACCAAAGTATGCTGAGATGAAAGAGTTAAGAATGATATAAGGATGGTTGAAGTGGTATCTATATTGAATGTTCCAGTGAAGAAAATAGGAGTCTAGATCAGCACCATCCAAAGTGACTTTACATGTGTAGTTATTGAGCACTTTAAAAGGTGCCTAGTTTGACTAGAAATGTGCAATTAAATGTAAAACACAAGTCATTTATTAATTGTACCAATGACCTTTAATTTTTCGAACCGTAGCTACTACAGTATTTGGAAGTACATACATGGCTTGCAATTCATTTGTTTCTAGTACTAGTCTGAATGGTCACAATGGGTAAAAGGGAACACTTGAAAAACTAGAGGTCTAAAGTATAACAGAGCAAGAGAGAAAAAAAAAAAAACTAGTGGGAGAGTAGTGAAGAGGAAGAGACCCAGAGTGTTAAGACTTCTGAAAACAATAGTTCTTGGCATTATCAAAGTTCATGTTGTGGCAAATGTATCAGTTGCTGAAGTAGGGGCAAAGTTCAGTAGACTGAGAGTGAGGAAATGTCTGAGAAGTTATTAGGTAGCATTAACAAGGAAAGAGCATAAATAATAATCAAGTTCAAGGTTTCTCCATCTCAGCATGTCAACATTTGGGACTGGATAATTCTTTTTTTTTAATTGTTGATAGACGTTTATTTCACTTATTTTATATGCGGTACTGAGAATCGAACCCAGTGCCTCACACATGCCAGGCAAGTGTGCTACCACTTAGCCACAGCCCCAGACCCCTGGATAATTCTTTATTGGGGCAGGTGTGTATGTGTATATATGTCTTTAATCCTTAGAAGCCAACAGTACCCACTACCCCCAGTCTTGGCAACTACAAAGGTCTCCAGACTGAAAATGTCCAGGGAAAAGGTTAGAGTGGTACAAACTACCGGTGGTTGAAAGCCATCATCTAGCTGTATACTCTGAACTTCAAAAGATGAAGTTGGGGGCTGGGAATGTAGCTGAGTCATACAGTGGTCCTGTACAGTGTACAGTAGTTAGCTTGAGTGAGGCACTTCAATTCCTAGCTCCCCACATACACGAAAAAACTTACAATGTATTTCAAAGGCAAAGTTTAAATTAATTCACTGTGGTTAAATGACATATCATAAAAAAATATATATATTTTTTCATGGTGCTGGGGAACTTAAGTCCTTAGTTATACCAAGTTATGGGCTCTTCCACTGAGGCATACCCCCCCATCCCTCATAAAATACTTGTTGAAATAAATTTCATTGGGATTGGGTTCGGTCCTGGGTTCAATCCTCAGTACAAAAAAAAAAAAAAAAAGAACATTATTATACAGGTACTTTTATTGTATACATATTAGATACACACAAGAATGAAAATCCTACTCTCTAGAACATAAGACAATACATAAAACAAAGATATTACATAAACGGCATGAACATTAGACCAAGTATGTGATCTTCACATTCATATTACATATGTAGTTCAACTGTTCTTTGATAGTTCACTTATTTGAAACTATAGAGTGATATAGAATATATGACACTTAAGTATTAGTTCAAGGCCTTAGAAAACAAGTTTATTGGTGGTATTTATATATGGGAAAAGAAAACTGTTCATGGTATGTAACTAGCATGTCTCAGGGGACATGATTTAAGAAAGCAAGTATTATTTCAGAAATGCTACCTACATTGGAATGACACTTCTTAAATATACATTCCTTCCTGAACTCCATTCTAATATAATTTATAAACTCTCAAATGAAGCTATGGAGGTTAAAATTTAAATATAATCCAGCTATAAAAGATTGGGACTTTTTTTTTTTTTTTTTTTTTTGGTGCTATGGATTGAACTCAGGGGCTTCAGGCATTCTAAGCACACACTATACCATTGAGCTCTATTCCCAGTCCCAATATTTTACTTTCATACTACTTAAATAAAGGCAAAAATATTGTCAATATTATGTTTAAAGGCAGGGAGGTACATCATAAAGTTTTAAAACATGTCAACATTAAAAATATACTTTTATCTAGAACACCTAATTTCCTGATGATGCATCATTACTGTACTTATATTTAGCAAAGTGAACAAGCTACCATTATGACAAACCCTATTTATATTTAAAATCAATAAACTGACTAAATTTACCTATGTTAAAGAAAAACTCAATTTGTTGTGATTGAGAAGGCAGGAAGCACAGAAGGACAACTCCCATAAGAGAAGTTCATTGCCATGAATACTTATGATACTTAGCCAACTATAGACCTAAGGGAAATGGAAAGCCACACAGAACCCTCATTCCTCATTGCAGCCTTATTTCTCTTCTGTATCAAAGTACAGAGAGCACAGTGCTGCATTAGGGCGGCATACAAAAGCATCAGTTTTGCCTCCTAGCTCTGATAACTGTTCCAGTGAAGACACACAAGGATAATGGTCTTTTAACATATCTGGTAATTTAGAAGTCTTCTCTTGAAGACGTCGAGAACGTCTCACTGGTGTTAGAAACTTCAGCTCCTTAAATGCAGAACTTGACTCATCAAATTGCATCTTCTTTTTTATACTGAAGAAAACACAAAATTATTCCCCAAATTAAAAAAAAGTTAATGTTTTTATTTTGTACTTCTATGCTATTCATCATAATAAACATCATATGTTGCAACCATGTGACTGCTTGTTTTATAGAAAGAGTTATTACAAGCTTCTTAAAGTGAGGAACTTATCCTTTTCTCTATTTACTGTTATAACTGTTTGCAGTAGATACTCGAGTATCTATAGAACTGGCTAATTCCTCAGTTTTAAAACCTAGTATTATTAATAATACTTAAGAGTAAAGTAAAAATAATACAGCACTTGTTTTTTTTTCAAAATAGTAACGTTTAGGGAAAAGCAAAGCCAATACAATATTAAAAAGGTAAAATGTCCCAATGACATTCCATGTGTTTGAAAATTTTTTCATATATAACAAATGGCAGTTCTAATCTGAAGTTATTGGAAAAATTTAAAAATACTATATTTAGGGCTGAGGATATAGCTCAGTGGTAGAGAACTTAATTTAGAAGTAATTTAGAAGTCTTCTCTTGAAGACTGTCGAGAACGTCTCACTGGTGTTAGAAACTTCAGCTCCTTAAATGCAGAACTTGATTCATCAAATTGCATCTTCTTTTTTATACTGAAGAAAACCAAAATTATTCCCTAACTCAGCCTCTTGAGTTGCTGGGATTACAGGCATGTACCACAGCAACTTTAAAGTCTTACTGTTGTTTTAAAATTTGGTCAAAAGCTTAAATCTCTAAATTATTTCTTATAATAATTTGCCTAGCATGTGCAAGGCCTGGGTTTGATTCATAGGACCAGCGCAGGAGAAAAATCATATTTATTATCCCTAAGCATCAAAACAAATCACAGCACATTATATTTTATTTTTTATTTTGGGGGGATATCAGGGATTGAACTTGGGGCACTTGACCACTGAGCCACATCCCCACCCCTATTTTGTATTTTATTTAGAGACAGGGTCTGAGTTGCTTAGCATCTCACTTTTGCTGAGGCTGGCTTTGAACTCCTGATCCTCCTGACTCAGCCTCCCAAGCTGCTGGGGTTACAGGCATGTACCTCCATGCCTGGCCACATAATATTTTAAAAGCTTACCTTTGCAAGTATGGTGTAGTAGATACATTATATTTAATTAAGCAACTTGCTATAGTTTCTGTATCAGGGGTTTTAACATCATTGGTCAGAGCTTTCATTTTGTCATCTTGTTCTTTTTCATAATCTTTAAATACCACATTTCTATGAAGTTTATTCTCCATTTCTGGTTTTTCTAGCTCTAAATTAACACCCGTATCTTCAGTGTTGACTTCTTGAACTTGTTCTTTGGATGCAAAAGCCTCAATATTTTCTCCTATAAGAAATAATTTAGAGATTTAAGTTTTTGACCAAATTTTAAAACAGTAAGACTTTAAAGTTGCTGTGGTACAACTGAGACAGGAGGATCACAATTAAAGGCCAGACTCAGCAAATTAGTGAGTCCTGCATTCTACCCCTAGTGCTTCCCTACCAACCCCCCAGAAAAGAAGTTATTTAAGTTATTCCTAGTTGGCCAAAATTTCAAAATAAAAGAATTTAACTGTCATTTCCTACCCATTACATTTCCTAAGTAAATACTGCTGCCAGTTAACACATATTTACTATTTCCTATTTGCAGGGAAAATAGGAAATATTTTTTTATATTTATTATATTCTTATATTTATTACATAAGAATGAAATCATCCCTGTTCTTTAAGAAGTTTACATTCCCTGAGAGATGCAGTTGGGCTGGGAATGGAGTTCAGTGACCCACATCATCCCAAAACAAAAACAAAACCAGAGAGATAGCACGCACAGAGTTGAAAACAACTAACTGTAAAATGAGATAAATGCTACAAATTAGGTAGGAACAAAGGGTTAGTGGAATCCATAAAAAGAAACAAATTTTGTTTATGTTTCACAAGTGATATTTAGGCTGGGTCATGAAAAATGAGTACTTGACAAGTTCAAGGAAGTAACTTTTATAGACATTCAATGTCAAATTTGGATTTGTGAATTAATCTCCTAATTAAAAACTGATTATCTCAGAGACAGGTTAATAGAAGTATAAAAAAAGAACTTCATATTTTAAAAGTTAAAAAAGAAAAAAAAAAAAAGGGCTGAGATGTAGCTCAGTAGTAGAGCACTTGTCTAGCATGCACAAGGTCCTGGGTTTGATCCCCAGTACCAACATAAAAAATAGGATAAAAGAAAAAAAAAAACTAACTCAGCAAAGAAATTTAATAAACTCACAATTCACTTGAAGGAAATAAAAGAAACTAAAACTCACCCAAATTAACTTTTTCTTGACTCTTCATTGTTAGAATATCCACAAGGACATGTCGCATCTCTTCAATAGGCTTGATTTTTTTTAATACAAAAAAGAGATCCATGTAAGTTTTATATTTTCAAGTTGAAATATTAAAATCAGCAATTAAAATTTGATATTTTAAAAGAAGGTAGCAGTTCTAAAGCAGTTCTCAGAACTCCTATTTTAAGATTGAAAAATGACTGTCTATTCCAACTTACAGAATAAAAAAATGAAGGATAGGGCTGGGGAAGTGGCTCAAGCGGTAGTGCGCTCGCCTGGCATGCGTGCGGCCTGGGTTCGATCCTCAGCACCACATACAAACAAAGATGTTGTGTCCGCCGAAAACTAAAAAAATAAATATTAAAAAATTCTCTCTCTCTCTTAAAAAAAAAAAAAATGAAGGATAGAAATTTATCAGTTGAAAGTCTACCCCCAATTTTTTCTTAAGCCCTTAATAATTATTGGTACCTGCTTGATATGAACAGAATTAATAAATATGATGTTAGTATTAGTAATATCTATTCACGAGCTGATTAAAAGCTCCTTTTCTCTTACATTCATTTAAGTTTATTCAGACTATTAAATGCATCTCTGAATTGCTTAATGTTAATCAGCCCAACATATTTCATTCATTCAAAATGTATTATGTGTCTCTTATTTGCTAGATATTACATGCACTTCCTATGTAATTTTGTACTACTATGCCAAAACAACATAATCAAGATATCATATAAAAAGGAAACTCTGGTGCATAGTCTTAGTTCTAGAACTTAGTCCTAGAATTATTTACCCAGGACTTCTGCTTTACTTTTACTTTCAATTTTCTTGGGAATTTTGATTCTTGTTTTCCAATTTCAGCTCTGGTGTCACTTTTTTTTCTGTATTATTACTTTCTATATGTAGCCTTAGCTCCAGTTTTGCATACTTATTATGCTGCTAGAAGCTGCTTTAAGTAATGTCCCTTCGGTCCAATATAGTAAGGACTCCCTTCAAACTAGAATTCTATCAAATATAATTATGAATTCAAAAAAATGTTTACATATATAAGCCATTAAGAGAATATCTGCCTGGTGTTGTGGCTCAGTGGTAGAGCACTTGCCTAGTATGTATGAGGTACCACATATAAATAAATAAAATAAAGATCCATTGACAACTAAAATATGTTAAAAAAAAGCGATTGTGAAAATTATATATAATGCAAAGCATTAAAAAAAATAATATCTGATTTGATTTGATATTAATTGTACTGGGCATGGAACCCAGGGCCTCAAGAATGCTAGGCAAGTGCCTTACCACCAAGTTATATCCCAAGCCCTTTTTATTTTTTATTTTCAGAAAGGGTCTCACTAAATTGCTCAGACTGAGGATAGTTTTGCAATCTTTCTGCCTCAGTCCTGAGTAGCTGTGATTACAGGTATATGCCACCATGCCTGTTTGATTTTTGATCCAGTTGAAAGGTCAAATATCATTTGCTGGCTTTGACTTTGCTGAGACTTAAGTGAATATAGAGTTTTATTTTGTTTGGTACACGGGATTGAACCCAGGAGCACTCTACCACTGAGCCATACCCCAGGCCTTTTTTTACTTTTTATTTTTAGACAGGCTTTCACTAAGGTGCTGAGGCTGGCCTTGAACTTGCGATCCTCCTGCCTCAGCCTCCTGAGCTGCTGGGATTGCAAGTATGTGCTACCATACCCAGATGTGTTTTATTAGAGACAGGGTCTTGCTGAGATGTTTAGGACCTCACTAAATTGCTAAGGCTGGCTTTGAACTCATGATCTTCCTGCCTCAGCCTCCCGAGGCGCTGGGATTTGAGCTTTCTTAAGAAAGGCTAAGAGAGTACTTTCTAAAAAATGTCTAACAATTTCCAAGAAGATAGTTCTGAGAGATCTGGTCAAAAGGAAATATGTTTTAGGAATACTTATGTATAAAAACAAAAACAAGGCCCAAACAAACAAAAACCCTGAAGAAGTGATTTATTTTATACAGAAAGCTTTGTGTATCAATAGAGTAGAAGAGAGATGGGAAGCACAGTATCAATCCACTACAAATGGCAATAAAGTTAAAAATACTAGCTTGTTTTTCTCTACGAGTTGCTTTTTACTTTTTGTGGGCAGAACCAATTTATATAGTGTATAATGTGAGTACTCTAGATATACTCCTAAAATGAGGGAGTTCTCACAAAGCCATTAGTTTTTTAAAAAGTTAATTAATTTATTTTTTGCGTGAGGGATTGAATCCCAGGCCTCCATACTACACTAGTGAGTATACCCCCATACCTTCTGTGGCCTTTAAAATACTTACTACTATAATTTTACCAAGTTATGTTGTGATGCATTCTAAAATAATTCTGAATCATTTACATTGTAATAATAAAAAAATAGTAAATTTTAATCTTACCTGAGCCCCTGCCAGAATGGCTTCCTCATAGATTGAGATAATATTTTCAATAGGACTTGTGATTGGTTCAATACGTACAAGACATATCCAATATTTTACAAGTTTTTTGGCATCTGGAATATTTTTAACTAGGTCATTCAGTGTAACCAATATTTCTTCTTTTGGGTACCCCTAAAATAGCAAGAAAGTGTTTGTGATACTTTTTAACCTGCAAACTACAAAAAAACAATAATCTTAACTATAATCAAGATCAGTGGTAAAGACACAAAAGATTGATAGGATAATAATAGGAAATTCATCAAAAATATTCCCTAACTCCAAACTTATTTTGAATGATAAATAAAAAGAATATAAACCATGAGTATAAGACAGCAAAAAAGATAATAGTTGAGATATACATTAGTACAAAAATGACTAATACTTTACTTGGTTTTGTATTTATCCTCTTATAAACCGTGGGATTCCATTTGCTAATACTGTATTTCGAATTTTTACATCCACCGAATGTTCACAACTGAAAATGGTCTGCAGGGATTTTTCCCTCTTAATTGTCGGTTTTGATATTAAAGTTAAAATCAATCTGCAATGATTTATGTAAGAGATGTACGCAGATAGCAGGGCAAAAAATTCCATAGTATGAACAACAACAACAAAAAAAACTCAAAATAAGAATCAGTTTTCCTGTTCAAAACTTTCTTTGATCCTCAGGACCACAAAAAGTTTAAAGATGCTCATAAAGAGTAGAACAAAGAGTAGTAGTTTGAAGTCAGACCTTGTATTGAGTCTTGCTATGGATCTTGGACATTAATGGGTATACAAAGCAAGATTAAAAAGTAAATAAGTGCAGGCTGGGGCTGTAGCTCAGCAGTAGCACACTTGCCTGGCATTGTGAGGCACTGGGTTTGATTCTCAGCACCGCATTTAAATAAATAAAAATAAATGCCTATCAATAACTAAAAAATAAATAAATAAGAAAAGTAAATAAGAAATAAAATATTCTGGACTGGGGTTGTGGCTCAGGGGTAGAGCGCTCGCCTAGCATGTGCAAGGAGCTGGTTCGATCCTCAGCACCACATAAAAATAAACAAATAAAATAAAGGTATAAAAAAATAAAATATTCTGGAGTTGGTAATTATATTCCTGAGGATGTGCATCCAAATAGCAAAATTCTACAAATTCAAGACCAGGATAATGTTGTTTTATATTAATGGGATTTTATTAGATAACATTTTAGTTAACTTGAATTGATAATAATATTTACTATAATTTTTATTGCTAGTCTTTATGTGACTGGAATAAAATAATTTGTAAAAATGTTTAACAGAAATACCAGACGGGCAAAAATAAATGTCCACCCCAGCTTACTGAATATTAACATCTAAAGGAATACAGTATTCATAACTCAAATAAAAAACTTATTACCCCTTTGATATACTTATGTGAACTCAATGGAAAATGCAGTCAGTAAAAGGATAGCAATCTCACAACACTCTTAACACAGTATCACTGATATTACTTGCTCCAAAGAATGACAATATAGTCAGATAATGTTTATGAAAGTAATTTGTAAACCATACAATGTTGTATAAATATATGGTAAAGACTACCTTATTAATCAGGTTTAGGCATTCAGAAATCGTCTTGTTTACTTTTTCAGTAAATAATCTTTGTTCATCTTCTTCTGCCATGGTAGTCCAAAAGGACCCAACTGGTTTTTCATTTTGTCCTTCAGACGTGGGCTGGGTAACTACAGGGTTAGGGGGCCTTTTCAATACTTTTCCTTTGCCAATTTTCCACTCACTCAGACGAGCTCTACAGTCAAAAGCAGTATATAGAAACATTACTTTGATATTAATTCAAGATCTCTATTGAATGGAGGAAAAGTTTAAAAATATTTCAATTCTTGAAGTAGTTCTACACAAGTGGCACACACATCATTCAAAAGTTTGTAGAAAAGACATCTTGAACATAAAAAGATCAATTATATGTTCAAAGATCCCAAGAATGCATTTTTAATTAGAGAGGCTATGAAATATTTCCCAATTTATTATTAAGCATTTAACTTAGATTATAAAAAGCAACATAAAAACCACACCTAAATATAGTAACTTTTCAGTCATATTGTTCCATGACATAAATCTACCTCATATGACAGAAAGAATCCATTAAAGAAATTCTAATACAAGGAAATTACAAATCAAATCCACAAAATGGTACTCTATTGAAAACTAAGATAAAAAAATTATAGCTACTCACTTTCTCTCTTCCGCAGTTTCTTTGGGCCGAGCTGATCTATCAACAGTTGCTTTTGCTATAGTTTGTCTTCGTTGGTCAATGGTTTTTGACTTCTCTGTCAGTTTGGTATTAGAAGATGAAGCAGGCTTGGCTACAATTTCAGATGCTATGCTTCTTGATAACACCCTATTTCTTTTTATGTCCTGAGAAGAACTGGTTTTGACATTAGATACAATCGTTTTGGGTTCTTTTTCTTGAGGCCCTTTCCGGATTTTAACACTGGCAGAGGTTTGGTTGATGCCTTGTTTCATGGTGTCCTGGGTGTTACTGTGGTGACTTCTAATAGGAGGTCTCACAAGTTGTGTGTTCCGAGGTTTAGTGTTCACAAATTTAGTGCTTTCAAATTTAGTAGTAGCAGTTATATTTGAGGCTTTATTACTTCTCACTGTTATGTTGGTGGTGTTTACAAGTTCAGGCTTTGTGGCTTTGGAAACAGTAGTTGAAAGTTGCTTTGTTGTTGCAGAACTCTCATTTTTGACTTGTAGAGGCTTTCTAAATGAATTAACCTTAGATTGAACAATTTGGCCACGATAAGACCCAAGCACAGGTTTCTTGGGCATGTTAGCAGCTTGGTTTGGTTTTTCTGCAGGCATTGGTTTCTTTTTAGTATTGTTTTTAAGGTGAAATGCCTGGCTTAATGTCATATTTTGATTTGGGGGATCATCTTTAATTGATAACTGCAGAGTCTGAGTGCCATCCTGAAAATCATGTGTTTCAATTTCCGTAGTTGAATCGATTAATTCATTAGAAGGTTTTAAAAGAATATAATTTTTTACCACTGTTGTATTATTTTTGCTCTGTGTAGGTATTTGGATATTTTCTTTATCAGCCTGAAAGAGTTATTTAAGACAAATAAGTGTTTCAGAATTATTTATTTCAGAAAGAGCCTAGGAAAGGGGGGAAAGGGTCAAGTTATAAATGCTATGTCCATATCTTACCATTGTTGTTGTCAGTTTCAGAATTTTTGTCTCTTCTTGGACTTGGACCTCAGATGTCATCATTCTTTGGGCTCCAGTACTTAAAAGAAATAAAAATAAATTAACCCTGTTCTGGGGGTTTCCTTGTGTGGGGGAGGATTTGTGGAATAACAACAATTAACCAACTTTGCAATTTTAATTTGTGTGTGTGTGTGTGTATGGTACTGGGGATCAAACCTAGGGCCTTATACATGCTAAGCATGTACTCTATTACTGAGCTACATCCCTGGCCCCAACATTTTAAATTGTAAAATGAGGCAAGAAATTGGGCACTTTGGACATGACTGTAATCCCAGCAACCCGGGAGGCTGAGGCAGGAGGATCTCAGGTTCCAGGCCAGCATTAGCAACTTAGCCAGGCCCTAAGCAATTAGGCCCCATTTCAAAATAAAAAAATAAAAGGGGCTGGGGATGTAGCTCAGGAGTAGAGCAACCCTGGTTTCAATCTCCAATACCAAAAATAAAACAGGCAAGAACTGAGTTGAGATTTGTCCTAAGCAAAACTTCATTATACTGTGATTTAATAGTGTAAGTAACATGGCTAAGACACTTATAAATATATCTTCTTAAAAAAAATCTTCCATCTTCCACAGACTGTTAGCCTAAATTCCTTTCTACAGATGTCCAGTCTTTCTGGAATAGAGCATGAAATCTCTTAGCAGATGATTATGATTTTGTGTAAAATCGAGAGAAAAAAAAGAAAAAAACCCTGTTGATTAAACATACTATTGATTCTAAAATCCCAAGTTCAGAGATTATTTTTTAAAGTGAAAATTTATACTTGTTAGAATAGACGAAAGTTTGTATTTTCTTATAGTTAATAATTTTGGTTATATTGTCTTTCAGATTTATTTGCTCAGATAAAACATTATTCTCCGAGACCTAATTTACCAGAATTGAGTTGGGTGAGAATTTTTGTTTTGTTTTCTAATACGAATAATAATAATAATTATTATTATTAATTATTATTATTTCTATAGATCATCTAAATCTAGGTTTCCAAAAGTTGAGAAGAAGGCGTTACATTGAAAACATCAGAGCAGGAGCAACCACACCCTGCCAGAATTTGGTTCTAGAGCCTGGAGGTATAAGTGCTCGCGCAAGCGCAGTCGGTCTTCGTGCCCTGCAGCCCCGCCCCCGCGGCCCAGGGCCCCCAACGCCAGTATGGGTCTGAGCCGCCAGTCAGGGCCTTATTTGAAGGCAAGAAGTCAAAACACCTGTTATGAACAAAAAACAAAAAAACAAAACAAAAAAACCCCTACGCTCCTCGCTAAACGGTTTCTTTCACAGCAGATCCGCTTTTGCTAAAAAGCCAAGTCGACCAGTAGCGAACGAAGAGAAGGCGCTCAGCCCGCAAGCCATGACACCGAGCGGACGCCGCTCTCTAGGTCCCCTCCGCAAACGCCGTCCAGGGTTCTCACACAAGCAGTCGTGGGGGAAGGTAGTCATCCGACCAAAGGCCCTAACCACTAGGTTCACGCCCACCCGTGTTCCCTGAGTAAACCAGCCGCCAGCCGGCTCGCGCAGCTCCCGCCACCGCGGCCTCACCTAGGTACGCGGACTAGGTCTTCTGACTCGGGTGCAGCTGCAGGTCCCGGGGCACGGCCAGGGATGCGACTCCGTCTCGAGTCCTCGGTATCGCTCAGGTCGCCACCCGCCGCCTTACAATGAGCCCGAGCCCACAGCGGCTAGCTTTGGCCTTTGTCAGCGGCCCGCCGCCGCCTCCCATTGGTACGAGCGTGAATTGAATGCGCCAATGAGGGGAGAGGGGCGGAGCCTGGGTTCGGGTTGCCGCGGGCTGGTTCAGCGTCTATCGGGTTCAGTTAGGCTGAGTCTGTAGGTGTCAAACTCAAACCACGCGCTGCCTCCTAGACGTGCGGCGGGGGAGGAGTGGCCTGCTAAAATCCTCCAATACAGCAGCACTACGGTTGACGAAGACTCAAGATTGGACAGGAAAGGGAGACGGGGCAAAAAGAAAGTGTTTTCGCTTCTGGATAAACACCGGCGTGCTAGCTGAGAAGGAATTATATCACTGAACTGCTGTAGCAAGGGAGCATATTTACAAATACTACTTCATTTTGAACTTCATAAATGCATCTCCTGTTTCACTAAAGAAATGATAGTCTCGGAAGTTATCGTGTTCACATTTGCCTGGCTTGCAAAGGGACATTGAAATTGAGATCTACTTTCATGCCTTTATAATAGTTATCAGACGCAAACAAAGGGAAGATAGGAGAGATGGATTAAAATGAGGCCAGCCTCCTCTCAACCCTCAAGGTTATATATAATCCTCCTGTGCAGATAAACTAACATTTGTTAGACATTTTGAGTGTGCGTTTAAGAGTGCTACCATAATCTTTCAGTCTTCATCTAAAAAATATCTCCTTTATAAAATCCAAATAGCCAATCCCCAAGACAGAAAGAAACAATTCAGAGCCAGGAGATTTTAAGAGTTGGAGACTTATGGAGTATATGGACTGTGCCTACTGATATTAAGCACTGGGTTTACAACATTTCTCCACTTCTCCTGGACTGGACTCTCTTTCAGTCGGGGTCTATTTTTGTTTTGAGACAGGGTCTCAGTAAATGGCCAAGTCTGACCTTCAACTCTCTATCCTCCTGCCTCAGCCTTCCCAGTAGCTGGAATTACAGGTGGCACCACCACTCTTGGTTCAGCCTGGTTTTAAATGGGGACAAAGGTGGGAGGATAGAACTTCACCTCCTACTGCCCAGGTCTGAAGGTCTCCTCCGCTAACTCTGAGCTATGGTCAGTTTTTGTCATTTTTTCTTCATACCTATTATGGTAGCATCTTGCTATTAAGGAATTTGGTTTGGTGTTTTCTGTAGATTTTTTTTTATTTGATGAAACGTCCTATTTTAAATGTAACTTTGCCATCTCTGGGAAAACGAACAACCAAACAGTGTCCATCACCATTCTTAAGACATTGTTCCTGGACATACACTATTACATTATATTTCATTATTTACTAAAGTTTCATCAGGTAACCAGGGTATTCACTGGGTAACCAGGAATTCTCATGAAATGATGGAGAACAGTTTAACAAAACAGAATAGTTAAAACTGACTTAAGAGCTGGGCATTGTGGTGCACACCTGTAATCCCACAATTTGGGAGACTGAGAGAGAAGAAATTGCAAGTTTGAGGCCAGCCTGGGCAACTTAGTGAGACTCTGTCTCAAAATAAAATTTAAAAAGGACTGGGGATGTATCTCAGTGGTAAAGTACTTGCCCAGCATGCTCAAGGTCTTGGGTGCATCCCTAGTACCACACACAGACAAAAAAAAAAAAAAAGTGACTAAAGAACCTCCAAAACATCATGCTAAGAGAAATAAGCCAGAAACAAAAGGTCACATATGATTCCATCTATACGAAATACCTAGAACAGATAAATCCATAGAAACATAAAACAGATTGGTGGATTCTGGAAGTGGGAGGAATAAGGTGGAACCACTTAATGGGTTTTATTTTGGAGTGATTGACAGGTTTTGAAACTAGTTAGAAGTAGTGGTTTTACAACACTGTGTATGAATGCCATTGAGCTGGTGAATTTTATGTTATATGGATTTCACTTCACTTTTTTAAGTGAACATAATTTAAAATTTTTTTAATTGTAGATGGACACAATACCATTATTTTATTTATTTATGTGGTGATGAGGATTGAACCCAGTGCCTCATGCATGTGAGGCAAGCACTCTACCACTGAGCCACAACCCCATAAGTGGGCATAATTTTAAAAAATCACAGAGATTTTTTTTTTGGCTCAGATAGTATGAAAACCTACAAAACTGCTAGATTTTTTCAGCATAGCAATTTCCCCCTAATCTCCAAACTCTCACACTCCAAGAATGATGTTTTATTTGAGACACAACGTTCATATCATTGTCCCACAAGTGTTGAAGGGAAGGCAGAACCTTTATTAAAAGATCTAAAGAGAATTCTTCCTTCCAGAACACATCCTCACCAACACATGGGACCATGAACTACAGGCACCTGGAGTTGTAAAGGTCAGGCAAATGTCAGAGGGAAAGACCACCAAGAGACTGTCTCATGCAACAGCAAAGAGTTTATTGGGGGTCCAGCATTCTGGGGCTCAGAGCTCACTTCGAAGGAGCAGAGAGCCCCGAGAACAGCTTGAGCAGAGCTTATATACATTCTTTGGAAAGGGCAGGGACTTCACATACAGCATAACAAATCATCACATGCGCGGGAAAATCAAACAACAACTCTTAACCATGATTAGTACATTCACTGGCGGGAACAAGTCGGGTAGGGGTGATTGGTCAGTACAAAGAAGGGTATACATTCGAACTGATTGGCTTAAGCCCTGAGGTGTGTACGTGCTGGACTGCACGGTTTCTGGGAGGGGGGGGTTGTTTTTACAGAGCAACCAGGTGGTTAGGGGAGATTTCAACATACATTTCAGCGGCTTTTCCGGGAGTTGTTTTTAACTTCCACATGAATTTCAGGTTCCAAATGCAACTTAACAGAACTTAAAAACTTTACAGAACTTGAAGCAAATCTTATCCTTTACATTTCAATTTCTTTAACCTTTCAGAGTATTTGATGATCAGCTTCACTTGTTTCCCCTGTGGTCTGTAAAACAGATATGATGCTTTCAAGAGAATAGGGTGGGACAATCCTAAGGTTAGAAGTTGATGAGGACTGGAAGAGGAAACAAAGTCCATGGAAGAGAGGCCAAAGAAAGAGGGAATGGACCACAGTGTTGGGTACTGCAGAGATCTGGCTGGATTGGAATTGAAAAGAACCATTGGATTCAGAAGGTAGAACAAGGGCTGGGGTTGTGGCTCAGCGGTAGAGCGCTTGCCTGGTGCATGCGAGGCCCTGGGTTCGATCCTCAGCACCACATAAAAATAAATAAATAAAAATAAATAAAGGCATTGTGTACAACTAAAAGAAATGTTTTTTTTTAAAAAAAGAAGGTAGAACAACCTGGCAAAAATGTTTTGTGGAAAAGTACAAAATACTGTTGAGAGAAATTAAAGAAACTCTAATAAATGGGAAAATATAATATGATTATGGATCAGAAGACCCTATATTATTAAGATGTCCTTGTTCTCCAAGTTGATCTATTAAATCCAAACAAAACATGAGCTGACTGCTGATTTATGACTTAGAAAGCCACAGAAATTAAGAAAGTATAAAGAAACACAAAGAAATCAAAGGAATACAATTGATTCCAGAAATATATCAGACTGATCTGGCCAACTGACTAGTGATTGAACCCAGAGGTGCTCTACCATTGAGCTACATCCCAGCCCTTTTAATTTTCTTATTTTGAGACAAGGTCTCACTACGTTGCCCAAGCTGGCTTAGAACTTGCCATCCTCCTGCCTCAGCCTCCTGCATCACAGGATTTGGGGTGGGGGGCAGGTACTGCACCTGGTTTGGTCAAATGATTTTGACAAGGTTTCTAAAACAACTCAATGGAAGAAAAGGATAATCTTTCCAAGAAATGATATTGGGGCAAGTGAATATCTATGTATGAAATATTAACTTTGACTCTTACCTCAAAGTGTACAAAACAAACACCAATCAACAACCTCAAAATGGAGCACAGACCTAAAAAACTATTAAATGGCCAGAAGACAATATAGGAGAAAATCTTAGTGACTTCATGTTGGGCAGATTTTTAAAATAGCAAACATAAAAACCAGAACAACCCATGAACTCTAAAAGAAAAAAGTACACTAGACATCATTAAAATTAAAAACTTTTAGCCAGGCATGGTGGCGCACGCTGTAATCCCAGCAGCTGAGGAAGGAGGATTTCGAGTTCAAAGCCAGCCTCAGCAACTTATCGAGGGCCTAAGCAACTCAGCGAAATCAGGTCTCTAAATAAAAATATTTTTAAAAAGGACTGGGGACGTGACTCAGTGGTAAAGCACCCCTGAATTCAATTCCTGGTACCCCCCCCCCAAAAAAAAAGCTCTTAAAAAGATACCATAAAACTAAATAAATCATATTGGTTCTAAAGTCCTGAGGATACAGCCTCTTTTGGATTTTGGATGGATCACCCTGGCAGGTACTTTGCCCTACTCTGTTCTCATTTTGGGAATATTTAAGACACATGACATTTCTCCTTGTTCTAGCCTGAAAATAGGAAACTCCTGTACAGTTGTCTATTTTAGCAGCTGTCATATGTCAGCCCCTTGGGGACAGAAAACATACTTTGTTTTCACATCCCCACTCCCTGGCATTTTGATCACTGCAAAGACCAGGGGAAATGGTACAGTTCTACATTTGATTAAGACACTTAGGTTATGTGATGTTACTTTCAATAGGAAAAGTAGACTAAAAATGAATAACAATCTAAGGCTCAAAAGATCGGGAAATGATAGTAAATTGTGACAAACAATGATGGCATGTTATAGCAATTAATTTTTTTTTTTTAGGTACTGAGGAGTGGAGCCAAGGCACTGCCATTGAGCCACATCTCCAGCCTTTTAATCTTTTGATCTAAGCCTGGACTGTTTTATCCTACCTTTATTTAAAATGGGTATTTTTTTAATCATGGATTTTTTGCATTCATTTTTTTAAAAAAAGATTACTTAAAATATCATTTCTCTTGATGATTAAAGTTGTTTTCTTTTTCCATATTTTTAATTGGTATATTATAGTTGTACATAATGGTGGGATTTGTTGTTATATATTCATATATACACACAATATAACAATATAATTTAACAATCTAATGTCAGAACAATGTCAGACACAAAACAGGTGCTTGATAAGTGTTTTTTAAATATTTGTTGAACCAGTGAATAGGCTGAGAACCAAGAGACCTCTCTTGATGTAACTCTGAAGAGAGGTTCTCAATTTATTGACCCAACTACTTCCAGTCCCCTGGGGGAGGAGGGAACACCCATTAGGCCTTTCCATGTGAGACCCTAAAAGATTGACTTGCTGGGGATCTCACATACCCTGACACCTAAAGGCAAAAGGCATCCTAGGACACTTAAGGATACAGTGGCTTACTGAGCATAGAATAGAACAAGGAACTACCGAGGAGTGCAGAACTCAGGGGCAAATAGAAGAAATTTTACTAAAAATAAAATGAGAACTCTTAAGTAGACATAATTAGAACACTTGAGAAAATTTCCACTAAATTTCTGTAGAAGAATTGGAAAACAAATGATCACTGTTTTAAAAACAAAACAAAACAAGAAACTGGAAACAGTGGCACTTGCCTATAATCCAAGGGACTGGGGAAGCTGAGGCAGAGGAATCACAACTTTGAAGCCAGCCCACGCAACTTAGTTAGAACTTGTCTTTAAAAATGGAGGTTGGGGAGGGACCTGGGGGTTGGGGATATAGCTCATGGGTAAGAGAGCCCCTGGATTAAATCCCTAGTACCATTTTTAAAAAATAAAAATAAAAAAATGAGTATGATGAGGGAAGAGGGAAGGGTACATGGGAGACAGATAACTCTGACATGTTTATTAATGCTCAAATCATCAGTAGCCTCAGGAGCAGAAAAGAACTTATAGACCAGAAGTAATAATCAAAAAAGTGATAGAGGAACACTTTTGTGAAAAGAGAAAACAAACAAAATACAACTTGAGTCTTCAACTGAAAAGCCTCACCAACTCTCAGGTAGAACAATGAAAAAGGATACACACCTGGAATCTTGAACCTGAGGAAATTTCCCAACCTCCAGGATGATGAGAACAACTTACAGATTCCAAGCAGCAAGAACCAGGAACAAAGAAGAGATGTACTGAGCTGGCTTATACCCTTCCCTTGGCCCTCTCTCAACCCATTCCTTGGTAAAACCAGATCTAATTAAATCTATATCTTTCTCTTTCCTTCAGTGTTGTACTGAGTGAGGCTTCAGAAACCCACCCAGGTTTCACCTTTCATACCTTTTGTCTCATAGTCTTGTTTCCTCCTTGGAGTAATATTGTAGTGTAAACTAATAAATAAAATCAGTAAGAGTGTAAGCTATAGGTTATAGATTAGTAAAAAAAATGTAGATTATAGATATGATAAGTGAGATAAAACAATTATAAACCAAGAACTGTCATAGGCCTAAGATTCCATTTTGCTGCCTTCTATAAAATAATTGTTACAAGACTGTTTCTGAGAAACTGAAATGAAAGCTGTTTTCTTATAAAAATTGTCTTTCTGTACTTTGTACCCCACAAATTGTATCCTACTCAGGATGCAGTGGTGGTCACCGTGAGCTATATCCTGGGTTTGAGTGTACTTGTAGGTCTACATGACTTTGAAATAGATTCTCGCCCAGACGACCCCTGCTCAAACTCAGGATACTGATGTCTGCTTGAACCTGGGAATGTGGTTAACCGAATTGCAAAGCTGATTGCCTTTTTCCTAGCTTCTGTACTTGCTTACTTGCTAACTGGAAAATTCCAGTCCTGCTTAGGGCTTGCAGGTCCCGCTTTCTATTGTTTTAATTTCTGTGGCTGGCTTTCTTGCATGATGCTAAGGAAAGTCCCTGAGTTGTGGTTTTCATCTTTAAGTTCCCAGGATATAGGCCAGTAAGTTGCTGTTCTCCCACAGAGCTTTAGTCTCTATAGGTGGGTGACAGTTCCTGGCCAAGTAAATAAAGCTCTCATTGATTTGAAATTGGACTAACTGAAAGAATCCAGAGAGTTTTTGCATCTACTCACCTCTTCTCACTTTTACCCCATTATCTGTCTTCCTCCACCAGATAAACCATTTCTGATCTGATCCTCTTTGGGGCATACCCTCTCCCTTACTCAATGACAAGCAAGACTCCCTTCTCTCATATCTCATCAATTTTTTGGCCTTGATCATTTTCAACAGCATCCTAACATTTCTTTTACTTTAAAAGCAAGCAAACAAATCAAACTCCCTCCCAACTTCACTTCTTTCTACTACCAAGCATTTCTTTGCTCTCCTTTACAGCACAACTCCTCAAATAAATAGTCTCTATTTCTTATCTATAATCCATTTCCTCTTTTAATACCAATCCAATAAGACCTTTTCTCCCTCTATTTCTTTGGATACACTGTTATTAAGGCCGCCAATACCTCCATGTGGTTAAAAGCAGTGGTCAGTTCTCAGTCTGCATTGCACTTGAGCTGTCAGTCATACTGTACCTCTCCTCCTTTTTCACTTGGCTTCCAGAACACCACATCCTCCTGTTTTGCTTCCTCACTGGTGACTCCTTCTTGGTCTCCTCTTTTGGGTCTCTACTCTTGATTTGTGTTAATTTGGTCTAAATTAATATTCCTATGCTCTTTAATGGAAACTACAGAACTTTCATGAATTGTAATTTTTCTTTACAAAGCCTCAACCAATCAGGAGAGAAAAAGGCTGGTCACATGATGTGGCGGCCTCCCACACTTGCCTATAATCTCAGTGACTCAGGAGGCAGGCAGGAGAGGATCAGAAGTTCAAGGACTGCTTCAGCATAGTAAGACCCTTTCCCAAAATAAAAAAAAAAAATAAATAAACAGTGCTGGGATACAGCCCAGTGGTAAGGCACCCCTGGGTTCAATTCCATATATATATATATGGTTATTGGGAATAGCCTCCTCGACAAATTAAAAAAAACAAACAAAAATAAAATTTTTAAGTATCAAAAGTTAATGAAAGCAATAATACCAATGTAGCAGGCTTGGGAAAAGATCATTTTGCTGGTTGCACAGCATTCTGGTTAAATAATTTCTAAATATGTAATAACTTTACGAAATTAATCCCAAAGAGAGAAATATATCAGTTGTGGAAGGACAAAAAAATATAGATGGTCCGTTTGTGATGCAAAACATATAAATAAAATGAGCCAGCACCAAGGGTAAGTTTTTCATGGATAAGTTTTCATGGTAAATTATGGAGGATCTCTATCTAAATGTTCTCTAGTAAGTTTATGAAGTCTGTATTAATATTGTAAATGTCTAAGTGAAGATGAGAGGGAAAAAAAAGGAGCACAGCTTTGCTTAACATATTGCTTGCGGGTATATTAAAACGATTCGTGCCATATTCACTTGAGAAAAAAAAAGGTTATTATTTATGCCCTTAACAAACATTGCAACATGCTGGGCACTGATAAGAAAATTGCCACAAGTATGCAGGCATAAAGCACCAAGAGGAAATTCAAGCTGTAATCCGGGGTCAGGGATTAGGACGCTCTAACAGGGTTCCGGAAGGCTATCGGCGGACTGACCGCGAGGGGGCACTCTCCGCACGCCTCCACGTCCCCGGGCGCCCCTCGCAGCCGCGCCGCTCCTTAGGGCGCGGGGCCTGGCCGCACCCCGCTCGCTCCCTTTTTCCCTCCCGGCCTCTGCCCCGCCGGCCGCCAGGGGGCGCCGCAGGCTGCCCGGCGCGCGGCTCCGCGGCCCGGGAGCGCCGGCGCTGGAGAGCGGCGGAGGCCGGCCTGGCGGCGGCCATGGACCGCTTCGTGTGGACCAGCGGCCTCCTGGAGATCAACGAGACCCTGGTGATCCAGCAGCGCGGGGTGCGCATCTACGACGGCGAGGAGAAGGTAGGGCGGCAACCGAGCCTCACGGTGGGCGCGCGTCCTGGCTGGGCCCGGCCCGACCCCGTTCTCGGCCCGCGGTGTCCCCGGCCTCCCCGTGCGGGGCACGGCGCCCAGTCCCCTCCCGCCCGCCGCGGCCTGGACTTTGCGCCTCCCCCGCGCTGGCCGCGCGCGACTTTGGAACGATTCTCGGCGGGCGCGGATGGTGGCCGCTTGCCGCCGCCCCAGCGATACGCTTTGGGGTGCACAGCCGGTGCGCCCCGAGAGCGCCTGCTGTCCGTCTGCAGGCGGCGGGCAGGGACGGAGATGCTCGCCTTTCTGGCTCGGTTCAGAGCCTTAGTGACACTGGCTCGGGCGTAATCCCCGGGGCAGCCCAGGTCCGCCTTCTGCCAGCAGCGCGCGGTGGGCGCACGTCCCCCAGCACCCCGGCAGCTCGGCTGCGACCCCAGAGGCGGAGCGCTTATCAGATCTGCGCAGAGGGGTGGATTGCTTTGAAGAGATTTCTGAAGGAGGTAGCAGAGCGTTCCTCTTTGAAACGCCCTTGCCAAAGACTCTTGGGTTTTTGTTTATTTGTTTTTGTAATTACTTTACGGGAGGGAGTTTTGAGCTTAGTCTTATAAAGTGATGTAGTCAACCTTGCCCTGTGATATAAGCATAAATCTTAGGAGATGGGTTTGCAAATTGAGAAGAGAAATACAGTATGTAATTAAATATTTTGTGGGTACTTGGGGGAAAACTACAAAATATCCTCTCCTGGATGAAATGTGCAATTTGGAATTAGGAAAAAAAAAAAGTAAACTCATTTACCCATAAGCATTTTTAGTTTCCGGAAGTTTTCACTTGCTACCTCTCTCCTTCCTTGCTATTTCTTAATTAAACTTCCTCCTACTTTGCTATACTTGGTATACTTGACCCACAGCTCTTCCTGGTCCGTGCACACTGCTATCTAGGGGCACAAGTGATGTGAAACCTAAGTCCTCTACTTCCTTTGGGCGATTTCCGTGGACTATGTTTCCTGTTATTAAATCAAGGGTTTTTCCTTAAGTGATTTGCTTGGACTTCATTTACTTCATTAGCACTTTCATTGACTTGATCTCAAATTGGATCTTGCATCATTTGATTGGAGTGACAAGCAAACTTTACTTTTTCTTCCTTACCGAGTTTACATCTTTGGAACCACTTTGAATGAGAAGCTCAATCAATCCTCTCCTTTATTGGGTTTGATTCTGCGCTGGCTTTAAGAACTGTATGCTGACACTGACATATGGTCTTCAGAGACTTTTCCAGTGCCCCTCCCTGAATGAGTACCTGGAAGTCAACACCTTGTTGTCTGTGGGACACCAGTAACAAATTAGGGACGCCTTTGCTGGCAGACAGTGTAGCTATTATATATGTATATATATATTTAATATTCTTTTTAGTTAGATAGACCCAATGCCTTTATTTAATTTATTTATTTTTATGTGGTGCTGAAGATTGAGCCCAGTTCCTCACATGTCCTAGGCACTCTACCACTGAGCCACAACCCCAGCCCCAGCTATGATATCTTTACAATAATATAAAATCACCGCCATTAGCACCTGTTTGTGGAAAAAAAATTGTTGAATCAGCAAAATCTAATTTTTCCTTTAAAATCTTGGATGCTTTTTCTTTCTTTCTTTCTTTTTTAAAGCAAATACATAGGTATCAGGCTTAAGAAAAAAGTCCTGGGCAAGGTCCATCTGGAGACCCATTCATTTAGTCAAAAACTCATTACTCTTCTAAAACCTGGGGCTGCCCAGAAGTGAATCAGTATCTTGAAATTAAAGTGGGACCCTACTTATCACTGTGTCCTGGGGGACCTAATCTATCACTTGCTGAGCTATTTGCAGCTGCTTGGTCCCTAGTGTGATTGAAGGCCAGATTGATTCCTGGGAGGAAGTGTTCTGATTTGGCTTTCTCCCATCTTCTGGAAGATTTTCGATCTCAAGTGATGCTAAAGACTCTAGGAGGCTGTACATGAGCCTTGAGATCTGATCCAGTTAGTCTCCCATTCAGAATCCTTCACAGGCTCCCTTGGTCCCCAACTACAGTCCAGACTGCTCAGCCCTCATAGCTGTGTATACCAGCAGGTTCCCTAGGCAAGTGGGCACATGGTGTTTTTCTAGACCACTTGGATCCTCCTGAAGGGTGGAAAGTGGATTTTAGTCTTCCTTTTACCTACTGGCTCTTTGTGGGTATGAAATCCATTTTAAAAAATCAGAATGAATTACCTACTCTGTGCTAGGACCTTATTAATGATCTCATTTACTCCCCTCAAAATAAGTATTTTGCTGAATGAGAAGATTTTCACTTAGAGATATAATGACTTGCCTAAGATGATCAGTTAGAAGGAGAGGATTTGAATCTCTATTGATGGACTCCCAGCCCCGTGCTTCCTTCACTGTGCTGCAGCACTTCAAAGTATAGCAGTCCCTAGTGCCACTTTATGTAATATTCATATAGCTGATCCTTCCAAAGACGAAGAAACTGAGACCCATACTTGTTAGTTGAGAAAACTGTGAACTGTCCAGGGTTACATATCTAGTAATTGGTGGAACTAGAATTCCAAACCAGATCCAATAGACTATGATCTTTCTATTGCCCAAGTGCCTCTTGTGAATAAATGTGTGCTTGCTTGTTTATACAAGCACAGTTTGCATGGGTGCATTATGACTGGATAATGTGTTGTTTTCATAAGCAGGTAGACAGGTCATTTGTTTAATTTCACAGATGCTTCTATAGCCTCAACTAATTTAAAAAACAATGTAAGATTACATTGTATAAAGTGGTAAATTGGCTCTGCATACCAGAAAATTTACAAAATGTTTATTCTCTCTCAGCTATTTCATTTTATGAATTTACTCTTGGGAAATAATCAGGTATGTATAAAAATATTACACAGAAGGACACTCATCTCAGCATTATATATAATATTATTTAATGTATGTTGGGAATTGGAAGCAATCTGAATGTTTATTACAGAGATTAGTTAAATTATGGCTTATTATTATTATTATTAGCAAGAGAAATTGCTAACCATAGAGTGATAAGTGAAAAAAGTTGTAAAACTATAAATACCATGGTCTCATTCATTAAAGAGTATATACATGCATAAATATACACCCTCTGGCTAATGTAATTACAAGTGATTTCATTTCTTTCATAGATTTAAAAAAATTTTTTCCAGATTTTTCAACAATGAAAATGCATTACCTTTATAGTAGAAAAATATAAAAAGAAAAAAAAAAAAAAAAAAGGAAAAGCTTATTCAGCAAGTACCTAAGTTTAACTTTTAAGTAGCTAATATAATTCTAGCTCTGAGTACTAGAAGCAAACCAGCCTAAACTTGTCTATCAGGTTAGATCATAATCCATTGGAACCCCTGAAGGGAACTATTACACAATTTCTTCACTTAGAGAAGCAACATCTTACATTTGCTCATTGTTAATTGACATAGCAATGGAACATACTTTGGCTTGAATTTTAAATTCCTACCCTTATGCTCAGATTTCAGTAAGATGAAATGCAGTTTTTTGTTTTTTTTTTAAAGAGAGAGTGAGAGAGAGAGAAAGAATTTTTTAATATTTATTTTTTAGTTTTTGGTGGACACAACATCTTTGTTTGTATGTGGTGCTGAGGATCAAACCCGGGCCGCACGCATGCCAAGCAAGCGTGCTACCGCTTGAGCCACATCCCCAGCCCATGAAATGCAGTTTTTTAATCAGAGCTTTTATGTTCTAATGCAGCACCATGTACTCTCAAGTTAATGAAATATTTGCTTTTGGAAAAGAGAAATCTTACTCATTGGTAAAAAAGAGATTTTTTAAATATCTTAAATTTGATTATTTGGTTTAGCATACATAAGATTAAACAAAACATTTGAAGCCAGACTGAATTATGTACTGGAAACACCTATGCTTTACTTTTGATTCATAGGAGAACATGGAAACTTATAAGGCTTTTTCTCTGTGTTGGAGTGTTGTGGAATATCTTTCAGAGTGTATATAACTAAACTAGATGGTTCAGTAAACCTCTTATTGTTAAAGTTTATCAACCATATCATTATTTAATATTTAGCTAGTATTACAGAACTTATGCTTTAAAAAGTGTTTAAAAATGTATGTCATAAAATGTGTTGGAGCCAGGGTGTGGTGGCATACACCTGTAATCTCAGCAGCTTGGGAGGCTGAGACAGGAGGATTGAGATTTCAAAGCCAGCCTCAGCAATTTAGCAAGGGCCTAAGAAACTCAGTGAGACCCTGTCTCTAAATAAAATACAAAAAGGGATGCGACTCAGTGGTTAAGCATTCCTGCACTCAATTCCCAGTACCAAAAAAAAAAAACCTATTTCTGTGTGTGCTTGACTTAACAAAAACCAATTTATATATATTTCAGAGTTAAATGAAGTTATATATGTCAGTGATAAATTTTCTAAATTTGATTTGACAAAATTGTTAATTACAACTAAAACCAAAAGAAGAAAGTTGGCATGATCTGTAAATCTACCCATAAAAATTACTTTTGGCACATTTTGTGTTTGTGTGATTATATATGTTTGTATATAATCAAGTTATATATACTATTTTGAAACTTAATTTTTTCCTCTCTTAATAATACCATGGATATCTTGTAATATATTTTTGACTACATGCATAATTTATGATTATTTCTATTTAAGAATGATATATAGCTATGGGTGGTGGCCAGCTATCAGGAGGCTGAGGTAGGAGAAAAAACAAGTTTGAGTCCAGCCTGGGCAACTTTGTGAGACTTTGTCTTAAAATAAAAACATAAAAAGGACTGAGGATGTAGCTCAGTGGTATAGCCCTTAGGTTTAATCCCCAGTACTGGAAAGAAAAAATAAAATACATACATATATATATACATATATATGTATATATAAAATACATACATATATATATACATATATATGTATATATAAAATACATACTTATATATATACATATATATGTATATATAAAATACATACTATATATATATATATAGTACTAATTGGTTATTTATTTGACAAACATATTATTGTTGTTGTTATTATTATTTATGGTATTGGGGATCAAACCCAGGGCCTCAAGCATGCTAGCTAAGAATTTATACCGTTGAGTCACACCTCTAGCTCTTAATCATTTTTTTTAAACTAAGAAGAATTTTATTATTTATAATAAATTGGACCCTCACCAAAACGCTTTCCTTAGAGTTTATAATATAAGGTAGACAAGTAACTGGGACTGGCCTTATAACTTCTGATACAACTAAATATTTTTTCGTAGGATCTAAGCAAGGTCTAATCATAGCAAATTCTACTTTCTAGTAGAGTTAATAGAAGTTTCCAGTATATTTCTTGATTTTAACAGAAATGAAAGTATCTATCAATCTCTCAGATTCCAGCTCTAAAATCGACTTATTAATCTTACTTTCAGGAATAATAACAAATTATGAGTGTTAAAATTTGAAACTAAAGAAGTAGCTGGAGTATTTTTGTGATTATATTATAGTTTTAAAGGACACTTTAAAACATTATTTTGAGTTGTTGATACAGCCGCAATACCCAGAAAGCAGTCTCAGCTCAGACTGCTGTAACAATGCCACAGACTGGGGTGACTTAAACAACTGACATTTATTTTTCACAGTTCTGTGGGCTCGGAAGTCCATGTTCAAGGTGCTGGGGGATGTGGGTCTTCCAGGGTCCTTTTCCTGGCTTGCAGACACCACCATCCTGCTGTGTGCACTCAGTGGCCTTTCCTGGGTCCATGCATGTAGAGAGAGGACTTGTGTCTTTTCATTTCTCACAAGGACTCTGATCCATCATAGGACCCCATCTCATGACCTTCTCTACATACACATAAGCACTTCCTAAAGGGCCCCTCCAAACACCATCACAATGAGGGGTAGGCCAGACATTCAGATTTAGTCCAGAACAGTTAGAAGTCTCCTTCCCATTCTGTCTCCCTCAGAGACCACCACTATATAATTCTAGAAAGCATGCATATTTGTCATACATAAGTATTTGTGCGAAGAGTGTTGTTTTTTCCTTTTTAAAATATAAAATTATATTATGTTATATGCAGTGTGCTGCAAATTGCTTTTCCCCTATCAATTCTATACTATGTATACTGCTATGTACCTCACTGATTCTAAGCTTACTTTTTTGTTCACATTTTAACAATTTTGAAATTAGGATGCACGTCACATTCAGTGACATCTTAGATTTTATCAAGTATTACAAGTATGTAAAGAGTTTCCATATTCTTTTTAGTGAAATGCCTATAATCTGTTGTATATGTGTGCATTTCCCTGTTGATGGATGTTAGAATTGTCTCTCATCTTTTGCTCTTATAAACAGCAGTGAATAGCCAAGTACTGTATCATCTTGCTCATATATGAATTCATCTGTGGGGTAAATTCCTACAAGTGCCAAGTATCCTTGGGTCAAGGGATATTTGTATTTCCAATTTGTTGTTGTTGTTGCAGCATGGGAGATTGGACCCTGGGTCTTGCCCATATTAGGAAAGTGCTGTACCACTGAGCCACATCCCCAGCTCTTATATTTGTAATTTTGTTAGAAAATAACAAACTGCCTTCTGCAGAGACTGTCCCATCAGGAAATATATTTTCCCAAATACCACCAGTAAAGTGTTACCAAACTTTTGGATCTGTGTCAGTCAAATTAATGAAAAGGGGTATCTTTTTTAAAAAAAAAAAAAAAATTTAGTTACACATGGACACAGTATCTTTGTTTATTTTTATGTGGTGCAGAGGATGGAACCTAGTGCCTCACATGTGGGAGGCAAGTCACTGAGCCACAACCCCAGCCCGAAAAGGAGTATCTTAATGATCTTTTAATTTTCATTTATCTGAGTATCAGTGAGATTATACATCTGTTAATATGTTTAAGAGTCATTTGAACTTCCTATTTTTGTAAACTTTTCTGTTAATAGTCTTTGTTCATTTTTATAGTGGTTATAGGTTATTTTCTCATTGATTTATGAGTGTTCTATATATTAAGGAAATTAGCTCTTTGATGTGAGTTGCAATTCTTTTCCCCATTCTTCTGTTTGTCTTGTTTTTGCTGTTGATAGTTTTTCCATGAAGAATTTTTGTGTGTGCATGTGTACAGGTGAAGTTCTAAGTCTTTTCCTCTAGTGCTAATGGGTTTAATGCTTTTCTCAAGAAGGCTTTCCCCACCCTGAGATTATTTTTATAATCCTTTCATTTTTTTCCTACTGTTTTTATGATTTGCCTCTCTTTCTTTCCTTTCTCTTAAATATTTGACCTATATAGAACTTATTCTGGTGCAGTATATAATCCAACTTTGGTTTTTTCTTACCTGGAAACCCAGTTAGTTCAGTGCCACTGATTAACTCTCCATCCATACCTATTCTTGTATGTGTTTGTGTCTATTTCCAAATTTTCTATTTTAGAAATTAATCAAACAGTTATAAAAGTTATACATGAATTCAGTCTCATTGTAAAAATATGCAGTCTTTTTTTTTTTTTTTTTTTTTTGGAGAGTGGGGAGTGGGATCTCACTAAGTTGCTTAGGGCCTGGATAAGTTGCTGAGGCTGGCCTCAAACTTATTCCTCCTGCCTAAACCTTCTGTGTCACAATTATAGGTGTGTGCCACCATACCCAGCAAATTCAGTCAGTCTTTAAAAGGTCCTTTGCTTCTCTTCCTCTTATTCCCCTCACCCTTTTCTTGAAAAAATCCATTATTAACATTTTACTGTGTATTCCTTTTAGAACTTTTTCTGTTACTTATGTATAGATGTGTGTGTGTGTGTGTGTGTGTGTGTGTATTACAAACATGTCTTTTGAGGATTACATTATATGTTATATGCTGCAAATTGCTTTTTCCTCACCAATTCTCTTAAATTCCATGATAGCCATAATGATTCTACATTGTCATTCATTTAACCTCTGCATGGATTCCATAGTATCAATGTGGTTGAATGGATGTGGCACACTTTTTTTACCACTCGTCTATTATTATACATCTCAATTATTTCCAGTTTTCCCCTAATTATATCATGGCTGTGTTTATAGTTTTTATTTATGAAATGTGTATAGTGTTGCTTCTTTTTAATTTGTGATAAAACTAATTTGAAAATGTTCATGATTTAACTCATATTTTATGATTATAGAGAAAAAATCTGGACATTGAGTGACATTATTAATCTTTTGTGATGATGGTCTTATCTTTCTAGATAAAATTTGATGCTGGGACCCTCCTCCTTAGTACACACCGACTGATTTGGAGAGATCAGAAAAATCATGTAAGATACAACCTTTAGCATCTCTTCTAGGTTTTAAATCACTCAAGTTTTTCGCTTCTTTTTTGTCTTTCCCCCTTGTCACACACTTTCCTTTTTAGAACATCAGAAGAGTGTGTCCACATGTTCTCTTTGAATGGTGTACAGAGAGTGGAGTTGAGGGTGTTTTCTCTCATTCAATTTGGGAAAACCCTGTGTAGTTACTGAAAGGAGAACCATGGCGATTCCTGTTTCTAAGCAACAGTCAGGCCGTGTGTTCAGTATTTAGCAGGGGAGTTCTTCTCTCAGTTGTGAAGGATCCTTAAGAAAGACTTCAACTGTCCCCCAAACAACCTGTTCTCCCAGGTTGTTGCTGAGAGTCAGGAGGTGAGACTGTCATGTGCTTCACCTGGACACTGAGGACTGCCTCCTTGTCATTCTGAAAGAGAGGAACTCCTCCCAACCTCATTTTTATAATCTCTAAGAAGGGAGAGTAAGTTATATAGAGCTGATATCTTCATTGCAAAGATCTTTAACTTGAAAGTAAATATCTGACATAATAATTTCAGCATTGTCAGTGAAATAAGCTATCTCATCTGTTTTCATTTTCCTGACCAGTTACTCACAATGAATTAACTAACTATTTAATTAATTCATTTATTTATTTTGCTGGGGATGAACTCAGGGCCTCACAAATGCTCAGCACATCCTCAACCCCTGAGCTATACCCCAGCACCCATGAAATTGTAATACTACAGATAAACTATATACTGTACTCTTTGAGAGCTTGTTTGGAGGTTCTTACAGGGGAGTGCAGCTACCCCTATACCTTGATGGAAGAATGACCCTCCTCTACTGGGGAAGCTCCTCTATCATGAAGCTTCGGGAGGGATGCATGTGGAGCGATGAGGGAGGAAGGAGACACCCGCCTAGCCATTCAGATCAGCTGAATCAACCCTGGTGATCAGTGGGGAGGCAGATGTTGCAGCCAGATCACCCTCACATTCTATACTGTACTCTTTGAAAGGCCACTAACCATTACAATATCTGACTTTTTTTGCCTTCAAGAACCAGTTTTTGCCCACATTGATAATGTATTCTATAAATGGCTAAAGTTGTCTAATTCTTTTAAAATAATTATATATTCAGGAAATCAATGTTTTTAGGGGAAGGTGGGAGTCATTTACCCATGTTTGATAAATTAATGAATCAGTATAATTTTTTTGATCATGATGTAAAGAGGCCAATTTGGAGAAATCCTTAGACCGATTATATACCAGTCAGGTAAAATAATTTTTAATCAATCAATCAATCAATCAATCAGTTTATTGCAGCACTGGGAATCCAGCCCAGAATCTCATGCACACTAGGCCAGTGTTATACCACTAAGCCACATCCCCCAGCTCACTTTATTTATTTTTCAAACAAGGTCTTACTGTTGCCCAGGCTGGCCTCAAACTCTTGGACTCAAGCAATCCTCCTGGCTCAGCCTCCCTATAGCTGGGTCTATAGGTGTGTGTGACTAAACCTGGCATTGAATAATAATTTTAAAATTATATGTACTAATAAAAGGAGGTTACATCAATATTTTGTTTTAGTGTGTGTGTGTGTGTGTGTGTGTGTGTATGAGTAAAGAATGGGAAGTTATAAAGAAGAAAAATCATCCATATAATGCACTCCTTGAAATTGTTTTGTCTATTTTTTCTTTTCTATATAAGAAAAATTAAATATAAAAAGTTTTCTTATAAGTTACTTTAAGAAACTATCCCCACTGTGAAAACAAAGGTATAGTTATGGCTGCTTTTGTACCTCTTAGGTTTGCCTAAACAGTAATATGCCACCACAGTATCATTTTCATTTAATCCTTTCTTAAGTTTATTTAAGAAATAAAGCAACATTTTTAAAATTATTAAATCCCTTAGAAATATAGGGCACTGATGTTATAAAACAAGGGTTGCTGACTAGTATTATGGATCTTGTTTCTGCTGATTTCCTCCTAGGAGTGCTGCATGGCCATTCCTCTGTCCCACATTGTATTCATTGAGGAACAGGCAGCTGGAATTGGGAAGAGGTGAGGTCTACATGTTATAGCCTTTATTCATAAAAAATTCTTCCTCTCCTACTGTTAGTCAGGAAGCCCCCAAAGAAGGTTATTTTCCCCCCTTAGACCAATTCTTTAAGTAAAAATTAAGTACTAAGGTTTGCTATGATATTCTTGGTTCATAATAAATAAACGTGGCCCTGCTAGCATTGTGTGCATTTCCACAGACACTTGGCTTTCACGTCTGTGCCTGTCATTCAGTACTTGAAATCAGAAATGACCTATCAGAAATGACCTATGAGAAAAATTATTGACTTTGGTACTATTTCTAGCTGATCATTAAATTTATTTTTCAGGTTCAAGTTGTTCAGGTATCAGAATTAAATAGAGCATCATAATAGCTATTTTGCAAAACAGAACATTTGAGCAGTAGGAGGAGGTGCATTTAACAATTAGGGCAATAGCATAATAATGGAACCTTCCCAGGCAGACTAGGAGATGTGGCCACTCTGGTGTGAAATATAGGTTCAGATGTTCTTATTTATTCAAGCATTCTCAAAATTTTGACTTTACATCTTAAGTGCATATGATTCAGGATACTTATGAACAAATATTCTTGGCATGGGATAGTGTTTTCTATCTTGGTCCCTCTTTAGGCTTAGCATAATTAGACTTTTCGATAGATGTTAAAACAATGTTGAACTTCACTGGAAATGTAGTGTATGCCTTAAACAATAATGATATGGCTACTAAAGAAGATTATTTGACATTAAAGAAACAAACCAACATTTTGAAAAAAGTAAGCCATAGATTTTTAGAGTAGATTGTTTCTGTAATTTGTATTTCCTCCTTTGCATGTTTTTCAATCTTATTACATTATAGAAAGTAAAATCGTAGGGATATTCCAGATCATTTGATCTTTCCTCTGCTGTGTTCCAGGGTAATCTAAACTATGTAATAAAAATATTTAGAATACTTACTTTCAAAATAGTGTCTTATTTTAAAAAATATCTCCATTGAGGAGGAAGGAATTCAGTTACATGCTATGTTAACTTTTCTCAGATATCCCCCTGTAGTTCCCAGTCCCTCTTCTCAAATAATTAGAATATTACATTGATATAAACACATATACATTTCAGTTTTTTTTAAAATCAGGGCCTTAGTTAGGCAAGTGCTCTACCATAGAGCTGTATACCAGCCCCTAACTTTAGCATCTGAAATTGGGATTCTTTTTTCATTTCATAGGTTTTAAATTTGATGAAATGTGATAATAGAATGACTCAATAAAAAGATATGAAAAATTGACTTGGGTATTTTATGCACATTTTGGAATTTTTAAACTTTATTTTGTATCATAATCTTACAGCTTTTGTTGGGTTTCCTTTGACAGAATCTGATAACAGGGCCAAGGGTTTTGAATAAGAGTGTGAAATGCTCTTGCTCAGTTACTTTATCATGATTGTCATAGTTTTGTTGCTTTAGTTGATGGCTTATTCCATGTGGTCCAGTGATTCTGCTCACATAGTTTATTTGCTGGCCTCGCCTATCTTTAAAGACATTCACCACAAAGGAAGAGGAAAAGAATCTCATGAGGCTGGCCCCAGTTCACTTACAAAGCTTGTGTTAGTCTGAGGAGGCCCAACTCATGTTATTTAAATTTTACGGTGATATTTAGGCAACCATATGGGCCACACAAAGAAATGTTAAATGGAGTAATAGGCACATCTAGAACATGATCCTAAAGGGCTCTTAGCTAGGTTTCCAGGACATTTTGACTATATGTTTTTTTAAGTTTTGTTCATCTTTATGGGTTGTATATTGAGAAGGTTTAAAATTGGGAGGAAAACAGACTTATAAAGCTGAACAAATATGGTGGTATTTTTAAAAGCATAGAAAGTAATGTTGTAATAAAGATAATAGTAGTTTCTGTTTTACTGTTGGATCTGTCTAGATCATGCTGCTCATCGAGTGGCATTTTCCAACAGATGACACTGTAAAATGTTAGTTTTGGATGGAGTTTTAATAAAATATCAGCTGGCCAGTTTTACAGATAAGTTTTCATATTTTGTTTTCAAATGAGTAAGGTAATATGCTTTGGCAGAAATTATAGGCACCCTATGATGACCATGTGCATGGAAAACCTTAGTCAAAACTACTCAAAAATTTGAAAATTTATTTTGAACTTATTTTTTCAAAACTATACTTTTCTTTAATCTGTACAGCTGTAACTTGAAACTTTTTGGTTTATAGTTTATAAGTTTTAAATAACTGCTTATAATTTTTTGGTATCAAGGAAAAGTTTCATTGATAATGAATTACTAGGAACTTTAAAAGGATATCTTTCGGGATATTCTTTGTTTCCACATGAATTTAAGAGTGATTTGGAAATATATTAAAAGTTATGAAAATGGAATTAGTCTTTTTATTTTTAAAGGTAGTTAAATATGTTACATTTGCTCTTTCTTCAGTGCCAAAATAGTGGTTCATCTGCACCCAGCTCCTCCTACCAAAGAACCTGGCCCATTCCAGAGTAGTAAAAACTCCTATATCAAACTCTCCTTCAAAGAGCATGGCCAGATTGAGGTAAGCTTCCATATCAATAAAATTGGACTAGAAAAGTGTGTGTGGGTGGGTGTGTGTGGGTGTGTGGGGTTTAATATAATGGAAGGCACTATAACAGGTTTCTCCCATATTTTTACAGTAAAATCTTTTTACATCTTAAGCCTTATCGACAGTAGAGAATATGAGTTTAGGTTTTAATGGGAACAGAAAGCATGAAGGTGTGGTCACAGGAGGGAGCTGAGGCTGTAAATATGCTAAGTCATGCTACTTGGCTACTAGTAAAGTTTTCAGTGGTGTAGTTTGATTAAAGAGTATGGGGGCTGGGGGTGTAGCTCAGTGGTGGAGTGATTAACTAGTGTGTGCAAGACCATGGGCTTGATCTCCTATACCAGAAAGAGTGAGGGCAGAAGAGAGAGAAAGGAGAGGGGAGGGAAAACAGTGTCTTGTGCAGGGAAATGTTAAACTGAGGTAATATCTGAAAGCTCACCAGCCTTAAAGCAGGCTCCACACAAATCTAATCACTTAAGTACTTATGCTACAGTATAGAGTCTATGTATTCTGATTAATAAATTACTGTACAGGTGTTTATTTGCAGGTATGTTTATCTCCTCATGAATATATATATTTTTTTCTTTTCAGCAGCACTTTACCCAGTGTTCCACATACAGTAGTCACTAAGCAAATATAAGTGAATGACTGAAGTCCAGTCTCACCATAGTGAGCATGTCTCAATTTAGTGAGCATGTTTTGTCCCTAATTTTTGGCTTCACATTTTAATTAGACAAATTATTCTCTGTATCCTTCATGGAAAAAGGGTTGTGTATTTTTCCTGGCTCTGTGTTTCTTTCACTCTAGATTGAAAATAATCTATATATGCAGTATTGTTTAAAGTAAGTCTGATTTGTTTCATTGTCACTCATCTCTTTGTTGAAAGTAGTTCGCTTTATATAGAAGGTCAGTTCCTTTTTTTTTTTTTTCCTTTGTGTTTTCTGAAGTTGAGCCAAGAAAAGAACTTCCTTTGATTTCCTTTGATGTCTCTGAGAATTCTAGGCTTGTTGTACAAGGCTGAACAACAGACTTTTTTACTAATTTGTCCAAGGATGCCACAACTTTACTCACTCACTTAAAGTATATGTCTGTACATAACAGTTTTACAGGCGTTTATCAGAGGAAATGACACAAAGAAGATGGGAGAACATGCCAGTGTCTCAGTCAATACAAACAAATAGAGGACCCCAGGTATCTTTTAAACTATATATTAATCCAGTATTTTCAACTCTGTTCTTGCATCTTCATTAAGATTGTCCAGCCCGGGCAACTTATCGAGATCCTGTCTCAAAACAAAAATTTTTAAAAAGGCTGGGAATGTAGCTCAATGGTAGAATGCTTACCTAGCATGTGCAAGGCCCTGGATCCAATCCTCAGGATTGAAAAAAAAAAAAAATACTCTGTAACCATAGAACTTGCCAAAACAAAATAGTGTTATTTGGGTAAAAAAATTAATTTTTATAGCATTTAGTCTAAATCACAAACTATGAACAGGCTCTCAAATGTATGAAGTAGTTTGTATAACTGTCAAGTATCAAAAAAATTAGCTATAATTTTTTATACATTTGAGACCCTTTTAAACATTTGACTTAGCTTGCCGAAGAACAAACATGAATAGGAAATTTAATTTTTATTTAAATACAGAATAAAATGGTCATTTTTTGTATATTTGCTTTTTCTTTACTGATTCAAAGACATTATGTACAGTCAGAAACATAAAAATGTTTTGAAAGGAAGCTAGATGTAATTGTATGTTGTTTTTCTTTGGTTCTTTGTGGTCCTTTCCCGCCATTGAAAACACAATGTGGTTCACAAAAGATTTTGTTTCCTTCCCATTTAGTATGTTTTATGTTCTGTATTTTCTTTTTTTTCCAGCCAGGAAGAGTAAGAGCTGTAGGAATTGTAGGTATTGAAAGGAAACTGGAAGAAAAAAGAAAAGAAACTGACAAAAATATTTCTGAGGTAACTCTTAATAAGTTCCAGTCAGTCATCTTTTTCAGCTATTTGTGTTTATTCTTTTGGATACAGCTGTGACTAATTCCATTTTGTAATATGAATAATATTTAAATTGCATGCAACTCTGCAGTTTCCTCTTTCCTGTAATGGGTTTACCTCAGGTTGGCATTAAGTTAACCTAAACACATTTTAAAAGCTTTTTCTAAAAATAAAAAAGAAACCCAATTTTGTTTTCTGTTAGGGAACATCATAGAATGTTATATGCAAATTTTAAAGATATAATTGATTAGAGGATATTCCTAATGAGTTCAAGGTTCTCAGTATAATTATTTTGGAAGTTTGATTAACTTAGTTGAGAGAAAAATGCTGTTGTATGGCCACTGTTCCCGGCTAGCCACCACACAGTTTTATACTGATGACCAATTAAAGATGAGACACTAGACAATAAGAATGGCTCCAATCAGCCTATCACTTATACTCAGAGATAATACTGTCTATATATATTATGATGCTTTAAAACCTCATCATAAAAGAGGAAATTCAAGTAAAGGGGAAAGAACTCTGGTTAAGAAAGCCGGTTATGATTAGATTCTGTAATTAATATATCTAAACACATCATGATCTTGTTAGTCAGCTTTTTGTTATACTAACAAGATACCTGAAGCAATCAATTTACAAGAAGAAAGGTTTATTTGGCTTACAGTTTTGGAGATTTCAGTCCATGATTGGTTGCTCCATTGCATTACCCAAAGCAAATAATTTTTGAATACCTATTCTGGGATTGCTAATTGAAAATATATATTATTGTTGAGGAATTAGGACATTTGATCTATTAAATGCCCATGGTATAGTTTTGCTGAATACTTATTTATGATAAAGTTTTGGGTGTTCTTTAGCCATGCAAATTGTATTTTTATTTCCTGCAAATGAGCAGGTAAATCCAACACTCATGTTCAGTCTTTGGCAAGATGAGAGGCGATACTGTGTTCTTTCATCAGGAGGCATATCTTAATTTTTTGTTGTTGTTGTTGTTATATTAGTAGCTGTTAAGGTTCAATATTTCTTAGTTCATGGATGATTACAAATGGTGGTATTCTATTTATTTTTCATACCTATTAGTTAGAATATTTTTTATTTAGAGAGCTACTTCCCTTCAACTGCAATTTGGTTTTCCACTGACATAGTTCATAAAGGAAAGGCAAGATAATTGTTTTTTTTTCCTTTATTATCAACAGAATAAGTTAGTTCCTTATCATCCTTTGAAGCTGAGTAGGTTTGTTTTTTTTTTTAAATGTCACCATGAATTTTAATGTATTGATGGGGTTCACTCAATGGCAATTATTTATTCTATTTGAAGCTCAGATCATTCTATCTTTGGCAAGTAGGAGCCTCTTCAGGTTGGCTCCTAAGTGCTTTTGACATGACCTGGTGGACTTTGGTAGTTTCCTTGATATATGATATAACAGAAGTTCCAGGGCCATCTTATACCTTTCCTGCTGTAGATCTCAAATCAACATTTAACTGAGGAATTGTTTATTTTATTTTATTTTTAATGATAAATAATACTTGAAAATCACAATCTGTGTCCACAGCTATTGAGTTGATATTTATTTTTCAGCCTTTTCAATAGACAGAGCTAAGATTTTGTTGTTTATGAAGGGCCTCATGAGATTGTACCAGTTCTTTCAATTCAAATTCAAGGCAACACTGCCAAATAATTACTAAAATAGCAAAAAAATAGTATTTTTATATGTGTTCTCCCCATTCTTTTTCCATTAAAAATAGGGGTGCTCCATCCATATCATCTAAGCATTCAGCCCCTGCACACATCCTTCTCCCTCATCCCCAGCTCCCATTTAGTCTCACTTTCAGGAGAATATTTAATACCGACAGTCCTTATGACAACTACCACTGGTCATTTTGGTTATCCCAGATCATTTTCTAGTAGATTTTACAGGAAGTGCTCGTGGGCACAGTATTCCTTGTATCTGGTATGCCTGTGTTCCTTACACTTGACAGCCACTTTTGCTCAATTTAAAATCCTTGACCACATTTTCTTTTCCTTTAGTATGTTCCCTTCACCTTTTTTGTCTGGCATAAGTGTTACTGTCAAAGAGTGAGGATGGGGCTGGGGTTGTGGCTCAGTGGGTAGAACGCTTGCCTAGCATGTGCAAGGCATTAGGTTAGATTCTCAGCACCACATATAAATAAATGAATAAAATAAAGATCCATTAACACCTTAAAAATTTAAAAAACAAAGAATGAAGATAATTAACTTTTTTTCCTTTAAGAGTCATTTCTGTGTCTGGGGTTGTGGCTCAGTGGTAGAACGCTTACCTCACATGTGTGAGGCACTGGGTTTAATTCTGAGTACTGCATATAAATAAATGAATAAAATAAAGGTCCATCAACAACTAAAAAAATATTTAAAAAGGGAGTCATTTATTATTTTTCCTAAATAGACTACATTTCCTAAAAGATTTCTTTTTTTCCTTATTATTAAACCTAATAATAAAATGTGACTGCTATTCTGGATTATTCTTCTCAGGTATACAATGTGCTTTTTCAGTATGTAGTTTCAGAAACTTTTTTAATTTCAAGAAGTTCTTCTGTTTAATTTTAGAGATTGCCCGGATGTTTTTCCCTTCTGAAACTCGATTAGCTCTGTATTGCAACGTCATTGCCATTTTGAACTGTTTTTGATTATCTTTCAAATGCCTTTTATCTCTTTCTTTATTTTACTTTGATTTAGAAAATTTTCCTTTTTTAAACATGTCTCTTAAATTGTTATCTGTTGTTTTTATTCATTCTTGTGTGTTGTTTAGTGGTAGGCTTTATTTCAAAATGATTTTTCATGTTTAATCCTTTCCTGAACCTCTTCACCTAATTTCTGATTTATTGTCCTTTCATAGCTCATATCAGCTTTTATTAATTTATTATAGACCGACACAATACCTTTCTTTTATTTATTTTTATGTGCTTCCCTTTTCTCTTTCCTGCCTAGTGCCAACATCATGCAGATCTTGTCACTCTCTATTACCTGCATGTTCCTCTGGGGTTATGCCAATATTATGGCATTTAGCTTTGTAGTATATATTGCCTGTGGGCTCTTGGTTTTGTTTGCTTGTTTTGTGATACTGGGGATTGAACCCACAGGTACTCTACCACTGAGCTTTATCCCAGCCCTTTTTATTTTATTTTGAGACAGTCTTGCTAAGTTGCTGAGGCTGGCCTTGAAATTGCCATCTTTCTGCCTCAGCCTTCTATGTCAGTAGGATTATAGGCATGTGCCACTATGCCTGGTGGTCTCTGGTTTTAAGTAGTAGTTGCCTGTCTGCCTTTATGTTGGAATTTAGAGAGATTCACTAACTATGCTGCCCCAGCTTAAATCTCTTCAGGATCCTCTATTCCCATAAAATTCTGACATTTAACATTTAACATTAGAAGAGTTTTTATTATTCAGAGACGAAATAAGAGTAAGTGGCTAGATCTGGAGCAAGGGGGATGAGTGCCATGGTCTCCTGCCTCGTAGGCAAGGGCACAGGGCCTCAGAGCATCACTGTTCTCTGGTACGATGCTCTTCTGTCACACTCACTGTCATCTTCTGTGTTAATATGTAAGGAGATGGCATGGAACAGTGAACTACTTTGCATTATTAATATTCTTTTTTCTGCCATGCTCACTTGGTGTTATGTTCAAAATAAAGTTTTTCTTTTTTAAAAATATTTATTTTTTAGTTGTAGGTGGACACAAATGCCTTTATTTTATTTTTTTATGTGGTGCTGAGGACCAAACCCAGTGCCCCACACATGCTAGGCAAATGCTCTGCCACTGAGCTAAGTCCCAGTCCCTAAAGTTTTTCTTAATTTATGCATAAGTTATTCCAGTTCAGTCTAATTTTCATGGAGTCACAAGCTCAAAGGATTCTCCACAAGCATTGTGCCTTGTCATGCAGACCATGGGTTGGTTTAGCAGATGGTTCTTCCTTTCTGCTCTGCTGTGGGCACTGTGGTGGTGCTCCAGGCATGGGCCAAGGGCCAGACAAACAGCGACAGTGAGAGAGGCCTTGTGCAGAGAAAACAGGCTGCAGCAGGGACACCAGTTGACTTCTAATTTCCCTTGGGGTCAAGGAAGGCTTGTTAATAGCAGGAATATAGGGTTAAAGTCCTAAAAGACAAGGAGGTGCTAACAGTGAGCAGCAGGGAATAGAGGAATCCAGGTTGAGGGAATGGAATACTACTCAAAGGTGCAGAATCAAGGATATTGATATTGAAAATTCAAGAATATATTGAGTTACTGAAACTAATAACTAAGGTAATGACTAAAAGCCGATAAGAAGGAGCTATAAGTCAGCTTAAGAGGGTACCCATCGTTTTTAAATAGATACAGTTTTTCTCAAAATTGGAGCAGAAATTTGGTTATAGGTACAGTAGACGGAAAGAAAGATTGGTAAACCGACAAAGTAATAGAATTGGGTATGTGCATTCATCTTGCTTTACTGTGTATTATAATGGCTTTATCATCCCTTGTTTTTGATAGTTGGTAATTCCAAATTTCAGAATAATAACAGAAATAGAAGTAAAAAAGCTTTTATTTATGTTTTATATTAAAATATTTTTTAAAAAACTCTTATAAGAAACTAAAATATTTTTTATTGATCATTTATAAACAGTAGAGGCAAATGTATGTACTCCGTGTGTCTCACCATTTTAGTATGTTTTTTCTATGAAAATATAATACAATAAAGTGATTTCAATTCAGATTTTATGCTATTAGTTTCCTTTACACAAGTATAAGAAATTTATTAACATTTTATATACTTAAAAATCTAAGTGTGTAAAATGCCTGCTTTATTGTTGAAAACTCAGTTGGTGTGTGATTTGCCCCCATTTAAATGTTAGATTGACTTAGCTTCAGAGCTAGTGCCCAGAGCTTCCCACAGAAGGTTTCCTGCATTTGCTGGCTGTTGCTGATAAGAATTCAGTGTTTAAGCCTTTTGTTTATCTGAGGAAATTCCTGTTAGGTGTGTGCACATTACCCTTTGTTTTCAGTATTAACCTTGGTGCTGGCCATCAGAATCTTATACAACACTCTATTCTTTTAGCAAAATTCTTTTGCAGATGGAGGATACTTTTCTGCAGATGGGCATAAGCTGATCAGAGCCACTATTATATATATCCAGTCACTCTGGACCAATTTTTCAATTAATGACAAGTTGCTTGATTGCTTTTAAAAAGATAACAACTGTACACGTCAATTAGATAAATTCTGCACTGGCAGGATATTTTCAGTAACTTGAAATAATTTATTGGAAACATGTTTGATGAAGTTTGAAGAGTATTTTTGCTGTAGTAAATGAAACAACTGGTAGATTTTATTCAGATATATTTGGTGGCTTTGGAATACTTTTTGTGATATCCACCATATCCAAAGCTACAAGTATAAACATTTAGTAATGGCAGGCTGAGGCTGCTTCAGTTAAATCATACCTATTATTGCAGCCAAAATACCTGAGCCCAAAAGGGTATTCATGCAGCTGTTCAATGCCATTTTCAACCAGGAAAGCTTTACAAGGCCCTTGATTCTTGACCTCCTATCAAGAAAACCAGTGACAGATTATCTGATTTGTGTCAAGTAATAGTAAATAATATTTTAGACTATAATTTATGTTACCTTTTGTTTGTTTAATCAGTAATAATTATATTATTTTTGAAAATCTGAAAAGTTTTTGTTGCACTTTATTTTGAAAAATGTATGGTTTCTTAGGTAGAGTGGATGTTATAAGATAAGGTAGATGTATTACTTATATAATTATTTTATTAACAATTGATATTTCTAAGGAAATTTCGTAAATTTGTATTATAGGGAAGAAAATAGAGGATGCTTCATTCATTTTCATTCTTTAGATGGATTCCAGTAAAAATTACATTTCTCATTTCAGGCCTTTGAAGACCTCAGCAAGCTAATGATCAAGGTATATGTCATTTACACCTCCAAAATTCATACCAGCTATGCTGCAATTTTGAAAATATATTTTGTTAGAAGATACTTTGGGGACATTGTTTCTTTTTAGTCTTTTCTTTTGACAGGCTAAGGAAATGGTGGAGTTATCAAAATCAATTGCTAATAAAATTAAAGAGAAGCAGGGCGACATCACAGAAGATGAGGTAAAGATGCCCTTTAAGGTCTTAGAAACCACGTGGCACCAATAATACAGCCATGTCTTTGTGGCTTTCCAGTTTGCTTGCTTGCTGTCTCTCTTCCTCCCTTCCCTTTCCTTCCTTCCTTTCTCCTGAGGATTGAACCCAAGGTCATCTTACCACTGAGCTACAATCCTCAGATTCCCAGTTTACTTTTTAAAGTAACATTTCATTTCCTTTAGGACTTGAGGGTATGTGAAAGTGCTAAAGAAAAAGTGGACCATAAAAATTTTGTTAACTCTAGTAGGATTCAAGTTTGTTCCTATGCCTTTTCTTGAAGTATAGAAAACATAATGAAAGATGTAAGGAGTGGCTATTTCATACACCCCTAAATTTGATGTCTATTTCATTAAATTTGTCTACAATCTGGTCACACCTATTTTCCCCAAATTTTCACTTGTATCATTTGGTTGATATTAAATATATTGTCATTATATAAATTCTCTCTCACACCAAACTTATGATATAAACAGGATGAGAGATAAAACATAGAAGGAAGGAGAATAATTCAGATTTTTGCAAGGAACTACTAGAAATCCACTGCCTTATAGTTCATGGCATAGAAACATAGTGAAGAAATAGGTATATAGAGAAAATTGAGCTGAATTGAATTTCTCATGGAAGGATTTCAAATGTTGGGGTGGAGAAAAGAGTTCTACATCGTCTTCTCATGCATTTTCTCCTCTCATTACAGACCATCAGGTTTAAGTCCTACTTGCTGAGCATGGGAATAGCTAACCCAGTTACCAGAGAAACCTACGGCTCAGGAACACAGTACCACATGCAGCTGGCCAAACAGCTGGCTGGAATATTGCAGGTGCCTTTAGAGGTAAAACCAAACCTAAGTATACTTTAAAAACTATGTTAAATTATTTCCATGATATCACAAAGCTTAACAAGAGCCTAACTCCTTTCATGATGTGGTTACTATCAATCAACATACTATTTTTTTTTCAGGAATATTAAATTAGTCTAGTGTACTTATTAATGAGTCTTTATAATACTCTAAATTGCTTTCAATTTGCATTTTATATATCTATAACTATAAATCTATTTAATATGCTTTTCTAATTTTAAAATGTATTATATTTTTCTATAGATGTTTCTGTTTATCTAGTCCATAATGTATATTATACTATTAATAATTCTGTAATGCAGATTCATCTAGTGTAACAATATTCAGGTGACCAAAACTTTATTAAAGCCTCTGCATCAAGAAGTATTTCAAACATATGCCAAAATCAGTAATATAATGAATCCCCTATGTGCCCATCACCCAGCTTCATCTATAAACCAACTTCCAAAGTTATTTTAAAGCAGATCCTAATATCACATCATTTTATCTGTAAATATTTCAGTAACTGTAATGATAGACATCTTTAAATGTAACTATAATCCCATTTCACACCTAATGATCCTTAATATCAAATATCTAGTTAGTGTTTACATTTTCTCTTATAGTTTGTTTTTTCAAATCAGAATACATTATAATTAATTGATTTGCCTCTCAAGTTTTGGTTCATTCTCTTTAAGTCCATGGGTTTTTTCATTGCCCTCTCTTTCTCCCTGCCTTCCACTCCTAAAATGTATTTGTTGAAAAATTGGAAGTTTAGTCCAGAATGTCTCATTGCTTGGCTGACTGTGTAGTTTTAATAAGGCTTCCATTTTACATATTCCCTATTAACTGTTATAATTAGAGCTTTTTTTTTCTGGAAAGAATATTTCATAGAGGGTGCTGTATACTTCAGGAGGCACAGGTTGACTTTTTGTCATGTCAGCAGCCACTGACAGTCATTATTTGGTCTGTCATTTCATTAGGGGCTGCAAAATGACAGTATTCTTATTTAATACTATGTTTCCTATTTATTACTTTATTTCACCTAATAATCATTGCCACTGCACTAGTGTATATTCATGAGTATTCTGTGCATCCTAATCTTATACTAAAAACAGTTTAGTAATAACTTATTTTAAAGTAATACTGGCACAAAGTTTTTTAAAAAATAGCTTCATATAGTGATCACATTACAGATTTTTTGCGAAAATATTTGACATGAAATCTTCAAGGATTATGAAGTGACATGATAAGGATAGGTGGAATGACTTTACACATGTAAATGTACTTACATGTGCCTCTCCTTTCAAGTAAGTAAATGCTAAAACAGTAATAACAACATTAAAGTCCAAATACTGAAGGTGAAATGCCTCTTGATACCTGAATAGGCTCTCCTGTGTATAAGTCTAGTTTTTTAAAACTTCTTAAGAATTTTTCCTGATTTGTAATTTCACTCCAATTCATGATTTCTGCTAAGAAATGCTAACTGGTGCTAATTGTAATACTTTTTTTTTTTTTTTTTAATCTCATCTTAATAGGAACGAGGCGGAATAATGTCACTCACAGAGGTGTACTGTTTAGTAAACCGGGCTCGAGGAATGGAAGTAAGTACAGAATATTTAGATACTCTCTTAGCCAAATATAGACTTTCTTGATATAATACAAATTCCCCTAGAGTGAATACAATTTGAGGAAGGGTTGTGAATATCTAAGCTATTTTGAGAAATAGTGTAGTGTGGTGAAAATAATACTATGCTGGGATCTAGGAGGTAGATTTTGTATCTGGGTTTGCCAGTGATTGCTGAGTGACCTTGAGTAGCTTCATAACTTCTCTGGGATCCAATTTACCCTTAAGATAAGGATTTGGAGTGAATGATATGTTTCATCTCTAATATTCTGCATTTTTGTTGTGAAGAATGAGGTTGTGCAGGAACCTCTTTCTCTACAATAGTTAATTTGTTCCTAAGTTACAGTTAGATAGGAGGAAACAGCTCTGGGGTACTATTCGCATATTAACTGTAGACATAAGTATGGTCTGTTTAAAGAACCTAGCAGAAAGGATTTTGAAAGTTTTCTCCACAGAGAATTAATAAATATCTGAGGAGATAAACATGTTTAACTTGATTTAAACATTATGCAATGCATACACATACCAAAAATTACGTGGTATCACATAAAGATATGCAATTTTTCTGGGTTTGTGATGTCATTTAAAAGAAAAAAAAATTAATTAAAAATAAATAAATAAATAAAATTGGGGGGTGGGGGGGACAGTTAGATACAGATTGCCCCTTAGAGAGTGCAGAGGGAAAGCCACCTTGCTCCTCTGTCTGCCCCGTCACACCCACACATCCTTGGCCTCCAAGGTCCTGTCCAGGTTCCCTTTGTGTCCCAGCAGCCAAACACAGTCACTTTGATGCGGATGATTCTCACGCATGTCTTTGCAGCCCTCACCCCAGCCCAGAGCTAAGCCTCCGTTGTATGTGTGAACAGTCATCATAAGTGGCCTCAGCAAGTGCTCACTACCTGCCAGGCCCTCTGTATGTGTTGCCTCGTTTATCCTCCCACTCACTCGGTGAGGTAGCTCCTTTACTGTCCCCATCCTAGGGATAATTTGGGAATGAGGAAATTGAGGCTTACATTAAATAACTTGGCCAAGGCCACACCTGGAGACAGTGGTTTGACAGGGATTTGCACCCAGGCCTCAGGGGGCTGCCTCTGGAGCCATCCTGTATGATTCAGAGCTGTGCTTGTCCCTGCAATGGTTGTGATCTGTTAAAGCTGCACTAGCCAAAAGGGTGCCACTAGCCAACTACAGGTGATGATTGTGAGCTTGTAACATACTAGAGTTAAAAGATTAGTACAAAATAAAGAAATGTTAAATGTCAGCATCTCAAAAAAAGGTTTTTTTTCAATGCTGGGGATTGAACTCAGGACCTTGGGCACTCCTAAGCTATATTCCCAGCTACTGTACCATTTCTTTTTTTTTTTCTTTACTTTTCATGTTGCTACTACAATTTTAAAGTTATATATAGTATTTCTTTTGCAAGGCACTGCTTTAATGAATTGAAGCATTTGGCTCATTTGTTAGTTCCTTTTGCTTTGTAATGATTAAACTACATAATTTTCTTGATAAATGCTAATTTTTAAATTTCCTATTATGTTTTAGTGATCATTACAATTATATAGCATTACACTTATTGACTTGCAGTGTAAACTGGATTTCTTTTCCCCATTAGTTGCTCTCACCAGAAGATTTAGTGAATGCATGCAAGATGCTAGAAGCACTGAAATTACCACTCAGGTAAAGGAACCTTCACAGAAGTTTGCCATCTGTAACCATGATTCTGCCCAGGAAAGAACCAAAAGCTCAACCAAGTTTACCGTGCTGCAAAATGTTGTCCTCTTGAACTTATATGTGACTAGAGTTCACCTGGCACCACAAGCATCTTCTGTCATCCTGGTTTTCATCCTATCATACTGGGTGTGACCTAATGGGACTCCCAGATTCTTGTTGATTTGAGGGAAGAAGATAAGACTGTGAGCTCCTCCTAGGAACTCAGGATAACCAGCTCTTTCCTTTAGATGGTTTGTGTTTGACGTTCTGGAAATTCAGAAGTTCAGGTGTTTAGCTGTGGAGTTAATAGAAAGGTAGTCAGACATATTTTATTTAGCATGTAGATTCTAGTAATAATGTAGTAATCTTATTACCTGTTAATTCAGGAGAACTTTAGTTCTGTCATAGTTACTTGTGGTCATTCATTATATTTTAAATGTTGTGTGATTATCGTTGTCCTTATTCCTGGGCATAAAAGAAAATAAAAAGTGTGTGCTTCTTCTTACTAGTTGAATATCCCAGATGATTCTTGACTCTGTTCTCACATATCTGGTTTTCAGACTCCGGGTTTTTGACAGTGGCGTCATGGTAATTGAGCTTCAGTCCCACAAGGAAGAGGAAATGGTAGCCGCGGCCCTGGAGACAGTATGTGAAACCAGTTTCCTCCATTCATTAAAACTCATGAAGACCCAAATGTTTACTGATTTGAGAACAAGATTTTCTTTTGAATTTAGCTTTATTAAAAAATTAACATTCACAGACTCAATTAAAAATGATTTATTATACACAATGAATACATAGTAATTAAAGTCATTCATTAAAAGCTTTTGGAAGCTTATTGGCCCTCTTAAAATCTTGGAAGTAAGGAGAGTTAGAATTAGTGAAGTTCAGGCTTTTCTACTGAAGTTCTAACTTTCTTAATTAGAATGTTACACAAAATTAAACTTTTTCTTTAAGTTAACACCTACATAAACAGCATTATAAAACATTAGAATTTGTTTTGTGAAATAACTGCTTCAACAAATTTGAAGATCGAATACAGTTTAGATGGATTTTAACTGGCCAAACTGCCAAAATTACCCATTAGTATATCTGAAATGCTATTGTTGTTAAGCCTTTAAGCTGAACCTGTGTAATTTAATAATTCATAATTATTGTATGTTTCAGTTCAAGCTATATGAAAACCCCAAGACTATAGATATTCTGCCACATTTTAAACTAAACCTATATATATGGATCCTTTACTAGAGCGCATAGTTCTAACTTGATTAAAATTTGTTATGTGCTCCTTTCAGAATATACAGTAACTCTTTCTAGGCTTTAGTATAGTGTTTGGTTCTGTTATGTTATAAGGGCTTCATGTTGATATTTTAGCTTCTGCTCTATTTGTTCTGGGTCCATAACTTTTTTATAGATTTAAGCACTTATTAAGATTTAATTTTAAGTGAACATTCTTTGGATTTTATTAGAAAAATCAGAACATTATTTCCTGTATATTCAGTTATATATTCTGCCTAAGGTTAGTACAGAGGTGTACTAAACTAATAACTTTTTTTTTTTATCTGTTCTGTGGTTTTGATAGGTTTCAGAAAAAGGATCCCTAACATCAGAGGAGTTTGCCAAGCTCGTGGGAATGTCTGTCCTCCTGGCCAAAGAAAGGTAAGTTAGGCCTTTGCCGTTCTTTATAGTTTGTGTTTGTGTTTCTGAATGGACAGGTAATTAAAGTTTTCTTCTTTTTATTCCTAGGTTACTGCTTGCAGAGAAGATGGGTCATCTTTGCCGAGATGACTCAGTAGAAGGCTTGCGGTTTTACCCAAATTTATTTATGACACAGAGCTAAGGGTTTTGTATTTGAAATACTTTCTGTCCATACTTTTATCTGAGATTGTGTGACACTGAGCTATGAGATAAACCCCGATAAACTGAAGATTTATTAGAATTTCACAGAATGATATAAAACTCTTTTAATCTCTCCCTAAATATTATGGTTCTGAAAACTTATTTAGGATACATAAAGGAAAATACAGAAAAATGAATGCCAATATGAATTTAAAATCATGCTATAGTTGTGCAAAACCCTCCGAGTTTAACTTGAAATACAGTAGATTTTGATTCCCAAAAGTAACCATTTAGTGAAGAAGGGAATTTAAGTCCTTGAAGGAGGAAAAAGATAAGTTGCATGTTTGGATAGGTTAGATTATTAATTTGGTATGACTAAAATTCACTAAATTATGAATGTTTTCCTCTGTGTCTGATGCACCCATTTTTGGGGGTTTTCTTGAAGGAAGTCATAGCTACAGTGCAGTTTAAGAACCTGACAACATTGGAACAAAATATCAAACTTTACTATGCCCCATGAGGCTCTTCCTAAGGGCTTTTTAAAGCAGTCATGGGCATGTCTTTGACAGACCAAACGAAACACCTATAAAAAAGGAGAGGGCTGGGAGTGTGGCTCTGGAAGAGCTCTTGCCTAGCATGTATGAGGCCCTGGCTCATAGCTCTAGCACAGGAAAAAAAAAAAAAATTTAAGAAGAAAATCTTATTTGACTTACATTTATATTCTAAATAGGTTTTGTTTGTTTGTTTTTTAAGTGATGATTTCATGGCTGGCATTTAAAGAATGCAACTGTGTCATTTTGTTTAAAAAATGCTGTGGATTTTGAAACTGAATTAAAGAGCTGTGTAGACATGCCCAGAGTTACGATTACAAGTTTGGGAGGTAGATGGCTTAGGAATTCCCTAGAATTGTTCTGCGGGTGGAAGGGCAGTGGGAACCTTTAGCTAATTTCACAGGAACCTTAGTGCTCTATTACCTGGAAGCCAAGGATGGGAAGAGAAAGTGGAAAAGTAATATGCCTCCTTCTCCCTCCCTTAAGGAATCTTAACACTGAACTTAAAAAAAATATATTATATATTTCTATCATATTTCAGAAATATGTATTTCTTCTTTGCCTTACACATTATAAGTTGTGTGAAGAAACTATCTTGGTAAAAGGTGTTAATATTGAGACAACAATAACTGGCCAATGTTGCCTGTAGAGTGCTTGACTTTTGAAGTAGACTGGCTGACTTCATATGTTACTGCTCTACAGTGTGCAGTGTATCAGCATTACCTCCAACTCAGGGACCCCTACGGGACAGGAGACCCCTTTCTGAGACCGAGTTGGACACAGAAGAGTAGCGTTGTTTTTAGCCAATTCTCCAGGGGGGATAGTGTACGAGTGGGGAAAACCCTTGGCACCAAGAGGAGGGATGCCCAGGTGCACACTCCAGGACTTTCCTACTAGGTGAGGTAGAGGCCACTGCAAATGCCCTCTTGGGAGGTGCCGAGGTCCTCAGCCACAGATAAGGGGATTCCCTACCTCTAATCCCTTCCTGAAAAGTGTCTGTTGCTGCTTGGTGTTTTCCAGTGTCATGGGAATGCTGTGGCCAAGGCATCCTGCTTTAGTCTTTGTTTTCCAAACCTGTCACTGACTCTTCATTGTGGTGACAGATCCCCTAATTACCTCATTGCTCAGCCTCAGGTTTATTTTGGAAGTAATAGTGTCTGGTCACCCAAGTCTTTTAGGGGGTTAGTTGGACCATAATGTAAACTTGTTTGTACATCTCCCCTCTGGGTTGCACTCACTCTGTCACATGACTCTGGCAGACTTGTGTGTACATACATAAGTACACACACACAAACCACAGTATCTTGTCTGGCTAGGGATCTTAAAAATTAACAGAGATAAATAATAATCTGTTTCACATGTTGGAGTAGTTGCAGATAAGGTTGTTGGAGCTTCTGGATCTAGTTCTAATAGTTGGGATTCATTACAGCAAGCTGACATAATTCAACATACTATTTACTTTAATGTGACAACAGATGAAAAAAATGAAACAATATGAGTTGTTGAGAGTGATCTAAAGAAAAATGACATGAATATGCTTTTCAGATGTCACATTAACTAAAGAATAAGTACAATTGATTTTATTATTTTATTTTAAAAATGGGCATTTTTTCACTTTTTCCAGACCTCCATTTGTATTTTTATTTTTTGCCAAATGAGGTGTTATTTTTATCTTTTATTGTTAGAGGTTATGTTTAGATACAACCAATCAGGCCCTAAGTGCAAAAAAGTTCTGCCTTGGTGCTTATCACTGGTATAATTATTTTTGTTTTCCTAACTTTGCTCATAGGAGCATGAATCTCTTTGTAGCTTTATGGTAATGGAGTATTTCTAGCATTCAATAAATATCACTTCCTGTCAAGAAAAATTTTTTACATTGTATAAGTGAAGGTTGTTTTCAGGGTTAAATGACTGATATTAATGTATATATAGTAAAATGATTGCAAAATATTAAAATATTTGATTTTGATTTTCTTACCTTGGTGTTCTTTTATAAATACTTTGTGAAAAACATGTGAAAATGATAAACTTTTAGTCATACCAAGCCAGTATGTTAAGAATTTTTCTTTTAGATTTTATAATTAAGCATTGCTTATAAATATTTATGACTTCAAGTGCTTACTATTTTAGTTATCTTTAAACATGAGAAATGAGTCATGAACTGTTTTTTTTTTCCTCCTCTTAATGCTGGATGTGAATCCCATCGTGTGTAGACCCTGTGTATTTGTGTGAATGTCTAGCTCTAGTTCCCTGTCACCAGACCAAGCTGATCAGAATGTCGATTCATCGTTTCATCACTCTCAAACTCATATATTTAAAATGGTTCTCTTTTGCCCACCAATCTCAGCATCTTCAATGGAGTCACAGCTTATAAGGTGGTTAGGTTTTACAGAAAATTCGCCTAAGGACAAAATAGTGCATGCTCAACATGATCCTTGAAAATCTCTTAAATTGCCAATAAAGTTCTCTTTATAATCTTACAGTTTGAATCCCTGTGGAGTGATATGTAGGTGTGAATATATCATGCATATAGTAAGTACAATATATAATAAAAACTGCATACCAACAATAGACTTTTATAGCATTAATAAATACACCATTTTAGGGCTAGAAGTATGACTCAGTAATACAGCACCTGCATGGCATGTGTGAGACCCTGGGTTCCATCCTCAGCATCACAGGAAAAAAAAAAAATTACACTATCTAAATGTGTGTCTTTTTGCCAATACAAATGGTTGGATTTATGTAAATTTATTGCTGATCCCATACCTTATGATAGATCTAGAGTGTAAGCTCCACAAGGGCAGAGATTTTTGTCTGGCTTGTTCATAAATATATCCCCAGAGCCTAGAACAGGGCCTGGCACACAGTAAGCATTCAATAAATATTTATTGAATGAATTAGCCTTGATGTATATACCTATTTATAATTTGCCTCCACTTTATCCTACTTTCAATCTAAAAGAATCTTTTTTTTTAATACATACAGGTTTTGTGTGAGGAACTTTGTGAAGCATTAGGCAAAGGGGTAGGATAATACAAATAATATACTGCCCTGCCTTGAAGAAGAGGGTGGAATTGTTGGAGAAATGGAAACAACTTTTCACTGAAGGTGGAGTGAAGTACCATACTGTGGAGGACTGAGGGAGCCTTCAGTTTTTGTTTTTTTTTTTTTTAAGAGAGAGAGAATTTTTTAATATTTATTTTTCAGTTTTCAGTGGACACAACATCTTTATTTTATTTTATGTGGTGCTGAGGATGGAATCCAGCGCCCTGTGCATGCCAGGCGAGCGCGTTACCACTTGAGCCACATCCCCAGCCCAGAGCCTTCAGTTTTGATGAAGTGCTCTGGGAGGCTTTGTGGGAGAAGAAGAACCTGGTAAACTAGGCCCACAAAGACTCAGAGGTTGCCAGTAAGTGGAAGGCACTGGGTCAAGGGAACAGCACAAGGTGTGCCCCTTCCCGTTCCTGGACATGTCTCCTTTGTCTGCCCAGACTTCCTTTCTTTAAGTTCAAAGACTGTCATACAGCTTTTTTTTTTTTTTTTTTTTTGAGTCCTCACTGTCCTAGGCTAGTGACTTTACAAGTAAATTCTCAAGTTAAATATTAACTGAATGGGTGGGCTGGGGTGTGACTTATTGGTAATGTGCTTACCAAGCATACATGAGGCCCCTAGGTTCAATCCTCAGTACCTAAAACAAAAAGTATTGAGTGACTTTCAGATAATAGTACTGTGTCTTAAGTTGACTAACAAACCTAAATCTATGTTCTTTACCCCTTTTTCCCACAAGGCTTCTCAATCAGACTCGTTATGGGTCAGCCTGAGATTTGCTCTTATTTAAATTTTAAGACATGGGCTATATCCATGATGTGGGAGAGACTCCTAAAAAGTCAGGTTACACACATGTAAGATCTTGTTTTTATAAGCTGTTATTAGAGTGTGAAAATTGGATCATTCATGTTCTTCCTTGTGTCCTGATATGAAATCATGAGTCAGTTATGGCTTTCATCTCAGAGCACTAACTTGGGAAATAAAACATTTCTCCATTTGTGTACAGGGAATTACTGAGTCCAGATTTTGTAGTCTGCATAGATCATTAGATTAGTTGCTAGTCTAAAATAATTCAATGTGTGTGTCTTTGAGAGCCAGTTTTAGTTCAGTATGATACCACCACACACCAGTGTTTTTTGAAGGCCTTTTTCAGTCTTCACTTTTATTTCAGGAAAGATTAAACTAAATCTTAACTACAAAGACTGTAATACAGTTTGGCAAGGAATTCTAAGTCAAAAATGATCAAACATCTCAATGAAACTGTTATTTTAAAAATGACCAAACATATCTATCTATAAAGGCTTGTTTCTAGATTTAGGTCCTCCCACTCTCAAATAGTGGCTTTTTGTGGGAAGAGTATCTTTTGAAAAATTACCATAGAGCAAGTTATCAGGCATTCCTGCCTAAGAATCTCTCTTATAGCCTCCAGTTTACTTATTCTTGGAAGTTACATTTAACTATTATTATTATTTAAAATGTCCAGGAATAGCTGTGTTTTGGCTTTAGCTGTCTTTGCTAAGTGTTTAAGATGAAGCAAGTCAAACTGACTTTTGTTTCTATCTATTGTTAACAGTCAGCTGTGTTTCCATGGGAGTCCTGGGGGAACTTTACAGCAGTTTCTCAGTTCCGCTAGTGCCATTTGCACTAGGATGGGTCCAGGCCTTGCTTGACCATGTGGCTTCCCTTGGAAGCATCAGGGATGTCTCCCTTCTCTGTTGACCCTTCTCTTCATAGCAAATGCACTGATGGCTTTCTGTCCTCCAGTGGTCTCATTGGCATATTCCTGTGCTGTGGCATTTATTGCTGCATCAATCTGGTTCCAGTACTAATGAATTCTTGTTTCTCTTATAGACCACCCATCTACTCAAATGGCCCTCCAGCCTATTACTTCTCAATCGGACTTCTATCATGGACCCCTCGATAGACCTGATTTTTAAAGGGGACTCCAAACTGCTTGCCCAACATCGTCCCCTTTCAGCCTGAAGAAGCCAGAACGATCTTCGCCCCCTTTCCTTACAGCAGTAAGGAGTTCCCAAAATTAGAGGGGGGAATGAAGCCAGATTTAAAATTAGGTAGTCAGTGTAGTTAGGTAAATCTGGTCTAATATCGAGTGAAATCTAAATGGAGGCCAAGTTGAGAATGAATTTCCAGGAAAGTTGAACAACTCTCCTGGAATGTTAATGAAGTCCAGGAAAAAGCCCAAGGCCAAAGTCCATCCCAAGGAAATGTTAATGAACAGCCCCAGCAGATTTAAAGATAGCCCATCCCAAAGAAGTGTTAATGAAGTCCTTCCCGCCCAGATTATTTCTTTGGCCCACCTGTGTCCCAACCCTTGGGCCTTCCCACCTACATTCCATCACTGAAAACTATAAAATGGAGAGACAACCGCACTTCCATGGATTCCATCTCTTGGGTCCCCTTCTTCCTCCCGGAGAAGTCTTTTCTGCTGTCATTTAATAAACTTCTAATTTTCCACTCTGACCTTGCCTCGGCGTGCTTCTCTGGTGTTATTCTTCAACATTGGGGAAGCAAGGACTTGTCACCAGTCAACAGCGGTAACAACAGCATAAGTGAATAATTGTGCTGCCTTTTAGAAGGTGATGAATTAAAGGATCTGCAAATGACATGTTTTAAAACGTTTTAAAATTTTAGGTGATATTTACAAACAGTGAGATGCACATGTTAAGTCCCATGGGCTGTGACAAATGCGTAGTAAATCCACCTAACACCCTAACCAATAGAACAATGTATCACACTCCCACCCCAAAGATTCCCTGGTGTTTTCTTCTAATCGCTGGTTCTCCAGGGGCTGTGCTCTGCTATCTATTACCATACAAAATTAATGTTTAAATAATATGTTCTGCATAAAAGAAAACAAATGGTAAACCTCAGTGCACATTATTAATAACCGATGCTGATGTGGAACTCTATCCTCTTCAATTCTTTTAAAAAGGCAAATTTAACACTCATCCTTTTTTTTTTTTTTTAATGCTTAGTTATTTTTAATTTAATTAAAAGCCAAGTCTGGCTCCAGGAGAAGAAAAAGCAATGTGCAATTTATCTGAACTTTTCCTTTGCAATTCTTCAATGACATTTGGGAAAACAAGTTTACAGCCCACACTTTATGCCACTTCAATGGCTTTTCTTGCGGTCTGACCCAGGTAAAGAAGTGATTGTATTTTAAGTGCCTGGAGAGGGGTTACTCACCCTTGAAACACTAGGTGTGGGCTGGGGGTTGGGGGCTGGGGGTGCAGCGTATGGCGGGTCTGCGTCTGGGGTGCTCCGCCCCCTCCCCGCAAAACCCAGGCGCGCACGTTTCCTGCGGGTTTCCTGTCCAGCGGCGGCTAGCCGGAGGCGGGCAGGAAAGGATGCGCTGCCCAGAAGTGGCGGGGGCGGACCTCGCTGGGTCCGGAATGACCCCCGCCCTCCGGGTGCCCGCCTCCCCTTGTCGTCCGGGGCGGGTCCGGGCGGGGCTGCGGGAGCGGTGCACCGCGGGGCGCGGGAGCGCAGTCCCGGGTCGCGGGATGCTCCGCGCGCAGCCTCGCGGCCCTTGAGGCCTCCCTCCCACCTCACCGCCTCTCCACCTCTCCACCTCTCCCGGCCGGCCTTGAAACCTCCGTCCAGCCTCACCACCCTCGCCAGTCCCCAGAGGTAAGGAGAGCCTTGGGCAGCTGGATGCCCGCGCCCCGGCCGGCGCTCCTGTGCCACGGGGGTCGGGAAGTGCTGCCGGACCTTGCCTCCTCCTGGCAGCCTGAAAGCGCAGATGGATAGTGGCGTTCACTCCACCTACCGCTTTCGATCCCCGGGGAATTAAAAAAAGGTGTTGATTTTACACCCAGGAGTCTACCCTGAACCCGGCTCTTCCCGACGCTAGTGTTGCAGATGTAACCAAGATCGGCTGTAGGGGGTATTGAGTCCAGATGGTTGGGATCTTTGGAAAATCGTAGCTCTGAGACTAAGCGTTGCCGAGTAAGTTTGTTTCTTAACAAAAATTAATCTTTTCTGGGATACAAATAACATGAGATGTAAGAATTTCAAGACGATCTTCATTAAAAGGGCTTTGTACTGACCGCTCCATGGCTGGAGTTCCTAGCATGAACTTGACCTGCTGCCTTTGGAAGCTGGGTAAATGGGGCTTGCGCAGCCTTCCCAGGGAACCCAGGCACAGCAGCCTCAACTGGATATGTAAACAAAGTCTGTTCATACAAATGGCTTTGGAATTGGATTTCCTCCTAATAAATATTATTCCTAGGTATGTACAAGAGTATATGCATGTTTGTCAGAGGGACAAAAGTCACTTTGTTTCTGTTTAAATTAATTAATTAATTAATTTTTGTAATTTCAACTCTGAAAAGTCATTAGAGAATTATTTTTCTTTCTTTTTTGGCAGGTGTGAAAGGGAATATAGAAGCGTTTACTTAGCTGTTTTAGCAAAAGCATGGGATCTAAGGTTGAGTGATGCCATTGAGAATATTCACAACTTCTCTTCACCCTCTTACCTCTCAGCAGATGCCTTTAGAATTTGTCTACAAACGTTTATGTACTTGAATGCTATGTATTTGGGGAAGTTTTTTTTTCCATTTATTTTTTCCGTGTGGGGATTCAACCCGAGACCTCCAGCATGCTGGGCAAGTATTCTACCACGAGCTACATTCCCAACGCCTATACAAATATTTTTAAATGTGTCTTAAATGGACCTAACTTATTTTCTTGACATGATTCTCAAGCCAAACACTGTTAAGTAGTCAGTAGTGGAATTGAGAATAACATGTTGAAAGACAGCAAGGTAGACAAAAAAAAAAAAAAACAACAACAACAACACAAGGATGGATTCTGACTGTGAACAGAATACATATTATGATTTATAGGTAGGCCAGTTTATTTTATAATTCCATTTCTGTTCAGTCTAAATATAGATTATCACACAATTCTGTGTTTTACTGGTCATTTTCATGAGAAGGAAAATGTATTGTAATCATAAAATTAGTTAAGATTAATGGCCTAAAAAAAAAAAAAAAAGCCAGTTCAGCTTTTGGAAGCTTGGTTACTGATTATCAGTGACTTAAATGAAGCATTTTAATTGCCCTAAGTGCCCATACTTGCCCCAGAGATTGGATGATGCTGTCTTCCAGGGCCTCACCTACTATCTTTGGTCAGGTTTCCCAATCTATGTTCAAGGTTAGGATTGGGTCAAATATGTGGCTAATTCCACCAAAACAAAATTTTCTTTTCTTTTTTTTTGTGGAAGTTGAGAAAGGGAGGGATCCCTGCCCATTTGTATAGTTAATGTCTTGAGATGTCTGCTTCCCTCACAGGAAGCTCACTTTCTTTTGTTCAACCAACTCTGACTGAAAGAAAGCTGAGGGACACACCAATTTCCTTTCCAATGAATTTTGGCTTATTGCAGTCTGTCTGCTTAATTCCATTAATTTCTATTCTTATCTTCAGGGAGGTAACATATATTTCAAATGTAATATAATTGCTTTTTAAACATACATTAAATATGGGACTGGGAACGTAGCTCAGTACTAGAGTGCTTGCTTAAGTGTGTGCAGGGTCCTGGGTTCAATACCCAGCAGCACAAAACAAAATAAAACAAGACGAAAAAAATGGAATAATAGGGAGACTGTAAACATTAAGAAATATGTATTTTTTTAAAAAAAGAAATGTATTTGGTTACGTTTAATAGAACATAGTTTGCTAGATTCTAATATGAAAAAAAATTGGCTATAAATGCCCTGCATCCTTTTCTATAATCTAATGTTCTAGTATTTGTTTATTGGCCTTTTCGCACAAATCATTGTGAGCCACAGGCCAATAAGGTCTTCCCTGCCTTCCTAGGTGGTCTGGAAAGACTGCTGTATGAATCATCTATCTCCCAATACATAGCAGCAACAAGAAATTTTGGAAGACTGACAAGAGATGATAATTGTTATTTATGTTTTCTCCTTAGACTATCCTAAATAAGGGAAGTTAGGGCCACATGGAGTTCAGATTTCATATAATATATCAGGTATCTTTCAAAGGTTTGATGTTTTGGATGTAGTTCATAGGAATCAAAGAAATGAAGCAATTCAGATAACACACTCATTATTCAAAGAAATCTTAATAGCCTGTTTGTGGAATCCAGGTAGGGAATTCCACATAGCACTGATAAATGAAAGTTTGACAAACACTTAGTAAACTGATCAGTGGGAAATGCCCAGCATATAAATCATGTGGAAATGTGTTATGCAGATTGGCTATCAGCTTTGATAAAATTAAGCAAGTAACAAACTCTCTACTTAAAATGTGCTATAAAGATAAAAGATTTTCATGTTGTGCAAAGATACTCTTGGTGTTAGACATACCTGAATGTTCTGGACAGGTGAGCTCAGGTTTGTAGGATTACAGGTCATTGCCCAAGGGAAAATTATTGTTCTCTCTGGTTTTCTTTTAATATCATCTAGGAAGTTCAACTTCTTATAATAGCTTTGTCAGTTTGTGATTTTATGAATCATGTTGAATGGAGTCATCATTTTTTGAGATTCTAATTTCAGGTGTTTTTGGAAAAAGAAAATCACAATTCGGATGGGAGAAAGGACATGAGGAGACTAAAGACCTGGGATTTTGCTGATCAGAATGAAACCAATGTTGAAAGACTTTTCAAATCTATTGTTGGTGGTGCTCTGTGACTATGGTGAGTGTTGTGAGTATACTTGGTGCTAAAGGTATCAATAAACAAGCGTCAATGTGAAGATTATGATTCACTGATGTTGATGAACTTCCATGGAAGAGGCAATAGGGTCAACTGTCTAGAACCTTTTAAATGGTGGCTTTGCAACCCTGGGTTCTCTTAAGGTGCTTCAGGAGTTCAGCATGATGGTTTAAATTGTACTTTAAATATATTTTTAACTCTAACATTTTTTAAAAAAAACTCACTACCATTTCAATAAATTGGAAACAAGTTTATTACCCTGAGTTCTCTTTGATTTCCCAGAAGTTCAGTACTATAAGTCACTTCACACACACACACACAAACACATACTGATGTTTTGTATATTGGGGTTCTACACGAGATTTCTCTTGACTTGGACTGGGTTTGTAGGTCAGTGGTCAAGCACTTAACCTACAGTGCGCAAGGCCCTGGGTTCTATCCGCAGCACTGAAAAAAAAGAGAGAGAGAGAGAGAGATTTCACTGGACAACAGAGTTTTGCCACTGGAGTATCTTTGGAACCAGTCTGAATTTCAGTTGTATGCCTTTAGACAAAGTTCTTAGTCTCTTTCAACCTTATCAATAACACTGACTTCACAGGGTCAGTGTTTTAAAAAATTAAGTATGTGGAACACCTTGAATGTCTGAGCATATAATAGGTGTTTAAAGTTACTTCTTTTTATTGTTTCATCTCAAAATTGAGTTCATTTCTCAATTATTGAAGTGGTCTTGTATAACTATTGAACCAATAGCATCAACAATGTGACTTAATCTTCTCTACTTTTGATGATTTCTTAATATTTCTAGACATCTAAGCACTTGATGGTATGAGAGTAAAATCTCATTTTTTTTCTTTTTTTTTATTATTGGTTGTTTAAAACATTACAAAGCTCTTGACATATCATATTTCATACATTTGATTCAAGTGGGTTATGAACTCCCATTTTTATCCCAAATACAGATTGCAGAATCACATCGGTTACACATCCACGTTTTTACATAGTGCCATACTAGTGTCTGTTGTATTCTGCTGCCTTTCCTATCCTCTACTATCCCCCCTCCCCTCCCCTCCCCTCCCCTCCCCTCCCATCTTCTCTCTCTACCCCATGTACTGTAATTCATTTCTCTCCCTTGTTTTTTTTCCCTTTCTCCTCACTTCCTCTTATATGTAATTTTGTATAACAATGAGGGTCTCCTTCCATTTCCATGCAATTTCTCTTCTCTCTCCCTTTCCCTCCCACCTCTCCTCCCTGTTTAATGTTAATCTTTTTCTCATGCTCTTCCTCCCTGCTCTGTTCTTAGTTGCTCTCCTTATATCAAAGAAGACATTTGGCATTTGTTTTTTAGGGATTGGCTAGCTTCACTTAGCATAATCTGCTCTAGTGCCGTCCATTTCCCTGCAAATGCTTTTGTCATTTTTTAGTGCTGAGTAATACTCCATTGTGTATAAATGCCACATTTTTTTATCCATTCATCTATTGAAGGGCATCTAGGTTGGTTCCACAGTCTAGCTATTGTGAATTGTGCTGCTATGAACATCGATGTAGCAGTATCCCTATAGTATGCTCTTTTAAAAAAAGAGCGTACTAATTTTTTATTAAAAAAACAACGAACCAGAGCATGTAGAGGTCATTTTAGCCAGATCTCCTTTCTCAGGCTTTTTTTTTTTTAAAGAAGTTTATTTAAGAAAGTTGACACTCGATCTAAGGAAATTTGGGGTTTGTTTCTTTTAAAGTAATTTATCACTACTTTAAACAAGTTGCTTTACATGTAACAGCTTCCTACAAAAAACAATTAGTGTCCTTGGTTTCACAGTGATAAATAAGACATCCAAATCTCCATTTAAACAAACACACAGTGATGTTTATTGTAAAGAACAAAATATCTTGCCAGAATATGCAAACGAAAGTTGAATGAGTGGCTGGGTATGGTGGCACGTGTCTTGTAATCACAGCTACTTAGGAGGCTGAGGCAGGAGGATCCCAAGTTCAAGGCCAGCCTGGGCAACTTAAGTTAGTGAGATCCTGTCTCAAAACACAAAAAACAAACAAGGGGCTAGGGATGGAAATCAGTGATAAAGTGCCCTGTGTTCAATCCCCAGTACAAAAAAATGGAGAACAGAAGTTGAATGCTCAGGTCACTGATGGAAAAGAAGATACTTTGAGAGATCTAGTTTTTTTCCTTTAATATGAATCAAAATACCATCACTGGTTTTTTTTTTTTTTCTTTCTTTTTAGCAACACATTTATATAGAGCAGATCCTTTAAATACAATTAAGAAATGAGGACAGGGGAAATGAAAGAATAGAGAAGTCTATATTAGAGTAAGCAGGATATGCTATAACTAAATTATAGTTTTCTCCATGAGAGTATCTTCTAGTCTGAAGGAATGGGAGTTCATCTCTCTTCAGCGCATACCTCTTATCTGCTGCTGCTGGAACTCATCAATTGCATCTTTGTTCTCCATTTCCAACTGTGCACGTCACCTCTTTCCTTGACTGGTTCCCATCAAATCAGAATCTGATCAGCCCATCGACAACCTTATTGTCATTTATGATAAACTTCCATTAGTTATTGAAGTGGACCACTTAATTTTTTCCCATGATTTTACTGGTTCATTATAGTTGTAATGATAGTGTTGGGATTTGTTCTCATGTCTTTGTACATGTGCACAATATAATTTAGCCATTATCAATCTCTAGTCTTTCCCCATATCCATATCTCCTCCCTTTCCCTGGTCCCTTTATTCTACTGATCTCCCTTTGATTTTCATGATCCCCCACCTCCTCCTTTCTTCTCCTTTTTTCTCTCTAGCTTCCACCTATGAGAGAAAATATGCAACCCTTTACCTTCTGGTTTATTTCGCTTAACATAATGCTCTCAAGTTCCATCCTTTTCCTGCAAATGACATAATTTCATTCTTCTTTATGACTGAATAAAACTCCACTGTGTATATATACCACATTTTCTTTATTTGTTCATCCACTGATGGACACCTAGGCTGTTTTAATAGTTTGTGTGCCTCTAATTTTAAAATGCACCCCACAACCAGCCTGTCCCTTTGAGATTGAAATTAATGTGACTTCTCTCAGTCTTGACTCCTTCCCTGGGCTGTGGTGCATGCTCTTTACCTACTAGTTACAAAAGTTACCAGCTGGGCTCTGAACCAGCATATGATCTGCTCCAGAATCAGTCACCTTCCTTGACCTGAGCTGTTTCCAGACATAAGCGAACATCCTTCAACTTCCATTTTGCCTAAGTGGAAAACAACAAAACAAAACCCACCTTTATCCTAGAATGATTTTCAAGTAAGTGATGATCAAGCATTCAAGTCTATCCAAAATTTATGTATATTATTTCACCTCATCTCAAATAAGAAATAGGTGAAGTGCTGAGCTAATTAAAAAAAATAGTTCTATGTGCTAACATTTATATGCTAATTCTAAGAATCTTTGATTAAATATATAAGGGTATTGTAAAGACTATAAACCCAAATGGAAAACATATGAGCCCCTTTGGACATATAGAATATGTACACAGCATACATGGATGTGATATATACAATAAGAATAATAAACTGATAATTATACTAGTTCTTTTTCATACCAAAAGGGCACTGAGTTGTTCATTCCCCGGTCATGGGCCAACTGATTGTCTCATTGCCAAATTCTGCCTCTTTGATGTGTATTTGGATGGGGTTCAAAATAGAAACAAGGATTCTTGTGTATCTGTGTTCTTTGTCCTATTCACTTCAACTGCTCTGCTGGGTCTCTTTTTAAAAGATATGATTGATCCTAACTGTCTGATACTTGGGAGACTAGAAGTCATCTGTTCTATCTAGGCCAATACCAATTGCTGTAATGTCATTAAAATTGCCAAGGACAAGCCTAGTTATTTCATAAATATTCATTCTATCCCTTGGGTGATTCATGCAAAATAAAGTGTCAACATATCTTATCCATCTAAAAAATTCTACCTCAGATAAACCAAGAAGACTGGTTCCTTTCCCAAGCCTTTGTCTTGAATACTAGACAGTAACAACTATGAGGTAAAATAGGGTCTTATATTTCAAATAATTTAGAGCAGTTGATTGTGTCAGTTGTATCAAGCTCTCGCTAACTTCACCATCTATTCATTTCCCCCACATACCTAAATACCAGAACATGATTAAAATAAGAAATGTGAGTTTTTTTGATTTTTTAACCTGAGAATTGTCAATTGTTATTCTAGTTTTGTAGAGTTTCACTGCAATATGATGAGAGTTGTGAGTTCAGAGTACTTATCACTAATTCATTATTCTAAATATCATGAAAGGTGGTGAGAAAACAGAGCCACTTAAAATGGAATGAGCTCAATGTCCGGAGCCCAGGAGCTGTCTGTTGTCATTTTACATGCTATTTCATCCTTGGCTGGGTTCCAGCTTCCCTAGTGTCTAAAATGCTGTTTTCATCAGTGTCACTAATAGTGCTGCTCAGATGCACCTTTTTAAACAATTTCCACCCATTTCATTTCAGTCCTTGGAGAAGCCGAGTATCTCCTCTTAGGAGAGCCAGGCCATGTAGCACTAAGCAACAGCACCGTGTCAGTGGATTTCCAGTATGCTGATGGTGCTAACGGGACGCTGAGGAATGTGTCTGTCCTGCTGCTGGAGGCCAACACCAATCAGACTCTTACCACCAAATACCTCCTGACCAATGAGTCCCAGGGAACACTGGAGTTTGAGTGCTTCTACTTCAAAGAGGCTGGCGACTACTGGTTCATGATGACTCCGGAAGTGATAGACAACAGTACTGCAGTCCCCTGGTGGGAGAAAAGTGCCTTTCTGAAGGTGGAATGGCCCATCTTTCATGTTGACTTGAACAGGACATCCAAGGCAGCAGAAGGCACCTTCCAGGTGGGCCTTTTTACCAATCAGCCACTGTGTCTGTTTCCTGGTGACGAACCTGACATGTTGGTGGATGTCATCTTCACCAACAGTCTTCCTGAGGCTAGGACAAGTCCAGGTCAGCCACTAGAGATAAGAACTAGCAAAAGGGCGGAACTCACTCAAAGTCAATGGGTTGAGTTTGGCTGTGCACCTGTGGGGCCAGAGGCCTATGTCACCGTGGTGCTAAAGCTGCGTGGCCGAGACTCGGTCATCTCTTCCACAGGACCCATTGACCTGGCTCAGAAATTTGGATACAAATTGGTGATGGTGCCAGAGCTCACGTGTGAGTCTGGAGTGGAGGTGATGGTCCTGCCCCCACCGTGTGTCTTCGTCCAAGGAGTGGTGGCTGTCTTCAAGGAGGCCCCCAGACGCCCTGGAGAGAGGACCATTCAGCTAGCTGAAAACAGCTTGCCCCTGGGAGAGAGGAGAACAGTGTTTAACTGCACTTTGTTTGACATGGGCAAGAATAAATATTGCTTTAACTTTGGAGTTTCAAGGAGAAGCCATTTTTCTGCAAAGGAAAAGGAATGCATGCTCATTCAGAGAAATATAGGTTGGTATTGAGATTTTTAAACATTTAAAAGTCAGATTGGCGTCTCCATTGAATCAAAATCATTATTTAGTATTTAGGTGAACTTTAGGTAAACTGTACCATCATTTTAATGGTTCATTCCTCAACCAATTGGCATTTTTATCCTTATCTGAAAAATTAAAAGAGTACAGTCACCCACTACCATTGTGGGAGATGAGTTCCAGGATCCCTGCAGATACCAAAAAGCCATAGTGTTTGCATATAAGTTATGCATATCCTCCTATATATTTAAATCATTTCTAGATTACTTATGATACCTTATACTGTGTAAATGTATGTAATAAGTTGTTATACTGAATTGTTTAGGGAAGAGTGACAAGAAAAAAGTCTGTACATATTTAGTACAGACACGTTTTTAATTTTTTCTTTTTAGTTATAGATAAACACAATGCCTTTATTTTATTCATTCATTTTTATGTGGTGCTGAGAGTCGAACCCATTGCCTCAAACATGCTAGGCAAGCGCTCTAACACTGAGCCACAATCATAGCCCCAGACACATTTTTTTTTTCCTCTGAATTTTCTCCATCCACGGTTAGTTGAATCTGTGGATGTGAAACCTGCAGGGAGTTGGGGGGCAATTGTACTGGTGGAAAACAGACCCACTTAACTTCTTTAAGGTTTCAGTAAATAAAATAGGGATAATAAAGATACATACCTCAGAGACTTCTAGAGATTTAACCAAGTAAACATAATGTTCTTAGCAAAGTGCCTCATGCATAGGAAGTACTCAATAAATGTTAGCTATTTTGTTTAAATTCATATTATTACATCATACAGAAAAGTCCATGGCAGAGATAATTGGATTTCCAAGCTAAATTCCAAATTGTATTTAGTAACTCCTCTTTTCTGGTCAGGTCTTTTTTTCTTCATTATTCATTATAGCAATGAATCCTCTTTAGTGAGAAATTAAATCAAGATTTCTGAAAGTGTCTTCAGGTCCTGTGTTCCTTATGTAGTGCTCTGCTGAGTCACTGGGAAGTGGGGTTACCACAGTGCCATCCATTCCCGGTACTGCTTGTCTGTTGTTTGGTGGTGGTACTGGAGATTGAACCAGAGCCTCATGCATGTGGGGAGGTACTACCACTGAGTCACCCTCTGCTCCCCCGCAATGCTGCTCTATGTCTTTTATTCCCTTTTCCTGAGGGCAAGCTTGGTCTTAACAAGTGACTTAATTTGGCTGAGATTTTTTTGGTTCACTCCCTTCTGCTCTTATTTTTATCCCACTGAACCCAGGGCCCCCTGACTGCCCAAGCTTCTGATTGTCCATAACCCCAAGTGTTTCTTATTACAGATCTACTCACTTCCTGTCTTTAAGAAGTCCCTCTCCTTGAATTCTCTCCCCTTCCACTGGCCACTTGGCTGCTTATACTCACCTGTCTATCCCACCTAGATTCTGTGGGCCATCCCTTTATCCATCCTCCTACCAATTTTCTGAACTCCTTTGCCCTATTTTCCTCTGGATGCACCTGCTAGGCCATGCCCCCACTCTGCATGAGTCCAGCCATCTGCATGGCTGCCCACTGCACTCAAGCTGCGGAGGCTGCACAAGTTCACACCCAGGTGGACTGATGCCACTGTGGGCGGCTCATCCCTTCACCCTCAGCTGGGCCTCTGAGCTATTCAGCAGGTCACCCTGGCTGGCTCATGCTCCATTCTGTTCTGCACAATGGCTCATTTATACCTCCTGCACTTTCCTCAGACCTCAACCCTTGCCCTGTGGTTAACTCTCAGAGCTTGTCTCCTACACCCAGGGCAGCTGGAAGCCATTAGATGGGAACTCTGTGCCCCGCCATTAAATGATCTGTCAGATCTTCTGGCTTCAGATCCTGCCTCTCCCCTTCCTTTCCTGTCACCAATGGAAAAACTGTCATTCCGCCAATATCAGGTCAAACCTCCCCTCCACTGTGGAGCTCGGCTCTTTCACTCCTTCTAGGAACCCGCTGTTATCATTACCTGCCTCTCAACTCTTGTCCCTTCTTACAAAGGCTCGTTCTCATTTGTAATGTACTTAATTTGCTTGTCTAAAAACAACAACAACAAAAAACTATCCGCCACTCAACCTCCTGCTCTCCAGGTATCAGCCTTCTTCCTTTTATAGCCAGTTTATTGAAAAAAAAAAAAAAGTTCCCTACACTTTGAGGTTAATTTCCTGACCTCATATTCACATGTTAGCCTACTGAAAACTGACTTCTGCCCCCACTCCACTTCTGAAAATACTGTCGCTAAAGCAGCTGGTGAATGAGTTTCAGGTCCCCAAATCCAGGTATCCTCTTCAGCCTGTGTGTCTTCATTAACCTTGATTCTGGGACACCACACCTGCCTTGTTTACCTCCCACCTACCTGGCTGCTCCCGCACCTTCTCCTTGACCTGCCACTTCTACCGGCTTGTCTCATCCCTTAAGGATTAGTCATCTCTTTTCACTCTCTGCATGCCTGCTAGGAGATTGCTGTCCTAATGCTGCTAAGTCCAGATGGGCATTTTTTCCCAACCCTTCACCTGCTAAATAGTGGGCATCCCAGAGCTGTCTCCCAGGTACCTCAAAAGCATCATATCTGGATTTGGACTTATTACCCCTAACTAAACCTGATCCTCAGTATAATATTTTATTATGGGGCATGTGGTGTTGGGGATCAAACCCAGGGCATCCAGCTTGACAGGCAAATGCTGTACCCACAACCCAAAGCTGCTTTTCAGTACAGGACTCCACCATTCATCTCATTGCTCAAACCAGAAGCCTAAGACTCTTCTTCTCCTTTATCTCCTGTAAATAACGAAATCCTGTGGCTTTTGCCTCCTGGGTGTCTGATTCTTGCCACTTCTTCCCAGTTGCCTGACACCAGTTGGTTTTAAGTCTTCATCATCCCTTACCTGGTCTCTTGCAACAGATTCCTGCTTGGCTATTGACGGTCCATTTCATTCTCTCACTGCAGCAGAAGGATCGTTTAAAATTCACGTCCACTGAGGTTGTTCACCTGCTTAAAACCGTTCAGTCACTTTTCTTGGCACGAGAATGAAATCCACAAGGACTGCCACAGTAGGGCTGTCCCTGCTTTCTCTGTAGTCACCAGGTTTCAGCTGGGGCCGGGGATACCCTTCTCCTCCAGCCTTCCCCTGCTCAATATTAATCTGTCCTCCAAGTCTCTACTCAGATTATTCTTCCTCCACCCCAGGCTGGTGAACTTCCTTGCCCCAAGCTGCTGCATCAGCCTTCAATTCCTTTTTCATGTCACTTATCACTCCTATCATCGCTTGTTTAATGCCCCCTGCCATGCCTTTCCCCCCATGTCTCACTGAACAGGAAGCTCATTCAATGGCGAAATCTGACTTGTGTGGTAATAAAACTGTTCATGGTCTTTATCTGTTACACTTTGCCTGGCAGCTTTTTTTTTGGAGAAGTGAGGGAATACTGGGAATTGAACTCAGGGCACTTGACCACTGAGCCACATCCCCAGCCCTATTTTGTATTTTATTTAAATACAAAATAGAGTTGCTTAGCGCCTCGCTTTGAGGCTGACTTTGAACTTGCAATCCTCCTGCTAGGATTACAGGCATGCGCCATCTTGCCTGGCTGCCTGGTACCTTTAGTTGCTCAATACATGTTTATTAAAGTGGAAATTGAACTCAGGTCTGGCCTATCCCAGCTAGGTATTAGAAAAACAGATTGAACTGATTTGATCATCAAGAGACTCTTGACATTTCACAGGAAGATTTGTGTTCAGGGGAGAAAATCTGAGTGAATGTAATTGAAACAAACCAAGAGAAATCAAGAAATGTGGGCCACTGGATTAAAGACATTTGGGGCAGGAGGACCATCTTGTTGCTTCTCCAAGCTGTTGCACGTTCCACAGATGCTTCCATTCAGTGTCTACTGAGGGGTTTCAACAGTAGCAGCAGCAGCAGAGGAAAGGCACAGGGGAGGTCAGGGCAGGGAGTGGTGCTCTGGGTGCCCAAACTGAGGGTGGTCAGTGTTTCCTTGCAAGGGTTCCTCCATGGAGCAGGAGCTACCCACAACCCAACAGCAGGCCTGACAGCAGTAGTCAGAGAAGCTAAACACAGATTTTTCTGTGTGGCAGACTGATAGTGACTGACTACTTAACTCAGAAGTGAAATTAATGTTGGAACTTTAGTGCCTTTCTGTGTTTTTAGTGAGATTGAGCCTGAACAAAATGTTCAGCAACCCTAATCTGAAAATCTGAAATCCCAAGTGCTCCAAAATCCCAAAGTTTTTGAGCACTAACATGATAACATAAGTGGAACAATCCACATCTGGCCTCATGTGATGGATTGCTGTTAAAACACAGGTGCACTAAAAATGTACAAAATTATAGACTTGATGTTTAAGATGTACTTGAAACATAAATGAATTTCATGTTTAGACTGGGTCTCATCCCCAAGATATCTCATTATGTATATGCAGATATTCAAGAATCTTTTTAAAAAATCTTTTAGTTGTAGATGGACATGATAGCTTTATTTTATTTTACTTTAAAATTTTTTTTAGTTGTAGATGGATACACAATATCTTTATTTTATTTTTATGTAGTGCTGATGATCGAACCCAGTGCCTTTCATATGTGAGGAAAGGAGGAAAGTGCTTTACCACTGAACTACAGCTACAGCCGCTTTATTTTATTTATTTAGTATTTTTTTTTAATGTGGTGATGAGGATTGAACCCAGTTATTCACACATGCTAGGCAAGCGCTCTACCACAGAGTCACAACCCCAGCCCTCAAGAATCTTAAATGCTTCTGGTCCCAAGCATTTTGGAGAGGGGATACTCAGCCTGTTTATAAATTGATGAAGGCGCTGAGTTCGGTTCATTTTCTATTTAAATTGACAGATCTGGACAGTAAAGACTGACTTTTTCTTTATTTTTGTTTTGCCAAATGGCATCATTTAGGGGCCCTACCATGACTCATATGAAGTACTGAATTTCTTGCTAGTTCTTTTTGACAAT